CGCCCCCTTCTCCTCCTCACCCAAGCTCCTCCCCTGCCCGGACGCCCCTCGAGCCGGCGAAGAAGGCCACTCCGGGGACCTCCAGCCCCGTGAAGACCGGAAGTGCCACCAAGTTGGGGAGGCAGGAGTGGTTCAGGAAGCGGGCCACGTTGCCATAGCGACGCCCGTCCAGGCAGCACCCGCGTCCAGCCTCCAGGGGGAGAGAGAGCGAGAGAGGGGCGGGGTCAGAGATGACTGACAGGAGAGGAGGGGTCCACTGCCCGGAGTGGGAGGGTCTTATCACCTGGGCGCCCAGCAGAAAGCAGTATCCAGGGGCAGCCCCCTTTTCCTCCTCTTTCCTCCGCGCCTCCTCCTCCGAAACCAACTCCCCGAAGTACCTGCGAAAGAAGGAGAGAGGGAGGTGGTCAGGCCCGCCTCCCCACGGAGACCCCGCCCCCTCAGAGGAAGAGACTCACTGGCAGAGGAAGGCTCCAGGGGCCAGGTCCTGCATGGCGCGCACCGCCCAGCCCCTCTTGGCGGAGCGGAAGAGCTGCAGCTGGGTCCTGCCAGAGGGAAGGGAGAGAGAGTGTGCTTCGTCATTGGCTGAAGGGGACCCGAGGGGGCGTGGCTTCCCCATTCCCAGCCAGGGGGCGTGGCATCATCTTCGCAGTTAGGGGGCGTGGCCTCTCACCGGAGTCCTCTCTGGGCCACGCGGTTGGCGCAGGCGGCGCCGCAGGAGCAGAGCAGGTGGCACTCGCAGAGGGCGGCGTCGGCGTCCAATAGGAGGAGGCGGCCCTCCTGCGCGGGAGAAAGGGGCGGGGTCAGGCTCAAAAGGGCACGCCCCTTGGATGTAAGGGGCGGGGCCTCTCACCGGGGAGTAGCAGGCGGCGCTGCGGCCGGAGCGGAGCAGGCAAGAGCAGCCTGGCGCGGGGCATCCGGGGCCGCAGGAGCAGTGCTGAGGAAGATGAAGAGGAAGCATCAAAGCTAGGATCCGTTCACAGCAGAGGGAGCCCCTCCCTTCAGCTCCCCTCGACCTCTGACCTGCCTGCGCGCCCACCCGCCCGGGGGTGCCTCCGCCGAGTCCGAGAGCAGGCTCTGCGTGACGTAGAGGAAGTCCCCGGGGGCGCCCTCCTCGTCGACGCCGTTCAGGCAGGGGATAGGCAAAGCCTCCAGGCCGCGAGAGATGTCCCTTTAAGAAGGGGCGGGGATTGAGATGGGGGCGTGGCCGAAGCCGAGGAGGCCCCTCCCCTGGCCTTGGCCGCGCCCTCCTTCCTCACCTGCAGAGGAGCCTCGGGGGCGGGTCCTTCGGCGAAGAGGCGGCGCCCAGTGACAGGAGCAGCCTGGAGAAAGGAGGGAGGGGGCGTGGTTAGCGGGGAGGGGGCGTGGTTAGCCGGGAGGGAGGCACTCACCGCCCAGGAAGCCCCGCCTTCCCGCCACTCTTAGTGGGCTCACTCACGCGAGACACTTGAGGCGCCGCTGCCTTCGAGCCAAGGCCGACGGGCGCTCTCCCCTTGCGTTGGGCGCGTCCAACTCGGAGCCGGCGTCCAGGAGGAGCCGCGCAAGGCGGGCGCTGCCCACGAAGGCCGCCCGGTGCAGACACAGGTTCCCAGCCTGAGGAGACAGAGGCAGAGAGGGGCGGAGCCTAGCCTTCAAAGAAACCTTGCGGGGGCGGGGCCTGGGGTGCCTGTTATCCCTCCCCATAGGGGGCGGGGCCTGGCGATAGGGAATTTAAATGAGGGCGGGGTTTCGGGTGTGTGATCTCCCTCCCAGAGGGGGCGGGGCCTGTAATGAATGGAATGAGATGGGGCGGGGCCTCTGGGGCATAGTCCTTCTCAAAGGGGGCGGGGCCTGGCGATAGGGAATTTAAATGAGGGCGGGGTTTCGGGTGTGTGATCTCCCTCCCAGAGGGGGCGGGGCCTGTAATGAATGGAATGAGATGGGGCGGGGCCTCTGGGGCATAGTCCTTCTCAAAGGGGGCGGGGCCTGGCGATAGGGAATTTAAATGAGGGCGGGGCTTCGGGTGTGTGATCTCCCTCCCAGAGGGGGCGGGGCCTGTAATGAATGGAATGAGATGGGGCGGGGCCTCTGGGGCATAGTCCTTCTCAAAGGGGGCGGGGCCTGGCGATAGAGTATTTAAATGAGGGCGGGCTTCGAGTGTGTGATCTCCCTCCCAGAGGGGGCGGGGCCTGTAATGAATGGAATGAGATGGGGCGGGGCCTCTGGGGCATAGTCCTTCTCAAAGGGGGCGGGGCCTGGCGATAGGGAATTTAAATGAGGGCGGGGTTTCGGGTGTGTGATCTCCCTCCCAGAGGGGGCGGGGCCTGTAATGAATGGAATGAGATGGGGCGGGGCCTCTGGGGCATAGTCCTTCTCAAAGGGGGCGGGGCCTGGCGATAGGGAATTTAAATGAGGGCGGGGTTTCGGGTGTGTGATCTCCCTCCCAGAGGGGGCGGGGCCTGTAATGAATGGAATGAGATGGGGCGGGGCCTCTGGGGCATAGTCCTTCTCAAAGGGGGCGGGGCCTGGCGATAGGGAATTTAAATGAGGGCGGGCTTCGGGTGTGTGATCTCCCTCTCTAGAGGGGGCGGGGCCTGAACATGAGTGGAATGAGATGGGCGGGGCCTCTGGGGCATAGTCTTGTTGTTCATTCGTTCAGTCATCTCCGACTCTTCGTGACCTCATGGACCGGCCCATGCCAGAGCTCCCTGTCGGCCTTCACCACCCCCAGCTCCTTCAAGGCCAGTCCAGTCACTTCAAGGATGCCATCCATCCATCTGGCCCTTGGTCGGCCCCTCTTCCTTTTACCTTCCACTTTCCCCAGCATAATTGTCTTCTCTAGGCTTTGCTGTCTCCTCATGATGTGGCCAAAGAACTTCAACTTTGTCTCTATTATCCTTCCCTCCAATGAGCAGTCGGGCTTTATTTCCTGGAGGATGGACTGGTTGGATCTTCTCGCAGTCCAAGGCACTCTCAGAACTTTCCTCCAACACCACAGCTCAAAAGCATATCTTCCTTCGCTCAGCCTTCCCTAAGGTCCAGCTCTCACATCCGTAGGTGACTACAGGGAATACCATGGCTTTGACTAGGCGGATCTTTGTTGCCAGTATGATGTCTCTACTCTTTACTATTTTATCGAAATTGGACATTGCTCTCCTCCCAAGAAGTAAGCGTCTTCTGATTTCCTGGCCACAGTCTGCATCTGCAGTAATCTTTGCACCTAGAAATACAAAGTCTGTCACGGCCTCCACGGTTTCTCCCTCTATTTTCCAGTTGTCAATCATTCTTGTTGCCATAATCTTGGTTTTTTGACGTTTAGCTGCAACCCGGCTTTTGCGCTTTCTTCTTTCACCTTGATTAGAAGGCTCCTCAGCTCCTCCTCGCTTTTGGCCATCAGAGTGGTGTCATCTGCATATCTGAGGTTGTTAATGTTTCTTCCAGCAATTTTCACCCCAGCTTTGCATTCATCAAGCCCCGCACATCGCATGATGTGTTCTGCATACACGTTTAAAAAGGTTGGGTGAGAGTATGCAGCCTTGCCGTACGCCTTTCCCAATCTTGAACCAGTCTGTTGTTCTGTGGTCAGTTCTTACTGTTGCTACTTGGTCCTCTGGGGCATAGTCCTTCTCAAAGGGGGCGGGGCCTGGCGATAGAGTATTTAAATGAGGGCAGGGCTTCGGGTGTGTGATCTCCCTCTCTAGAGGGGGCGGGGCCTGAACATGAGTGGAATGAGATGGGCGGGGCCTCTGGGGCATAGTCCTTCTCAAAGGGGGCGGGGCCTGGCGATAGGGAATTTAAATGAGGGCGGGCCTTCGGGTGTGATCGCCTTCCCTCCCCAGAGGGGGCGGGGCCTGGCGGTCTGGGTTTGAATGGGGGCGTGGCCACACTCCCCAGATGGGTACGGGGATGGGATGGGCCTCGGGGGCATGGTCTCACTAACCAGAGGGGGCGGGGCCTGACAAGAGGGTAGCTGGGTGGGAGCGTGGTCTCCCTCCACAGAGGGGGCGGGGCCTGGCGGTAGGGGATGGAATGGGGGCGTGGCCTCCAGGTGTGATCTCACTCCCCAGGTGGGTACGGGGATGGGATGGGCCTCGGGGGCGTGGTCTCACTCCCAAGAGGGGCGGGGCCTGGAGCGAGGAGATTGGGATGAAGGCATGGGGCCTCCTTCTCTCCCGCCCCCTTGCTCACGTGATCCCTGGCGCCGGGGTCTGCCCCGTGCTCCAGCAGGAGCTCCGCCATCCTCTTCCGCCGGTTCTCGGTGGCCCAGAAGAGAGGCGTCCGGCCTGAGGAATCCTAAGGAGGAAGGAGGAGGGGTCAGGAAGGGGTCAGCGGGTCATCAGTCCAGTCAATACCAACAACAACCATGCTACCTGGCGGCGGAGGAGGTCCTCTTTGGGTCCCCTTGAGAGCAGCTGCAGCGCCCCCTCGCAGTCGCCTTTCAGGGCCAAGACGTGGAGCAGCGAGGCCCCCGACGCCTCCATCAAGGCCGCCTCCTCGCCTTCCTCTTCCTCCTGCAGCACAGAGTCCAGCTCAAGGCCGAGCCTCCAGAGATAGGACGATGCCTGCTCTCCTCTGGCCTTTCCCCAGCTTCAGAGCGGGTATGGGCCAACTTGGACCCTCCAGATGCTTTGGACTCCAACTCCCACCATTCCTCACAGCCTCAGGCCCTTTCCTTTTCCCCCTCAGCCGCTTAAGCGGGAGTTAAGTTTGGAGCTATGGAGAAGAAGAACTCAACAGGTTCCTGGACCATCTTAACAGCATCCACCCAAACATCCAGTTCACCATGGAAAAAGAAAATGAAGGAAGACTGCCTTTTCTAGATGTCCTAGGTAAAGGTAAAGGTAGCCCCCTGACATTAAGTCCAGTCATGTCTGACTCTGGGGTGTGGTGCTCATCTCCATTTCTAAGCCGAAGAGCCAGCATTGTCCGTAGACCTCCAAGGTCATGTGGCCGGCATGACTGCATGGAGCGCCGTTACCTTCCCGCTGGAGCGGTACCTATTGATCTACTCACATTTGCATGTTTTCGAATTGCTAGGTTGGCAGAAGCTAGGGCTGACAGCGAACCTGCAACCTTTCAATCAACAAGCTCAGCAGCTCAGTGCTTTAACCCACTACGCCACCAGGGGCTCTTCCAAGTCATCCATAAACCAGATCAACAATTGGGTCACACCGTCTACAGAAAACAGAGATAGATATCTACATAAAAACTCCAACCATCACCCAAGTCAAAAAAGAAGCACCATTAAAGCCTTGGCAGACCGTGCAAAAAGAATCTGCGAACCCCACTTCCTCCAAGATGAACTGAACCACCTCAACTGGGCTCTCAGGCCAATGGATACTCCACCTCAGACATCAGAAGAGCTGCAAGACCTAGAACAAGCCACAAAAAGAGGAGATTTCATCTGAACATGAGGAAGAACTTCCTGACTGTGAGAGCCATTCAGCAGTGGAACTCTCTGCCCCGGAGTGTGGTGGAGGCTCCTTCTTTGGAAGCTTTTAAACAGAGGCTGGATGGCCATCTGTCAGGGGTGATTTGAATGAAATATTCCTGCTTCTTGGCAGAATGGGGTTGGACTGGATGGCCCATGAGGTCTCTTCCAACTCTATGATTCTATAGTTCTACCACCCAGAGGAAAAGTGTTCTTGCCATACATCACTGACCGCATAGGGAAGCTGATGAGGAAACACAACATACAAACTATCTACAGACCCACCAAGAAAATCCAACAAATGCTACGTTCAGCAAAGGACAAGAGGGATCCTCTCATTTCTGCAGAAGTCTACCGTATACCATGCAGCTGTGGACAAGTCTACATAGGGACCACCAAACGCAGCATTGCCCAAACACAAATCAAGGAACATGAAAGGCACTGCAGACTACTTCAACCAGAGAAGTCAGCCATAGCAGAGCACCTGATGAAGCAGCCTGGACACAGCATATTATTTGAGAACACAGAAATGCTGGACCACTCTAACAACCCATGTCAGACTTACACAGAGAAGCCATTGAAATCCACAAGCATGTGGACAACTTCAACAGAAAGGAGGAAACTATGAAAATGAACAAAATCTGGCTACCAGTATTTAAAAAAAAACTCTAAAATTACAACAGCAAAACAACAGAGGGAAAACAATCAGGGACATCTAATCACCTCTCAACAAAAGATTGCCCCAGGCAATGCTAATCAAGGTGGTCAGTTGAAACATTCACACCTAGCTCCAGCAGACAAGAGTCCTTTGTCCCACCCTGGTCATTCCACAGATATATAAACCCACTTTCCTATTTCCAACAGACCTCACTACCTCTGAGGATGCTTGTCATAGATGCAGGTGAAACATCAGGAGAGAATGCCTCTAGAACATGGCCACATAGCCCGAAAAAACCTACAACAACCCAGTGATTCCAGCCATGAAAGCCTTCGACAATACAATATACAGGCAGTCCCCAAGTAGGAAAGAGCCCTCTTGTGGCGCAATGGGTTAAGTCCTTGTGCCGGCAGGACTGCTGACCAACAAGTCAGAGGTTCAAATCAATATAGTTATTCAGTGGCATGTAGAAATGTCTTACTCTGCACCTTGGAGCCCCCCGTGGGGCAATGGGTTAAGCCCTTGTGCCGCCAGGACCACTGATTGACAAATCAGCGGTTGGAATCTCGGGAGAGCAGGTTGAACTCCCTCTGTCAGCTCCAACTCCCTATGCAGGGACATATAAGAAGCCTCTCACAAGGATGGTAAAACAGAACACACCCTGGGCAACGTCCTTGCAGACAGCTGATTCTCTCACACCAGAAGCGAATTGCAGTTTCTCAAGTCAAAAAAAAAGTTCCCAAGTGACAATCAAGAGAGGTTCTGTAGGTTTTTTTGGGCTATATGGCCATGTTCTTGATGCCTCTAGAACAGTGGTTCTCAACCTGGGGTCCCCAGATGTTTTTTGCCTTCAACTCCCAGAAATCCTAACAGCTGGTAAACTGGCTGGGATTTCTGGGAGTTGTAGGCCAAAAACATCTGGGGACCCCAGGTTGAGAACCACTGCTCTAGAACATGGCCATATAGCCCGAAAAACCTACAGTGATTCCGGCCATTGTCGAAGCCCTCGACAATACGTTCTGTAGATATCCTCTCAAGTTGAATTTGTATGTAAGTCAAAACAGGGACATTTAAAATGTAATTCCAGCCAGATGGATAGAGATATATTAGCTTTGGAGGGAATAGGGAAGGGTAAACACGCTGGTGGAGTTTCATTTGCTGTCTGTGCTCCTGTTTAGAAGATTCCACCTCACTTTCTGTCCCTGTGAGAATTGGATTTTGGAAAATGTGGCTTGTTGTGGAAACAAGGATTGGGATAAAGCTTCAGTGGAGACCCCTTTCCCCCCTGACAATAAGTTCTCAAATAGTGGATTTCCCTTCCTTCCAAGGGGAAGATTTTTCTCCCTTCCGGTTGTCTCAGCCTCGTTGGATGTTTATAACTTGGGGGATGGCCTGTATAGTTGGTCTTTTGTCTGTCCATGGATCCAGTAGCCCTCTCAAGGCAGCCATAAGAAGGCTGAGGAGGCTCTCCATAGAAACGAGTGGGACAGCCCTGTCCTAAAGGCAAAGGGTCAGAAGAGGGGACCGTCCAAGAATAGGAAGAGGGGCAGACCCACCCCGCCCACCCCCAGGTGCTTCCAGCCCTTACCTGGCTTCCGGAGGGGGCTCTCCCAGGCCCCACACATTTGCTCCCTGCAAGGAAAAGGAGAGGCCCAGAGGAGAGGCTTACTTGGGGAAGGAAGGGGTAACTGAATTTGCCCCTTTCCCTTCCCCAATCCTCACAAACACACTCAAAAGCAGGCCTCACCCTTTGCTCCCATGGCTGACCACAGCAATAGGCCCAGAGAGATGAGAGATTCTTAAAGGGCAACAGAACGGGAGCGCACGTTCCATGGAACGCCACCGGGTTCTACAGTCTGTTCTGGAAGGAAACTCCAGGGGTCAGAGGCCAACCAAAGCACAAGGGATGAATGAAGCAGAAATTAAGGAAAGTGCAGCCTTGCGGGGGGGGGGGGGGCTCCTTGGAAGGTGTCCTTCTGCAATCCCCCAAATCCAAAATTCCCAGATGAAACCTAGGTAGTGGGAGATTGTATTTCATGGCTGGTAGGGCCAAATTTATTTATTTATTATTTGCAATAGTTATATTCCGCCCTTCTCACCCCACAGGGGACTCAGGGCGGATTACAATGCACATATACATGGCAAACACTCAATGCCACTTAGACATGCAACATATATAGACAGACATAGAGACAATTTAACATTCCAGGTTTTTGGCTTCATGAGGGTATGCTCGATTCTGGCCACAGGGGGGGCCGCTGCTTCACTGTCCACTTGAAATACCGAGTCCTTGATTGAGTACTTCCTCATTCTTGTGCATGCTGCTAGAAGGTTTTATGGTGTCGTAAATTAGTTAAATTAGCTTGCCTGCATAAAGCGGTACCTAAATTTCCTACTTGACAGATGCAACTCTTTCGAGCTAAGTCAACAGCAAGCTAGACTATTAATGGTTGGGAGCTCACTCCAACTCGGACTGGTTTCGAACTCATGACCTCTTGGTTCAGTAGTGATTTTGCAGCTGGCTACTAACTAGCTGTGCCACAGCCTGGTCCAGAGCCCAGAGCCGCCCCCCCCCAACTTTCAAGGGGACCCTTTCCCCCAAGAAATGCAGGCCAAGGATTTAGTTCCCACTTCTGTCCTTCCAATGAAGAGAGCAGTGGGTCACAAAGAGCCAGAAGAATCCATGGGGCGGGGTGGGGGTGATGGGAGGGGCTGCAGGTGAGCCTTATCTGGGCCCCTCCCATCATTTCCTGGCGTCTCCTGGCTCCAGTAGCTCCTTGGGCACCTTTCCTTCTGGGCTGCCTCCACCATGGGCCACTTGCCTGAATGGATGATACTGATGCTGATCCCATGCCTGGCCCTGTCTTGGGTGCGAGTGGCATCCGTTCAGGAGGGGCAGACCCCCACAGAGGGGCAGTCAGAGCCCAGCGAAGGGGGAGCCCTCCCTGGAGAGCCTGACCTCAAAGAGGAGAAGGAAGAGGAAGAGGTCTTGGTCCTCGACAAGCAGCACTTTGCACAGGCCTTGCAGGAGAACCGGCTGCTCCTGGTGCTTTTCCGTGAGTGGGCGAAGGGGCAGAGGGGGGTGGGAGCAAAGGAGGGGTTAGTCTGCATCATTCTCTCCCCCCCATCTCTTTATGAGGGGTCACTGGGGTGGGAGCCTGCTGCTGCCTTCGGGGTCTGGTCCTTCTCCTACAGACCACTCCTTAATGCCGTTACCGTCAAGAGTCAGGCAGTCACTCAGCGCCACGAAGGCGTATCAGGGGCACCTTGGAAAAGCAAACAGCCTCTGAAGCCTTGCAGGGTCAGGAGCCATGCAAACAGTGCCTGCGTGGCTCCTGGGCCCAAGCCTGGCACCATGCCCCCTCCCCCTGCTGCCATGCCCTGCTTCCCAGTGCCTCCTTTGGGGCGGCCCCTTCTCTCTGCCAGATGCCCACTGGAGCGACCTCTGCCAGGCGCTGGCCCCCGAATATGCCAAGGCAGCTGCCATGCTGAAGGAGGAGGGCTCCGGCGGCACCCTGAGGCTGGCTTCGGTGGACGGAACGCAGGAGCTGGAGCTGCGGAAGGAGTTTGGTGTGGCCGGGTTCCCAACCTTCAAGCTCTTCCGGGAGGGTGACCGCAGCCACCCCATAGACTACAAAGGTGAGGGTCCCCCTGACCTGTGAGCACCCACTGCAGCACCTGCCCTCCGTGGAGCCCCACTGATCCCTGACTTTTTGTCCAGGTGAGAGGGAGGCCGAGGCAATTGTGGCCTGGATGAAACGGAAGGCCAGACCCAGTGCCCCACTGCTCACTGGGGAGGAGGAGGTCACAGCCTTCCTGGATGCCCATCCGGTGGCTGCCATCGGATTCTTCCACGTGAGTTGTGCACCTTGGGGCCATGATGGCCACCTTTGGGAGCCAATGATGTTAGTCTCTGGAGAACAAAGAGCATGTGCTCACTCTTCAGGTGCCCTTCTTTCAGGACCCTGAGGGTCAGGAGGCGCGCCTCTTCTGCAAGGTGGCTGACGATATGGACGATGGCATTGTGGCTGTGGCCCTCACAGACCGCCCAGCCCTCTTCCATAAATACGGTGTCATGGGGGAGACGGTGGCCCTCTTCCGGCGGATGGTGAGGCTGGTGTCCCCCGTGAATGGCGTTGCTTTGGATGGGAACTTTGGCCTCCTTCCTGGCCCTAAAGGTCCTTCTCTCTTTGCGCCTCCCCCCAGGACACAGAGGGCAGCGATGTCCCCAGAGTGGACTTCCCCGTTGATGAGGAGCTGGGCATGGATGAGGCAGAGTTGGCTCACTTCCTTGCAGTGCAAAGTCTGGAACTGGTGGTGGTGTTCACAAACCAGGTCTTGGAAGCGGGAAAACATTGCTTCTCTGAGTTGAGGGGGGTCCTGGGGCAGGGAGGGACCTGGTGCCTCCCCCCGCCAATGGCACACAGGCTCAGCCTGTCCCCCAACCCTTCCTCCGCAGAACTCCTCCAGGATATTCGGGGCCAAGGTCCCAAACCACCTGCTACTCTTTCTCAACAAGACAGAGGGGCCCCATCTGGGACTACTGGAAGGCTTCCGGGGAGCGGCCCCCACCTTCCGGGACCAGGTGAGATCCCCCACTCCGCTGCTTTCCCCAGCTATTGTGTTACTGTTACAGTGAGGATTTGTTGTTTATTCGTTCAGTCACTTCCGAATCTTCATGACCTCATGGACCAGCCCACGCCAGAGCTCCCTGTCGACCGTCATCACCCCCAGCTCCTACAGAGTCAAGCCAGTCATTTCAAGGATACCATCCATCAGGGCCATTGCCAGAAAAAAATTTCGGGGAGGGTTACATTTCAGGGGGGGGGGATTTGAAAATTTGGGAGGGTTGAAAATTTGGGGGGGGGGGGGGTTTGAAACCTGCCTCCTAGCTCACGCTGAAGCAAAGAGCACAGCAGGGGGCAGAGCAACCTTCATAGCCTGCAGCTCAACTCCTGTCAACCACCTCCACCAAGTCTGGCCTCCTTAATGAGAGCATTCAACACACACACACCCAACCTGGTTGCTTCACTACATCGGCTATTGCTGCAAGTAATGACAGTGTAAATAAATTGTCAATATTTGCTTGAGATAGTGCTTACAGTTCTGGAGGGACTCTTAATTTTTTGCATCTCATAGACTTAGCATGGGGATTTGGTTAACCAGTTAAAATTCATGAGTAAACCAGGTTTTTTTAAAAAATCTGAAACATTTCGGGGGGGGGTTGAACCCCTAAAACCACCCCCTCGCTACAGGCCTGCCATCCATCCATCTTGCCCTTGGTCGGCCCCTCTTCCTTTTTTCCTTCCATTTTCCCCAGCATCATTGTCTTCTCTAAGCTTTCCTGTCTTATGATGTGGCCAAAGTACTTCATCTTGGCCTCTACTATCCTTCCCTCCAATGAGCAGTCGGGCATTATTTCCTGAAGGATGGACTGGTTGGATCTTCTTGCAGTCCAAGGCACTCTCAGAATTTTCCTCCAACACCACAGTTCAAAAGCGTCTCTCTTCCTTCGCTCAGCCTTCCTTATGGTCCAGCTCTCACATCCGTAGGTTACCAAAGGGAATACCATGGCTTTGACTAGGCGGATCTTTGTTGCCAGTGTGATGTCTCTACACTTCACTATTTTATCGAGATTGGTCCTTGCTCTCCTACCAAGAAGTAAGCGTCTTCTGATTTCCTGGGCACAGTTTGTGTCTGCAGTAATATTTGCACCTAGAAATACAAAGTCTGTCTGGCCTCCATGTTTTCTCCCTCTATTTCCCAGTTGTCAATCATTCTTGTTGCCATAATCTTGGTTTTTTTAATGTTTAACTGCAACCCTGCTTTTGCACTTCCTTCTTTCACCTTGGTGAGAAGGCTCCTCAGCTCCTCCTCGCTTCTGGCCATCAAAAGGGTGTCATCTGCATATCTAAGGTTGTTAATGTTTCTTCCAGCAATTTTAACTCCAGCCTTGCATTTGTCAAGCCCCGCACATCGCATGATGTGTTCTGCATACAAGTTGAATAGGTTGGGTGAGAGGATACAACCCTGCCATACTCTTTCCCAATCTTGAACCAGTCTGTACAGTGAGGATATGGGATGGCTAATGAGGACCCAATCCTCAACATCAGTAACTGTCTAGCAGCCCTCTCATCTTGAGAAGGGTATGGCTTTGATGCTTATTTGCCTAACAGGTGGGGGCAGAGGCGGCCCTAGGTAATTTTCAAAGGTAAGCAAACAGTATTTTGGCGCCCCCCCCCCCCAACCAATCATTGATATATATTTTCTGTTTGTCGTGGGAGTTCTGTGTGCCATATTTGGTTCAATTCCATCATTGGTGGAGTTCAGAATGCTCTTTGATTGTAGGTGAACTATACATCCCAGTAACTACACTTGCCACACTTGCTCCCTTGCCTGGCCCGCTTTGGGTCCGGAGGCGTGCCTGAAGACCCCGACGTGTGCACCAAAAGTCACCTCTTCTCCTGACTTTCTCCTCAGCCATTGGGACCAAGAGAGAGAGAGAGAGAGAGGTGGAGATGCCCACCTTTCCTGAAGGTAGGCGCAAAAACAAAGGAGGGAGCGGAGGTGGGAGATACCTCCAGCCGGAGGGGCTCTCTCTCTCTCTCTCTCTTGGTCCCAATGGCTGAAGAGAAAGTCAGGAGAAGAGGCGCCTTTTGGTGAGCACGCTGGGTCTTCAGACACGCCTCCGGACCCGAAGCGGGCCAGGTGTGGCGGCTCCGCCCCTTGGCCCACCCATGGATTGGGGAGAGGAGGGGAGGCGGGTGGAGAGCCGGGGGATCGGGAAAGGGAGCCAATCATGGGGAAGGGATCGAACATGGAGAACGATTGAGCACCGGCTTTGCTCGCGCACCCGGTGGCCAGGTGGAGCAGGAACGAGAGGGGCTAGGCACAGCTCAAGGGCCCGGGCCCTTTGGGAAGAGGATCGCCCGGCAGCAAGGCAAGAAAGCCGAGGCTCCCCCCGGACTGCTAGGGCTGTTGTGAGCTGAGGGGGCGCTCCTCAAGTGGTGGTCGAGGGGCATTTACAGAGGCGCCTCTGCACCCCTGGCAAAAAAAAGTGTTCTGCGACTGCTTACTTCGCATAATGGACGAGCCGCCCCTGGACGAGGCCCAGCAGAGGGCCTCAAGGCTGTCCCCTCCTATTCACAGGTGCTCTTTGTGGTGGCTGATGTCGGTGGGGATGGGGCCAGCCTGCTCCACTTCTTCGGCCTGAAGAGCCATCAGGTCCCTGCCCTTCGGTTCATTCACATCGAGACCAACCAGAAGTATGCCTTGGACATTGAGGAAGGGCAGGGCCTCTCCGCAAATACCATCAACACCTTCTGCCAGGATGTGCTGGAGAGCAGAGTCCAGGTGGGGGGCAGTTAAAATGGTGGGGGGGGGGGGGTTGGAGACCGGGGCAAGAAAAGAGCTCCAGTTTTTGAGGGCATTTGCCTCTTTGTGCTTCTGCCTCCGTCGTTTGTGGGGCGCTCTGGGACTTTGCCCCAACTCTCTGCTTCGGCTCCATCCTTCAGCCCTACTTCATGAGCGAGGAGCCCCCAAGCGACTGGGACCAGCGGCCAGTTAAGACCTTGGTGGGGCAGACCTTTGAGCAGGTGGCCTTGGATGAGAGCAAGGATGTCTTCGTCAAGTTCTGTAAGTGGTCACTCATTTGCTATACCCAATGGGAACCCCTAATGGTGTTGGGGGGGGGGATCCTTGACTGTGAGGGGAAATGGGAGCAGTGGTGCTGCCCCTTGTGGGGCAGGTCCCCACAACACCCTCAGCCAACAAAGGATGATGGGTCTTGTAGTCCCTCATCCGTAGAATGGTCCCATGGAGTGAGAGGCAGCCGAGGGAGGGTCTCACTGAAGGGCCTGCGCTTGTGCCCACCCCAGACGCCCCCTGGTGCCCCCACTCCAAGGCCATGGCGCCCGCTTGGGAGCAGCTGGGCCAGAGGTTCCAGGACCGGCAGGACATCCTCATTGCCGAGATGGACGCCACGGCCAACGAGGTGCCAGGCCTGCCTATCCGCGCCTTCCCCACGCTCTACTTCTTCCCTGCCGGAAAAGGAAGAGAGGTAGGCCCAAGCGCTTGGATTGCTGAGGGGGGGGGGGGGAGGTATATATGAGGGCAAGGATCTGATGCGCTCTCCTTTCCGCCCCATAGATGACAGAGTACCGGGGTGACAGAGACCTAGAGAGCCTCTCAATATTCCTGGAAAACCGGGGGGAAACCCCTCCCAAAGAGGAGCCCCCGGTAAGTGTCGGCACCCCCCTCCCCAACAAACCACTTTGTACCATGTGCAAGCTGCCCAGCTGCCCCAAGTCCCTTAGGGAGATGGAGGCAGAATACAAAAATAAAATTATTATTACAGTATATTCTGGCGTATAAGACTACTTTTTAACCCAAGAAAATCTTCTCAAAAGTCAGAGGTCGTCTTATACGCGGGTGTAGTCTTATGCATGGGAGTCGTCTTAACTCTATATTTTAACTGGAAAAGTTGGGGGTCGTCTTATACGCCCAGTCGTCTTATATGCCGGAATATACGGTATATTATTATTATTATTATTAATAATAATAATAATAATAATAATAATAAGATCACTCTGCTGGCTGTTGTATTGGATCACACGTCAGACCCTTCCCAAGTGTCTAGGACTGTGTGATGTATCGACAAATAATGCGTGCAGATCCCAGTAAGGTGGCCTTTGCAGCTGGCAGATGGTAATTTTGTCAGTGCCGATTGTGTTTAAGTGCAGGCCAAGGTCTTTAGGCACTGCACCCAGTGTGCCGATCACCACTGGGACCACTTTGACTGGCTTGTGCCAGAGTCTTTGCAGTTCGATCTTTAAATCCTCATATCGTGTCAGCTTTTCCAGTTGTTTCTCTTCAATCCTGCTGTCACCTGGGATTGCAACATCGAGAATCCATACTTTGTTTTTTAACACAATCACGAGGTCAGGAATATTGTGCTCCAAAACTCTGTCTGAATTCAGAAGTCCCAGAGTAGTTTGACGTGTTCATTCTCTGTAACTTTTTCCGGCTTATGATCCCACCCGTTCTTTGTCGCAGGCAAATGGTATTTGTGGCACAAGTTCCAATGAATCATCTGAGCAATGGTGTTGTGCCTCTGCTTGTAGTCTGTCTGCACGATCTTCTTGCAGCAGCTGAGGATGTGATCTATCATTTAGTCTGCTTCCTTGCAAAGTCTACACTTGGGATCTGTCGTAGACTTTTCAGTTGTGGCTTTGATGGCATTGGTTCTGATTATTATTATTATTATTATTTTCTAGGAGGCCCCCAAAGAGGAGCTGAAGGAGGAGAGCCAAGCAAAGCCTCCAGAGCCAAAATATGAGCTGTAAAGACTGAACAAAGCTATAAAACCCACCCCTCTGGCAAAAGATATGGCTCCACCACTTCCTTTTTTCCGGGGACCCCCATGACCACACATAGAAGCAAACGGAAAGGGGCACCAATGAAGGCAAACGCGGAGGGCAACCCTTCAAACATGGGGTTTTATTCCATTATCATTATTATTATTATTATTATTATTATTATCCAAGTACCTTTCAAAAGATAAAATTGTACAAGTCGAGGTGTGAAAAATGTCCTGGAGGCACCAGCCGCCAACTGCCCAACCGCTGGCAGCTGATGCTTTGCTTACAAAATGTACATATTTACAGCCGAAGCCCCATCAGAAAACAGGGGAAACGAAGAAGACCTCTCCCCTCCGGGACGGACGGACAGGTCAGGCGCATTAAAAACCCCTCCCAGAAGGAAGGGAGGAAGCGGCCAGTCAGCCTCTTCTTCGGACCCAGGAGGAGAAGGAAGAGGAGGAGGAGAGAGCTGTGTGGTTTGAAGGCACTCAGTGAAGCAAATGCAGATGGGGGGCGGGATGCAGCAGTGAGACCCCCCCCCCAATCCCCTCAAGAGCCCTCTTTAAGAGGAAGGCCAGGCCAGGCCTCCCAGGCTCAGGGCAGCCCTGTCCTCCATGGAAAGCCCTTGAGGGCAGAGGCAATGGGGAGGGAGCCCCACAAAGCCCAGAGCAGGAAAGGGTCAAAGTGCACAAGGCCCCCTCTTCCTTCCTTCCCTCCCTCCCTCCCCATTCTGGAAAGTGGTGCCATGCAGGTTTTTCCCATTCATAACAGACTTGGAAGAGCAGCAGCAGCCCTTCCCTGCAGTGCCCCAGAACAGGAGGAACTCTTAGGGGACCCCACCGATCTCCCCACCACTAGTCGATCTTTTCCACTTTCCCAATGATCTTCTCCTCGAAGATGGGCAGGACAGCCTCGTCCTCCCGCACCTCTTCGAAGACCACACCGCAGTCGAATTCGTCGCTCACTTTCTTGAAGTAATACCTGGGGAAAGTCGGAAATCATAAGATTCGTAGAGTCGGAAGAGACCTCCTGGGCCATCCAGTCCAACCCCATTCTGCCAAGAAGCAGAAAAATCGCACTCAAAGCACCCCCGACAGATGGCCATCCATCCTCTGCTAAAAAGTCTCCAAAGGAGTTTCTACCACACTCTGGGGCAGAGAGTTCCACTGCTGAACAGTTCTCAAACTTAGGAAGTTCTTCCTCATGTTCCTGTAGTTTGAAGCCATTGTTCCACTGTGTCCTGGTCTCCAGGGCAGCAGAAAACAAGCCTGCTCCCTCCTCCCTATGACCTCCCCTCACATTTTGATCCATGCCCCTCATCATGTCTCCTCTCAGCCTTCTCTTCTGCAGGCTAAACATGCCCAGCTCTTTTTAAGCCACTCCTCATAGGGCTTGTTCCCCAGACCCTTAAGGGAGGGAGCTGTAGGTCCAGTCAAAGAGAATGTACCCCAGAAAGGCCTGAGATCTAAGAACAGGCCAGGGAGAGACCCCTCCACCTGCCCCATGGCCTCACCTTGCACCCCGTAAGGACCCATTGGGCCCCTCTGGCGGGTGCCACTCTTCCATCCCCGTCTCTCACCTGTAGTTCCCTTTCTTGGTGAGCAGCTCCTTGAACTGGCCCAGGGTGACCACGCGTCCTTTGACCAGCGTCCGGTAGGGGATGGGCTCCCCGCAGAAGTAGTAGGCCACCACAATGTTGTCGCAGGGCGGCTGGGGAGCTGGTGGGGGCCGCTTCTGGGTCTTCCCCCTGGAGACAAACACAAGGCAGAGGGACATTACGACCAGGACACTGACCAGTTGATGCTTGCTGGGCTGTGAGTCCCATCAGCTTTGAAACAATGGGCCTGCAGCTGCATCTGGCTGCCCATGGACCCCAGCAGAGCTGCCTTTCAGGACCAGGACCAGGAGGAGTGTGTGGGGAAGGAGGGAGTACGGGGTGACCTCTCCCCAAAACAGCCCCTCTTTTGCCTGGAAAGCCCCTCCTGGACCTCCCACCCCACCAAGCAACACTCAGACATGGACTCACACACAGAGATGGGGGGATAGAGCAGGAGGGCAGGGGAGAGGATGGGGACACATACTCGGGTGGTGTAGAGAGGTCCAGGTCGGAGACAGCGGGCACCACATTCAGGACCGGCAGGCAGGCCGGTCTGGCCGAGGAGGAGGAGGAGCGCCCTCGCTGGATGACCTCCTGGACATACCTGGGGAACAACCTCAGAGATTAGGCTTTCCTCCCCTGGAGAAGGGAGGAAGGAAGGGCAGGGGAGGGGAGGGGCTCCCCGAGGGGCCTGTCTGTCTATCTGGGAAGCAGGGGCTCTTGCCACCTGCCAGGCCTTCAGGCAAACCCAGCGCAAGCAGCACAGAGGTGGGGAGGGAAAGGTCTTGGGGAGACCCAGGACACCATCCTAGGGCTTCTGTTGGGAGCATTTGCACACAGTCATCCATTCAGGAAACGGAGCACTCAGGGTCTCTGCCCACCACAGAGTTACTATTATTTATTTACTTCGTTTCTACCTCGCCTTTCTTGACCCCGGAGGGGAGTCAAGGTGGCTTACAAATCCGGCAAAAATTTAATGCTGCACAAATAAACAATAAAACACATCTCATCAAAATATAAAACAACCCAAACATATAAGCAATTAAAATACATATCTATCAAACAGATTAAAATGCTGACTACCCTCCCTATGCGCCCTCCAGATGTGTCATGGGCAGACCATACAGAGGGAGACTCACTCACACCCATTACGAGAGGAAGGAAGCTGGTCCAAGGCCAACTGCAGCCCCCAAGGCCCTCCCCTCTGGTCCTGGAAGGCAGCTCTTTGACCCCAGTGGAGGCCCTCCACCAGCCCCCCTCCAGCCACAGCCTGTACCTCTGCTTTCCTGGGACCTTCCCCGTCCGCTTCTCCTCCTCCTCCAGCCTCCGGCGGGCCTCCTCCAACTGCGTCAGGGGGTTGGGGGCCGGGTTGGGGGGCATGGTGGGGTCCTGGATGAAGGGGTGCGAGGGCTGCACCACGTTCCGCAGCTGAGCGCTGACCCAGGGGTGCAGGGCCACGGGGCGCTCCACGGAGGCTGGCCGCGGCAGGTCATGGCCTAGCTGCTTCTTAACGCCGGAGGAACTTTACAGAGGGAAGGAAGAGAAGACTGGGTAATGGCCCCAAATCACAGCCCCTCCCGCAAATACAAGGCAATGCTGGTGCTGTCACGGAAAGGACCTCCCCTCTTTGCCAGCTGAGGGTTCCCCATGTTTGGTGCCCAGAGGAGGACATCCATTGGGCATGGGCTGCCCTATGATTCTCCCCTCAGCTCCATTCCCATGTGTTTTTCCTTTACAGGCATTCACATTCCCTTTTCTAACGTATTTATGTATTTTCTATTTCTCTACCCCGCATTTCTCAACCCCATAGGGGACTCAAGGTGGCTTACATATATAGGCAGCAATTTGATGCCAAAAACACACAAAATAAGAACATATACATTGAACCAATTATTTAAAACACATAAAACCTTAAAACCACTACTTTAAAATCACAGAATCCAATATCATAGTCTGCAGTCATTCCAACATGTCATTGCACTATTCCATAATTTTCTTATTGCGTTGACAGATTACTCACTGAATGCTTGGTCACACATCTATGTCTTTTGTTTTGCAATGCAACCATTAAGTATCCTTTTATTCAAGTCAAAGTATGAAATATTTTGTGGGTTTATGCATTACGCTTTCTGCATCCTCATAATCGTAAATCATAATTCGTAAGAGCTTGAAGACCTGGTGGTTTCAACAAGCCTTTGAAAATGACCAGTTCTAACTCAGCCCCACACATTGTCTAATACGGCCTTATTCTTCCTACCAATTACCCAGATCATTTCCTCTAATCGGCCCCGGAATGAACAGCCACAGACCTAATATTATTGTTGCCTGCCATAGCATTGCACTTAATTCCCAGGCCCCCTAGAATTTTTGGGCTTGCACAAATCTTGGCCCGGCCTTTTAAATTTTTAAATTGCCTTGAACAGGCAGGATTATTTTTAATATATGTGTGTTATGGCAACAATTTTTATGCTTATATTTTGTTTTGTTAATCTTATGGTTATGTTGTTTTTACTCTGTATGTTTTGTGATATTACTTGGGAATCGCTCTGAGTCCCCTCGGGGAGATGGAGCGGTATATAAATATATTATTATTATTATTATTATTATTATTATTATTATTATTATTATCCTGCTAGTTACTGCATGGCTATCGGGTGTGGCCCCTACGGTGATGGGGATACTGGTTTCAATGTGATATATAGCATACTTTGATCTGAGTAAATGGTTACTTAATGGTTGCATTGCAAAACCAATCTGCTTGTAGAACAAAATTTTCTCCTTCAGAAGATAGTTTTCACAAGCATATTCAGTTAGACACTTTTGAAATAATTGACTTTGAACTTTGGTGGATTTTATCATTTGTGCCGAACGTGCCAGATTTGAAGAGATCCTGCAGGGCAGTTAAAGATGCTGGATAGTTGCAAACCTGGCAGTATTATGTCCAGCACAAGCATCATGCTTGGTCAAAAATTCAAATCCGTAACTTGGTTTGCATTAAAAAGGTTGCAGTCTAAACATTGGTCAAAATTTGTCGCGACACATTCTGATGCACACTTTTGAGTCAACTTGTTTGACTGGATTTTGCCTCCATAATGTCTAAATTAATTTCATCAGAATCAGCAGGGAAAAAAAACTGTACAGGATTTCAATTTACTAGTCATCATTCTTATACCTTTAGTTTCCATTTTATTAGACCCCCAAAATCCCATTTCTTAAATGTCGTGCTCACACTAACTACCCTTCAGATAAAGGGGTCTAGATCAGCAACTATTGCAGTCCCACACCTCAAATTTTGGGAAACTTAGTTTAACACCTGACTGGTGCTACAGCTAAAATTTGAACAAAATTGGAGAATATGATGGTGAGAACTTTTAGACCACTTGGTATGGACCTAAAGGTCAGGATCTAATTTCACTTGGAAGGGGGTTTCATAGCCAAGGGGCCACCACTGATAAGGCCCTGTCTCTCGTTCCCACCAATCGCACATGCATGCAATTCCTCTCTTCTCTCCAACAGGATGCTTTCCTGCTCTGGCCTTTGGGCCTAGGAGACACATACACAGGCACACCCCCCACAGGGCTCACCTGTGGCCAGTCTTCTTGTGCCGGCTGATCTCCTTCTCACCCTCGATGATCCACTGGAGGATCTTCTGGTTCCTCTCCACATCCTCTGGTGACCCAGGGACTTCATAGCCGTCGCCTTTGCCCCCCTCGCCCTTCTTGGCACTACGCTTGGAGAGGAGGCTGGCTTTGCCGCTGCAGAGAAGTGAGTAAGGAGGGGGAGGATGAAGGCCAAGGGGCAGAGCCATATCTCTGAGCCAGGCTCCCTCCCCTCCCAAGGCCCGAGGGGCCCACATTGCGAAGCAGTCGTGGTGTAGCTCAAGTAGGCCTCCCTCCCTCCCTCCCCCCATTTTCCCATGTCTCACCTGTAGGCCGCAGGGTCCAGGCAGGCGCTCTCCCCGTAGAGCCGGGGCTTGTGGGCACCTTCCACGCCCCACCCAAAGGGACCGACCACCCGCCCCACGGGGCCCTCGGCCTCCGCAGGGGGCGGCTCCTTGCCCTTGAGGGGACCGTGGTGATGTGCCGCATGGTGAAAGACGTGCTTGTGGTGGTGCAGGCTGGCGCCCTCCAACCTGGGCCCCACCTTCCCCGCATGCTTCCCGTGCCCCAAGGGCAATGGGGGCCCCACCACTGCCATGGGGCCATGGAGGGCGGGCTTGCCGAGGGTCACAGCGGGGCCACTGTCTGGGGAGCGGGGCTTGGGGGACTGGCAGCCAGGGGTCTTCATAACCCGCTGGACGTGTTCATCCAGGATGCTCTCCGGGTTCTCCTCGTGGGCGTCCCTGGGCGGGGCCTCGGAGTAGCAGCGGGGGCCGAAATGGGGCAGGAGCACCTTGTGGCCCCCCAGGCAGGGGCCCAAAGGCATTTCCAGCTCCTCGCCTTCTTCCTCCTGCAAAAGGCACCAAATGAGTCTGGTGAAACTAGAGGAGGGGTCTCCCAAAGCCCGACAAAAGGTCGGCAAAAGGTCGTGCCTCTGCCCTGACCTCCCTAATCTTTGCCACAGAGAAAGGAACCCCCAAGGAAAAGGGGCATGGATGAGGGTGGGAGTAAAGCTTGAGGAAGTGGCCCCAACCAATGGGACAGGCCCCCCAAAGCACCCGTTCCCTCACTCACTGCACGGACGCGTTTCAGTCGCTCCTCCAGCTTAGCCTCGGCTTCCCGGTCCCTCAGGACCTCCTCCAGCCGATGGATCAGCTCCGCAGCAAACTTCTGGGGTTCAACGTGGATATCCTTTGGCATTCGATAAGTACGCTTCATGGAAAAGATGCAGAGAGGGAATGAGCCCCACATCATCCCATCCCCATATGAGAAGGGCCCCCTTCCCAGTTTGGGGGGACCACACAGGGGAACACTGGGGCCAAGCCCACTCACAGGAATGTGAGGTAGAGGCACACGTCCGTTGGCTTTGGCACTTTCCTGCATCTCTCTGCGATGCTGCTTCCGGAGTCGGTAGGGAGGGATCCCGTCTCTGCCAAGGGAAGGAGGTGTCAGGGGGCACCCCACGGCAGAACGACCAGAAGCATGCTGCCTCCTGCAGCCAGGAAGGGCCTTGCCTCCTTCTCCCCTTTGGCAGCCCCTTCCCTTTAACTGCTACTGTCCCTCCGTTTCGTCCACAATTGGGGGGACAGCCCCTATTCTTCCCTAAATAAGAATTGGCTGCGTCCCTGCCCAACCCCAATCCCCAATCCCCCCTTCGCCCTGCTCACACGCTGCTGTCGGTCAGCGACATGGTGTCGGCATCACTGGACATGCTGTGCTGCTCGCTGTCATTGGCACTGGCGGCCGGGGCCAAAGCGAAGCCCGTGTTGACGTAGTAGGGGTGCACCGGCTCCCTCCACGGACTGGGTCTGGCAGCAGAAAGCAAGGGGCACCGAGGTCAGGGCAAAGGGGCACAAGGACCTCCTCCCCAAAGGGTGTATCTAGACCTGCTGCCTGGTCAGAAAAGGGTTTGCGCAAACAAAAGCAAGGAGGGGCGTCCATCCCGCACGCACAGGCTTTGGCCAGACCATGAAGAGGGCATTGGGCGGCCAGGCTCTAGAAAAGGTCTCTCTTCTCTTGTCTAGGGCGGGCTCCTCCTGTGCCAAGTGGGGCAGTAAAGCCACAGGAAAGGACTCCAGAACCACAGCCAGCCAAATAGGGCCAATGGAATCAAGCCTTGGAGAATATTTAGCCCCTAGTTGTCCTACGTAGTAGTCGCACATCCTTCACTTTATCCCATGCCCTCTCTCCATTACTGCAGCTGGTACTTATTTTATTCCAATGTTTACATTCTGGCCATGGTGCCAGTAATTTACCACCACAGTTAGAGGATTGCAGCTTGATTGAGTCTGGGTTGATGTTTTTATATGTGCATGTGTTTTATGTTATTGTATGTTATATTGCGTTCACTTTTATGTTTGTTGTTTGGCACTTTGTGCCATCTGTAAGCTGCCTTGAGTCCCTTCAGGGAGATGGTGATGGTGGTAGGATATGAGAATAAAGATATTATTATTATTATTATTATTATTATTATTATTATTATTATGGCAAGCATCCTCAGAGGTAGTGAGGTCTGTTGGAACTAGGAAAATGGCTTTATATATCTGTGGAATGACCAGGGTGGGACAAAGAACTCTTGTCTGCTGGAGCTAGGTGTGGATGTTTCAACTGATTTCTGCATTGCTTGTCACTTGGAGGAAACATTCCTAGGAGGGGGACATCTTTGCTCCTGAGGAAGCCCTCCTTGGGGCAATGGAGCAGGCAAGCCATTCTCCAGCACTGACAATCCCTTGAGCCATTTCAACAGACCCCCTAAGGGCCCTTCCACACAGCCCTATATTCCGGAATATCAAGGCAGGAAATCCCACATTATCTGAGCGTGGACTCAGATAACCCAGTTCAAAGCAGATATTGTGGGACTTCTGCCTTGATATTCTGGGATATAGTGCTGTGTGGATGGGCCTTGATTTCTCTCCCTCCACCCCAGAGATATAGAACCACTTCCAGACAGGAGAAGGGGGTCACCATGCCCCAACCCTGTTCAAATGTTTGCAGATTCTAAATTGTATTGAAATTCTTTTAATGCAAACCACTTTGAAAGTCTCTTTGTGGAGAGAAAAAATGGGGTATCAACAAACATATAAACATAATACTAAACATCAAAATAATATTAACTTCTGGCTGCTGTCCATGGTCCAAGCAGCCCCACAGCTCCCCCTTCCCAGCTCTGTCCAATCTGGTCCTGTGGCAATCCTGATAATCCCAAGGAGGCCCCACAAGCACCAAAATCCAAGCCCAGGAAAGAATCCCAACCATCTCAGCCCCCCTTCTGCCATTCACCCTTTGCCCCCTGCCCCCACCATCCCTCCTAAGTTCTGCAAATGGGGTCCTGTTTACAAATCTCTTGGGGCCATTTAGAGCTGGATTTGCTTCTAAAGCATTTTGAGAGCAACAAAAGCAGAAAACATGGACCAAGGCATGCTTTCAGAGGGCCACCGATTGTGCGCCTGCAAGCGCACACACAAGGAAAGCGCATGCTGTCCTCCACTCTGTGTTCTATTTTTACCACAAACATTTGGTGCACAATTGAGAAGGAACAGGTGACAGTGGGGTCCTGCCTCCGCAAACAACCAGAGGCCTGAGAAGTCAATGGGGAGGAGCAGGGGAGAAGGGGGCTTTTGTCCAAGCCAGCTATGCTACTCCCTTAACCCTCAGGGAGGGTGTCTCTTGTGCCAGGCCCCAACTGGCATACACCCCCCCCCCCAACCTTCAGATGCCTGGTGCACAGTAGGGGCTCTGAAAGCTTCTTTTTCTTATAATCATTGTTGACAATTCCTGTACAAGCAACAGGATATTGTTATCTCTGGGATCCTAGGGACAGCAGTCTGGAAGGAAGAGGGGACATTCAGAGCTTGTCCCCCACATTGAGATGGGTCACCAGTGTGTCTGATTATAAGGGGGGGGGGGAAGGATACCATTGATTTAGGAGGATGCTCCCTGTTCTGCCAGTACTTAGGTGGAACTTGTCAGTAAATCAGAACAGGTACATTTTAAGTATAACTCCAGCCTCCATCTATCTATCTATCTATCTATCTATCTATCTATCTATCTATCTATCTATCTATCCATCCATCCATCCATCCATCCATCCATCCATCCATCCATCCATCCATCCATGTTTATTCATTGTAGCTTTGGATAGCACAGGGAAGGGTAAAAAAAACCCCTGTTGCATTTGTTTTACTGTCTGTGCCCTCGTTCAGAAGGTGCCGGTTCACTTTCTGTCCCTTTGATAATTGGATTTTGGAAATTTTGGTTTGTTGTGGAAATAAGGATTGGAGATAAAGCTTCAGCAAAGACCCCTTTTCCCCATGATAATAACTCTAACAGAAATGGATTTCCCTTCCTTCCAAAAGGAAGATGTCTCTCACTTCCTGTTGTCTCAACCCCATTCTTAATTCTGAATCATTTATGTCAGATGTTGGTAACTTGCGGACTGATCTATAAACAATAGGATATAATTACATCAAGGGGACCACTGACTGCTTAGGGAAGCTGATGAAGAAACACAACCTACAAACAGACCCACTAAGAAAATCCAACAAATGCTACGTTCAGCAAAGGACAAGAGGGTTCTTCTCACCTCTGCAGGAGTCTACCGTATACCATGCAGCTGTGGACAAGTCTACATAGGGTCCACTAAACATAGCAGCGCCCAGACACGCATCAAGGAACATGAAAGGCACTGCAGACTACTTCAACCAAAGAAGTCAGCCATTACAAAGCACCTGATGAACCAACCTGTACACAGCATATTATTTGAGAACACAGAAATGCTGGACCACTGTCACAACCACCATGTCAGACTACACAGAGAAGTCACTGAAATTCACAAGCATGTGGACGATTTCAACAGAAAGGAAAAGACCATGAAAATGAACAAAATCTGGCTACCAGTATTAAACAACTCTAAAATTAGGACAGTTAATAAAGAACAACATGCAGAAAACAAGGGAATTCCAGACAGGAAACAATCAGCACCAGTGAACATCTCCCAACAAAGGATTCCCCTAGGCAGGAATCAGGCAAGCCTTGAAGCTGCAAGGTTTTGCAATGCTGATCAAGATGGTTAATTGCAACATTCCCACTTGCCTCCAACAGACAAGAGTTCTTTCTCTCACCCTAGACCTTCCATAGATAGATAAACCTCCCTTGATTAGTTTCCAACAGACCTCACCTCTGAGGATGCCTGCCATAGATGTGAGCAAAACATCAGGAGAGAATACTTCAGGAACATGGCTATACTGCCCGGAAAACTCACAGCAACCCAGGATATTGTTATGAGATCCCAGGGATAGCAGTCTGGAAAGGAGGACGCCATTCCCAGCCTGTACCCCACATTGAGATGGGGCACCAGTGTTAGGGGAAAGGATGCCACTAATTAGGGGTGCTTCCTTTTCTGACAAGCTTTTGACCATGTTTAGGCTCTTTAATAATATATAAATGAGGACCTTTAGATTCTTTATTAACACCCTATACTTCTGAGATCGAATACTGCTGTTTTACCTACAGCAATTGCTGTATTTTATTGATTTTACCAGAGGATACTGTGAATTTATGATACTGTATTGATTGTTTATTGTCTACTTGTATGTTTTGCTTAGCACTTTTGTATATTGTATATTTTGTTTATCCAGTGTGCCTTCCCTGAATAAAGGAAACAATCCCCTGCAAACACTTTGAGAAGCACTTTAATTACCCGTTGCATTGCTCTTTACTTTTGATTTAAAACCCTCCAAATAGATACATCCTCTGCTTATGTCCAGCATTTATTTTTCAAGTTTTAACTATTACATTTGGCCCAGCCATAGGTTTTTAAACTCTTGTGTGTTATTGTCTACTTATGAGTTATATGAATTGTATTGTTTATTTTGTTTATTGCTTGTTATTTTATTATTGCTTGTTGCTTTTGATGTGCTGTTGGGCTTGGCCTCATGTTAGCTGCTCCAAGTCCCTTGGGGAGATGGTGGCAGGGCATAAAGTATTATTATTATTATTATTATTATTATTATTATTATTATTATTATATTGCATGTCACCTTGAGTGTTTTGTGAGCTGTCCCGAGTCCCTCTGGGAGATGGTGGCAAGATATAAATAAAAGTTGATTATTATTACTATTATTCCTGCCTTTCCAATACAGCCATGTGCCCTGCTGCAGTGACAGGCTGTTCTCCAGCACTCTCTCAGACAGAAGGGCCGGAGAGTGCCTCTTTCAGTAGCTGGAGAAAGGCACTGCCCTCTTCCCCAGAGAAGCCTCTTGTGGCCCAACTCCCAGCCAGGACCCCTCCGTTCCCCTCGATATGTGACGACAAGCCCTTGCCTCTCACCTGAACTCCCGTCCCTCGCTGTAGCGTCTGGGGGCCACTGCGGAAGTGCTGCTAGGGCTGATGGCAGAGGGAGGGGCTCCGTGAGTGGGCTGCTGGACGGTGGTCTCCCTTAGCAGCGTCTGGGTCAGGCATCCAGCGGGGGCAGGCAGCAAGGGGTCCCTTGGGGCTTCAACCACTGCCCGGCCCATGGCTCCCTTCCCCTCAGGAACCCCCTCGCCCTTCCACTCCTCATCCTCATTGAGGGTGGGAAGGTAGCCTGGGAGGCCCTTCCCATTGCTTTCGGGGCTGTGCTCTCCACAGGGGCCCTTTGGGCTCTCCCCGCCTCCACAGCCCCCTCCTCCTCCACCACTCCTGGCATATTCCAGGTAGATGTCGGACTTGAGGAAGAGCGGGTAGGAGTGCTCCTCAATCGCAGCTTGGACCTCAGTCTGGGCCTGATCGAAGGCGTCCGGATCCACCAGCTGCCGCAGGACACAGTCCCTGATGAAGCTCTTGGTGGCCGGCTTGACCCTGCGTGCAACCACGCCGGCACCGTGCAAAACATACTTTTTGTAGATGGCCCTGGCCAGCTTCAACCGCTTCTCCTCGCTGCCCTCGCTGGGCGCCAGCTTCCGGAAACCACTGCAGGCGAACCAGAAGTCCAGCAGGTCGGCACAGCCTTCCTCGCGCAGGAAGCTGCGGAAGAGTTGGGTCCCATCCCGGTCGTCCAACAGCGAGTGTAGAGAGCCGGCCCAGCGCAAGGCAGGGGGTGTTGGGGAGGCGCTGCCCTCAGGCTCATAGCCCAGGTCCAGGTCCGGCCGACGGGGTGTGGCTTCTGCCTTGAGGGCCTCCCCACCGTGGAAGAAGCCCCCGTGGCTGGGCAGGCGCCCTGTTTCCGCGGAAACCAGCTCTCCTTCCTCGCCGGGGACCGGGGGTCGCGGGGCGTCCTCCGAGAAGCCGCCCCCAGGGTCCGGCGTGAAGCCAGGGACACTCATCCTTGTTGCCAGGGCCACTGCGTCCGTCCGGAGGAGAAGGGGCAGGGCAGTGGGAGCCTCTCAGCGTGCCCCCAGGCAGGAGGCCCAGCGCCAGCTGCAAGGAACAAGGAGAGTGTCCAGTTTAATGCCCGATGCACAAGTGAAAGCAAATAAAAGGGGCTTTACTTCAGCCAAAATAAGTGAATATACACTGGGTTATTGTAGGTTTTTCGGGCTATATGTCCATGTTCTAGAAACATTCTCTCCTGACGTTTCACCTGCATGTATGGCAAGCGATGCTTGCCATACATGCAGGCGAAACATCAGGAGAGAATGCTTCTAGAACATGGCCATATAGCTCGAAAAACCTACAATAACCTAGTGATTCCAGCCATGAAAGCCTTCAACAATACAGTGAATATACAGTAACACAAAACAGAGTCTTTCCTTCAGACAACAAATTAAAGTCATGCAAATCAGAAGTCTTCAAACAGGTAGCAAACAATGTCTTGGAAACAAAACAGCCTTACAAACAATAAGATCGGATGGTGGAATCACGGCAGGGTGCTGGTAGCAGGAGCTCCCCCAGAATAGGTCAGTGGCAGCCAGTACTGAGCCCTTGACTTTGCTAATTTATAGTCCAGCACAGTTATCCCTAGAGCTGAATGTTCAGTGTGTTCTCTGCTAGCCTCAATGATCTTATAGAATCACAGAGTTGGACGAGACATCCTGGGCCATCCAGTCCAACCCTGTGCCAAGAAGAAGGAAAAATGCATTCAAAGCACCCCCAACAGATGGCCATCTGGAGTCCCTGACTTTGCTGCTAATTTATAGTCCAGCACAGCTATCCCTAGGGCACGGTCTGAATACTCAATGTTTTCTCTGCTAGCCTCACTGATCTTATAGAATCACAGAGTTGGACGAGACATCCTGGGCCATCCAGTCCAACCCTCTGCCAAGAAGAAGGAAAAATGCATTCAAAGCACCCCCAACAGATGGCCATCCACTTCCAACAGACCTCACTACCTCTGAGGATGCTTGCCATAGATGCAGGTGAAACGTCAGGAGAGAATGCTTCTAGAACATGGCCATATAGCCTGAAAAACCTACAACAACCTAGTGATTCCAGCCATGAAAGCCTTCAACAATACAGTGAATATACAGTAACACAAAACAGAGTCTTTCCTTCAGACAACAAATTAAAGTCATGCAAATCAGAAGTCTTCAAACAGGTAGCAAGCAATGTCTTGGAAACAAAACAGCCTTACAAACAACAAGAGTCTTCAGAGATCAGACGGTGGAACCACAGTAGGGTGCTGGTAGGAGGAGCTCCCCCAGAAAGGTCAGTGGCAGCCAGTACTGAGCCCCTGACTTTGCTGCTAATTTATAGTCCAGCACAGTTATCCCTAGAGCTGAATGTTCAGTGTGTTCTCTGCTAGCCTCATTGATCTTATAGAATCGTAGAGTTGGAAGGGATCTCCAGGGCCATCCAGTCCAACCCCCTACCAGGAAGCAGAAAAATCGCATTCAAAGCATCCCCAACAGATGGCCATCCAGCCATCCACTTCCAACAGTCCTCACTACCTCTGAGGATGCTTGCCATAGATGCAGGCGAAACATCAGGAGAAAATGCCTCTAGAACATGGCCATATAGCCCGAAAAAACCTACAACAACCCAGTGATTCTGGCCATGAAAGTCTTCGACAATACATTCGACAAAGTCCCTGACTTTGCTGCTAATTTATAGTCCAGCACACCTATCCCTAGGGCACGGTCTGAATACTCAGTGTTTTCTCTGCTAGCCTCACTGATCTTATAGAATCACAGAGTTGGACGAGACATCCTGGGCCATCCAGTCCTGGGCTGTCCAGTCCAAGCATTCTGCCAAGAAGAAGGAAAAAATGCATTCAAAGCACCCCCAACAGATGGCCATCCAGCCATCCACTTCCAACAGACCTCACTACCTCTGAGGATGCTTGCCATAGATGCAGGCGAAACGTCAGGAGAAAATGCCTCTAGAACATGGCCATATAGCCCGAAAAAACCTACAACAACATAGTGATTCCGGCCATGAAAGCCTTCGACAATACATTCATCCAGCCTCTGTTTAAAACCTTCCACCACCACATGCAGGGGCAGAGAGTTCCACTGCTGAACAGCTCTCACAGTCAGGAAGTTCTTCCTAATGTTCAGATGGGATCTCCTTTCGGCGTTGCAGAAATGAAGGGATTTCTGATCTATCTGCTGCCTCTCCTCCTTCTTCTTCCTCCCCAACACTCAGGCCCAAATCCCCAGAGTCAGAAGAGCAGTCCACAACAGAGAGAGACAATGGCAAAGGTGGGCTGCCAGGTGGCCCCACAACACACAGCCTCAGGCCAAGCGGTGGGAGACCTGCCAGGCTCCAGGCTCCCATCCTTCCCAGTCTGCCCTGCCTGCAGACCCATCATCCCCATCCAGGGGGGAGGCGCCTGGGGAGTGGGGTCACGACCCCGGAAGCACCTGGAGGCACTTCCGGGGCGCCCAGAACCCCCGCACCTGGCTCACCTTCGGCCCGGCTGAGGCGGGAGGAGGAAGAGCCGGGGCCCAGGAGGCGGGGAGACCGAGGAGGAGGAGGAGGAGAAGGGCGGGCGGCGGCGGCGGGGGCCCATCTCGCTCTCCCCGCAGGAGACGGACGGGGTCACGCCGGGCCCGCTTCCTTCCTCCCTCCCTCGCTCTCTTTCTCGCTCGGCGGGGCCTGGCCTCTTCCTTCGCTCCTTCCTTCCTTCCTCCCTTCTTCCTTCCTTCCGTTCTTCCGCCGCCAGAGACGCAGAGGAGCTGGCCCAACAGCGCCCCCTGGCGGCCCGGATGCGCCTGCGCAGCCGGAAGAGCCGAAAAGGAAAGGAAGAGGCAGGCGCCGGAAGGAAGGCAAGAAGGGAGGAGAGAAGCCCCGCCCCTCCTCTTGGCTCCGCCCCTCCTCTGAGCCCCGCCCCCTTGCGGGCCTCTCTCAAACACACACATTCTCAGGTTAGGTTTTCCGGGCTGTATGGCTCTGTTTAGCATTCTCTCCTATGGCAGGCTTCCTCAGAGATTGTGAGGTCTCCTGTTGGAAACTAGGAAAAATGGGGTTTATATATCTGTGGAAAGAACTCTTGTCTTTAGTCGTCCAGAGGAGGGCGACTAAAATGATCCAGGGTCTGGAGAACAAGCCCTATGAGGAGCGGCTTAAGGAGCTGGGCATGTTTAGCCTGAAGAAGAGAAGGCTGAGAGGGGATATGATAGCCATGTGTAAATATGTGAGAGGAAGCCACAGGGAGGAAGGAGCAAGCTTGTTTTCTGCTTCCTTGGAGACTAGGACGCGGAACAATGGCTTCAAACTACAACAAAGGAGATTCCATCTGAACATTAGGAAGAACTTCCTGACTGTGAGAGCCGTTCAGCAGTGGAACTCTCTGTCCCGGAGTGTGGTGGAGGCTCCTTCTTTGGAAGCTTTTAAACAGAGGCTGGATGGCCATCTGTCAGGGGTGATTTGAATGCAATATTCCTGTTTCTTGGAAGAATGGGGTTGGACTGGGTGGCCCATGAGGTCTCTTCCAACTCTTTGATTCTATGATTCTATGCTTGAGGCAAGTGTGAATGTTGCTGTTGGCCTGCTTGATTAACATTTGATAGCCTGGCAGTTTTTTTGTTTGTTTGGTTCTTACTGCCTGGGGGAATCCTTTGTTGAGAGGTGATTAGCTGTCCCTGATTGTTTCCTCTCTGGAGTTTCCCTGAGTTTGAGTGTTGTCTTGCTGTTATAATTTTAAAGTTTATTAATACTGGTATCCAGATTTTGTTCATTTCCATGGTTTCCTCTTTTCTGTTGAAATTGTCCACATGCTTGTGGATTTCAATGGCGTCTCTGACATGGTGGTTGTGAGAGTGGTCCAGCATTTCTGTGTTCTCCAATAATATGCTGTGTCCAGGTTGGTTCATCAGGTGCTCTGCTATGGCTGACTTCTCTGGTTGGAGTAATCTGCATGCCACATTATCACGGGGTGTGTGCAGCCCCTGGTAGCGCAGTAGGTTAAACCCCTGTGCTGGCAGGACAGGTCGCAGGTTCGAATCCGGGGAGAGGCGGATGAGCTCCCTCTATCAGCTCCAGCTCCTCATGCGGGGACATGAGAGAAGCCTCCCACAAGGATGATAAAACATCTAATCATCCAGGCGACCCCTAGGCAACGTCCTTGCAGACGGCCAATTCTCTCACACCAGAAGCGACTTGTAGTTTCTCAGGTCACTCCTGACACGACCAAATTATCATGGGGTGTCTGTGCCCTACACCACTGGAGAAATTACACTGTTTACCTGGTATTACACCACCTGACATCTGCCGGGAAGTAGCAACCAATCGTGAAAGGACCAAGGCAGTGACATCTCCAGCTCATCCCCTGTTTGGGTATCAGCCAGCACATCAACCACTTAAATCAAGAAATAGTTTTCTAAGATCTACAGAGACACTCGCTGGAACACCTCAGCAAGCGAGAGTCTAAAAGTGGCAGGCTCAAACCCAGAACCTCAATCAGTGGCTGATACCAAATGAGAGACTCCCTCCTGGGCACACAGAAGACTGGGCAACTTGGCAGGCGCTGAACAGACTGCGCTCTATCACCACGAAATACAGAGCCAGCCTCAAGAAATGTGGCTACAAAGTGGAATCCACAACATGCGAGTGTGGAGAAGAGCAAACTACAGGCCACCTGCTGCAATGCAACCTGAGCCCTGCCACATGCATAATGGAAGACCTTCTTATAGTAACACCAGAGGCACTCCAAGTGGCCAGCTAGTAGTCTGCAGTGCCTTCCATGTTCCTTGATAATAATAATAATAATCTTTATTTATACCCCGCCACAATCTCCCCCAATGGGGACTCGGGGCGACTTACATGAGGCCAAGCCCAAACAACAAATTACAACAAAATAAAAACCCAAATACAAGCAACAACACAGTGAAATACATAAAACATATGAATACAATGAGGATCTCAAAGCCTGGTTTTTCCAATGCGCTTTTGGAGAGTAGCCATATTATCATACGCAGTTGCTCCCCCTCAACGGTTTTTGTCCGCAGAGTATATTTCCCCACCTGTATGAAGGTCTATATTTATGACCCTGTTCCTTTATGAGTTTCTCCCCCACAAACAATCTGCTCCATCCCTATCTCATCCTGATTTTAGCATTTTTAGTATCTTAGTTTTTATCTTGCACATGTGACTTGCTCATTGTTATGTTATTTTATTGTGTATGATTTTGCTTTATTGTTTTTGTACTCATGTGTTGTATGTATTTTACTGTGTTGTTATTGTGTTTTGGTTTTACTTTATTGTAATATGCTGTTGGGCTTGGCCTCATGTAAGCCGCTCCGAGTCCCTATTGAGGAGATGGTGGCGGGGTATTAAATAAAGAATATTATTATTATTATTACAATATGCAAAATCACAATAACAATGAGCGGGGCGCATGTGCAAGATAAAATGTTAAAACTCAGGGTGAGATAAAAGAGGAGCAGATTATTTGCGAGGGAGAGCTCGTAAAGAAACGGGGTTGTAAAAACAGGCCTTCATACAAGAGGGTGGGGGGAGTGTAATCCAGGGACAAGAACGTTGAGGGGAGCCATAGTGTAAGGTTGTGTGGCTACTCTCCAAAGGCGCAACGGAAAAGCCAGGTTTTGAGGTTCTTTTTAAAGGTTTCTAAGGTGGGAGCTTTCCTAATCCCTCCGAGCAATGATTCGTATTTGGCCAATGCTCCTGTGTTTGGTGGTCCCTCTGTAGACTTGTCCACAGCTGCATGGTGTACGGCAGACTCCTGCAGAAGTGAGAGGATCTTTCTTGTCCTTTGCTGAACGTAGCATTTGTTGGATTTTCTTGGTGGGTCTGTAGATAGTTTGTATGTTGTGTTTCCTCGTCAGCATCCCATGCAGTCAGTGGTTCCCTTGATGTATGGCAAGAACACTTTTCCTCTGGATGGATTTTTGTCTTTACTCTTGTGGCTTGTTCTTGGTCTTGCAGCTCTTCTGATGTCTGAGGTGGAGTCTCCATTGGCCTGGAGAGCCCAGTTGAGGTGGTTCAGTTCATCTTGGAGGAGGTGGGGTTCACAGATTCTTTTTGCACGGTCTGCCAAGGCTTTAACGGTGCTTCTTTTTTAAATGGGTAATGGTTTGAGTTTTTATGTAGGTATCTAGATTTTCTGTAAACTGTGTGACCCAATTGTTGATCTGGTTTGTGGATGACTAGGACGAGAAAAGGCAGTTTTCCTTTATTTTCTTTTTCCATGGTGAATTGGATGTTTGGGTGGATGCTGTTAAGATGGTCCAGGAACCTGTTTAGTTCTTCTTTCCATGGCTCCAAATGGGGAAAGTGTCACCCACATATCTGAACCATATAGTGCGCTATTTTGTTGCTGTTTCAAGGGCTTGTTTTTCAAAGTGTTGCATGTAGAAATTTGCTATGACTGGGCTGAGAGGGCTCCCCACACACATTCTCGCATCATGTCATCCAAGTGTTTTGGACTCCAACTCCCACCATTCCTAACAGCCTCAGGCCCTTTCCTTTTCCCCCTCAGCCGCTTAAGCGGCTGAGGGGAAAAAGGAAGGGGCCTGAGGCTGTTAGGAATGGTGGGAGTTGGAGTCCAAAACACCTGGAGGGCCCAAGTTGCCCCATGGCTGTTCTAGTTGTACTCTTCACCTCCCTGCTTTGACAAAAGCAGGGCACACGTGTGTTTCTCTGGCACAGGAACATCCCCCAGCACCACCCCATGGCAAGTCCTTTCATTGGTATGCACAGGCCTGCAAGAGGGTGGTGGAAGGAGACGCAGTCCCAGCGGGCCCCCACTCCTCTCCCGGCCCTTGGTGCCCCTTGCTGCCATGCATTGAGCGGAGGGGCCCTTTGAAAGCGATGAAAGCTTTGCGGACCTCTCTTCCCACTGCCCCAGACCCCCAGCCGGGCCACCTCTGCAGCCCATGCATTATGTATGTCAGTACCGCCCGGACCTTTTGTTGGTGCTGAATGTATCGCGGCCAATCAAAGCAGACTGGATTAGCCACAGTGGATTAAAAGGTTTAGACCTCATAATGCAACCATTGCCCCAGAAGGTGCCTTTGAAGCCGGCACGACTGTCATCGGCCATTTGTGAGTCTGCGCCTTCTTCAGATTGGGGAACAAGGCAGAGGCAATGAAGAGTGGTCTGTTTGCAGAAGAGAAGTGCACCAGAGAGGCAGGGTGTCTGCGTTTCCTCCTCTTCAAACTCCTGGCCCACTTTGGGAGGGAGGGAAAGAAGGCAGGCAGAGCAAGAGCCCTCCTGCAAGCAGACTGGCCTGCGATGGCTTGCTGTGGAGCCCTGCCAGCAACCTCTCCTTTCCTGTGGGGCCCAGGACCTGGCCTGGAGAAGTTTGGCCTGCTGCACAACCCAACAGGTAGCGATACCACTGAGTTACATAGAGGATGGTGGCAGCCAATTGGGATGACTCTCCTATCCCGCTGCAACCCTCACAGAAGGAGGTCTGCCCCACACTTTGATCTCCAGAGGGGCCGCAGGACATCAAATGGGCAAAAGATGCCCCACACATCCTCATCCTTTGCTTTGTGACCAATGGGGATGGCAGCAGGGCGCGACTCACTCAGCAGGGGTCCAGAGCGACGGGGGGGGGGGGGGGGGACTTTGCAGAGCTCAGCCTGAAACCCTGACAAAGGCAACCTGTGAGAAGGACCATGGTCACTGCCACCCCCCACCGGGACCGCTTTGTCTGCTGTTATTCTGGGGTGCGGAGAGGGGTCTGGGCGTGGCGCCGCCCATCGGAAGGGGAGAGGGAAGGTCCCATTGTCTCACCTGCTGCTCGGGTGGCGCGACCCTCTCGCTGGGCCCCCCGCCATCCGCCATGACAGCAGCCGCCATCCAGAGCTCTGCCTGGCTCCCCGGGAAGCCCGTCCTTTGGCATGGCAGCCACCCTGGCGACCAGGAAGGTGCCAAGCACCAGTGATGTGCTGCAGTAGCCTGGTCTTCCTGCGCCGGATTGGCTGAGGACCGGACCCAAAGATGGCCCTTCCAATGCTATGGTAGCTATGGTAACTGGCCCTCGGTGGCGCCGCCACCGGTACACTTATAATGGCTAGAAAAACAGTTGTGACCGGGGCACTTTTATCCTGCCCAGAACCATTTCTCTCCCAGTTTTTGATTGAGGTGCTCCGAGATGTCAGGGCTGGAAGGTGGTGGCAGTAAAGACCTCGCACTGCTTCCACTTCCCATCTGCACAGTTGGTGGCTTGGTCACAGGGCCTCTGCCTGCACCCACTCCCTCCTTGCTCCCACCCCCAAAGACACACATCCCTTCAGCAGGAGGCTGCAGGTAGCTCATTTGGGACAGGTGCTGATGCATCGGCTGTTTCCATCGCTGAAGTCTGAGATGTAAGGCAGGCTGGGCTATCCCTTCCCAGAGTGCCAATGGGCAGCTCCGCCATTTTCCAACAGCCACGCACAGGCCCCATTTCTCTCTCCACAAATTAGCCACCAGGAGAGAGGGCCCACTGAACAAGGGCAAGCAACCCACTTCTCATCCCTGCTTTGTGCTCACTCCCAGGAAGAGATCCTGCCTCCAGGGGACTCATCCCAAAGCCCCAGCAGGAAGGCGGAACCCTCAGGACCCCTCCCTCTGGACATTGCAAACAGGTTCCCAGTTGCAAACGCTACCTCTCAAGAAATGGGGCTACAAAGTGGAATCCACCACATGCGAGTGTGGAGAAGAGCAAACTACAGACCATCTGCTGCAATGCAACCTGAGCCCTGCCACATGCACAATGGAGGACCTTCTTATAGTAACACCAGAGGCACTCCAAGTGGCCAGCTACTGGTCAAAGGACATTTAATCAACTACCAAGCTTGCAAACTTTGTGTTTTGTTTGTTTGTTTAAAAATGCAGTGCAACTGTTTGGTCTCCCCCTGACTCGATAAATAAATAAGCCAAGATGAAGGGCCCAATGCCCCCAAAGCATCCATCTTGCCACTAGAGCAGGTGGCTGGAGGCAAAGGGTAGCCGCAAGGTCCTTTGCAACTGCCAGAGGCACCCGGAAGATACCAGCAACAGCATTCCAAAGAGGTCAAAGCCTGACAGGTGAGGAAATAATCCAGGAAGTCCAGCATCTTTCTCTAGAAATAGTCTTCTTTAAGAACAGGCCTCTCCAACCTGTGTCCTCCAGCTGTTTTGTTGAACTTCAACTCTCAGAATCCCTCAGCCCTGCCACATGCACAACGGAGGACCTCCTTACAGCTACACCAGAGACACTCCAAGTGGCCAGCTTCTGGTCAAAGGAAATGTAGCATAATGCCACGTTTTTAACTTTGTTTGTCGTACATTATAACTGTATTCTCAATTTGTTTCTGACATGATAAATAAATACCCTTGAACAAGCTGGCTAAGGCTTCTGGGAATTGGAGGACCCAACCCTTGGATGGCCACAGGTTGGAGGGCTGTTCTAGATTCTCCTTAACACCAACCTCCCCCCCCCCCCACACACACACACACAAACAGAGATATGCACACCCCCTTGGCCTGTTCCAGGTGCCACAAGGGACAGCACTGCTCTGGGGCTTTCTTTCCCAGCTTCTGCAGCGAGGCTGGGGGTATAAGGTTCTGCCTGAGGCCCAAGGCAAAATCTGTGGGGAAGATCAGGAGACGGGAAGGAAGCTCTCAGCCATCCAGCTTCTGGAATGTGAGTCCTGACTCTGGGAAGAGAAAAATCACTATTTTCTGTGTGACTCTGCCTTGGACCTCTGACAATGATACAGACACCAAAACAGCTCAGGCTGATAAGAGTCTGGATTAACGAGCAAGGGATCAAGGCACGTGGAGCAACCATAAGTATTATTTCTCTCATCAGCCGGGTCAGGGAGAGATCCACAAGCAGCTGTGTGATTGCAAGATTGTTTTTATTGGTGCTGCCACTCAAGGGCTGCTCAGGACAGCAGGTCCTACCTCAGGTGTGAGCCCTTTGCCACACTTCCCCCCTTTGAAAGGCCCCACTCCTTCCTTCCACCACAAGCCCCACGCAGACAGTCCCGGATCCAGCCATGCTCTACAGCATCATCCCATTCCACTGAATCCAAAGAGAACGAGAAGTCCACCAAGTCCAAAGGGGCTACTCCTCTCAGGGCTTCTGGCCTTCAGCAGACTCCGAGAGCCTCTGTTCCTGAAACTGCTGCACCAGCTCTTCTGCATAGACTTTGAAGAGGGGAACGGGATCCTAAGGCACGGAGACAGAAAGGCAGAAGAAAGATGGCTGTTAGATAAGGCAATGCAGCAGGGAAGAAAGGAAACTCGGAGAAGGGTCAGGAGGCCACCAGTTGATGCAACAGCAGGAAGCCACCCACAGAGCCCTGCTCCACAAGGGATTCCCTGGAACAGACAGATGAGCCAGAGCTTGCTGGAACTCGCCTCTTCAAATGTTTACCTGCCTCCAAGCTGCCTAGGAATGTCTTCAGCAAGGAATACTCTAGAGGTGGTTTTGCCTGTCCCTTTCTCTGCAGGACCAGCCTTGCAACCCAAAAACATGGAACTCTACTAGAGGCTCAACTCAATTATTTATTTATTTGCAACATTTATATCCTGCCCTTCTCACCCTGCAGGGAACTCAGGGCAGCTTACATAATTGGCATTATTCCATGCCTAAACAACAATTAAAAGCAATTAAACAACAATTTAAAACAACATTAAACAACATATGTAAACATTAGACGACTCAAGCCAGGCCTACCTTCTTCTCCCGGAGCCGCTGCTTTTCCAAAGCTTCTTCCAAGCTCAGGCCGACCCACTCGGCCTCCTCCTCTGGGATTACAAACTCCTACAGGCGCAAAGCAGACAAAAGCATTAACGGCAAGGAGACTCTGCAGGAGCCGAGCTGCACCCCACAGGCCTTTGAAGCCCAGCATTCTGCCTACACTGCTTGGCCTCCAGAGACACCCAATGCCATGCTGTGTCGACCTGGGGGCCTGTGGCAGGCAAACCAAGGGCGCCTCCCTCATGGATAAGCCAAGGGATTCCTTGGGCAGGAAGGTTGAAAAGGTGCGCCATCTAAAAACTGTAAGAGATTTCAAGGCGGAGGCAGTGCTTGAACCTGAACCCCTTAAGAGGGGACGAACTGGAACTGATACGTAAACGTTTTGGAACACATTTTCACAGAGGGCCACATGCGCTTTACGGCTGCTTCCAAAGGGCCTTTGAATCTCTGGGTGGATAATCTGTGCTGCCAGATTCTGAAAGATTATGGGGAGTTAAAATCAAGCTCACAACAATAAAACGCTGGACCAAACAAAGGAGAACAAGAGAGAAATATAGATAAAAAGGGAAAAGGAGGACGCCTCACAGAAGATACACTGGAAGTCATGAAGAAAAACCCAAATTTAATCCCAATTTTTTTCCTTTTTTATTTTTTATCTTCATTTTTTTCTTTTTCTTTCTCTCTGTTTCCTTTCAAGGCCACTTTTCAATTTTAATCATGTTATAGAAAATTTCAATAAAGATATATATATATATATATTTTAAAAAAACAATAAAACGCTGGAGACAAGTGATTTACTCCTTCCTTCCACAATCCTAAAAAGACAGTTCTAAAGTTTTCCCACTCAAACCTCCTGTATATATCAACCCCAACTCCCATCTTCCCTCTAGTGGCCACTGTGCCCACAGTCTGTTAACTGCAGTTTCAATTTCCCTCACAAAACAGATGTCTTATCAACATTACCTTCCCCAAGTGTACCCAGCCTCCCTCCCCCCACCTCCCTTCTTTATGGCAGAAAACAGAAGCAGCCAGTCCCATACGGTGATCTTGACACGTGCAGAGTACGTATTTTTGTATATAGTGGCCAATGTTCTTTAGCTTTTACCCAATTTGGGTCCCCAGGGAGTACTGAACAACAGCTCCCATCCCTTCTGATGATCTGCCATGCGGACTGAGGATGATCAATCATTTTTCTAAAATAAAATCAATCAGTCTATTTGCCCCAAGGAAGTGGGAAATTGTTATTTGTATTAAAAGTTTAATGTTTTGTCTTATGCCTGTTATAACAGGTTGTGTTTTTTAAATTTAATTTTAGTTGTTAAGTCATAATTGGCTCTTCAAGCAAGCATTTAGAACCTCGAGATAAACAGACAAACTTGAATCAGAAAATGACCCAGGAACGGCCAAGACAATGGAACGGATGAAGATTTGAACACAAGGACATAGTTTTTAATTTTTTTATTATTTATTGTTTTCATGTCTCTAAATGTACTGTAATGTTTCTTTTTTGTTTTTTTATCAATGTATGTATTTTATATGTGGCATCGAACTGTACCGACTTTGTATGCCACCCTGAGTCGCCTTCGGGCTGCTATGGGCGGGATAGAAATAGTGTAAATAAATAAATAATAAATAATTTGTGTTTATATGTTGAGTTGTTTAAATTTTGTTAATATGGATGTATTGTTGTTGTATTCGGGCATTGAATGTTTGCTTTTCGTGTTTGGAATCCACCCTGAGTCCCTCCAGAGAAATAGAGTGGAATATAAATAAGTAGTCGTAGTTATTATTATTATTATTATTGGAACAACAACCCAACAGCCTCTGCGGCCAGGGATAGGTCAAAGGATATTTTAGCCATACATCATATCCACGAGCCTTGGATCTCAATCCAGACTCTGCTCTCCTGATTCAACAAAACAAACAGCAGCCTCCCAGATGAGATTGAATGGCAACTCTCATCAGCTCTAGTCGCAATTTCTAATGAGGAGAAAGACTGGAGTTGGGAGTCCAGGATCTGGAGGAGGGCCACATCAAAGAGCATGGAGGGCCAGGTTCGACCGCAGGGCCTCGATTTTGATTTAGAGGGATGATTCCAGTTGACTCCCTGCAGAGGCCTCTCTGCTATTCTTAGGCTGCCAGGTTTTGAGAGGCTGCTCTGAAGAATGCAGCATTGGGGGTGGCCCCTGAGGGGCCCCTTTCCTTGGGGGAATAGAAAGAGCGGAGAAGGCTCCCTGGTGGGGGCCCACCTTGTACTTGGCATAGATGGCCTCCCTACGGGCGGGATCCTCTGGGTGCAGGGCAGGGTCTTTCCTGGCCAGGCGCAGCAGCAGTGTGCGCTTCAGGTCCATGCCCAGCTTGGAGCACAGTTCAGCCTTCGGTGTCTGGGGAAGAGAGAACAGAATAGCTTTATTGATATTGTATATCGCACAACGAAATTAAATTGTATCCCCAATGCACATTATATATGTAGAGTTACAAAACAAAGCACCCATCCTTCCACATTCTAATACCTAATGAACAGTCCCTAATGTCACATCAGTTTAGTACAGTCACAGAGTTCGATTTATTTATTTATTTATTTACTATACTTGTATACCGCCTTTCTCAGTCAATTGGCGACTCAAGTCGGTTTTCAGCGATTCAATATAGTCATAGCTCTAGGGTCAAAGCTCTCTTTCAGCCTATTTGTTCTTATTGTATCATCCTATACCATCTACCAGATGGTCATTATTCAAAGAAAACAATACCCAGGGTGAGATGGATCCTCTGGTGCACCTTCTGATCTGCCGCTGTGCAATTCGCAAACCATACACAAATGCAATCGGTTAGAACATTCTCTACCCTATTCGGGTGTCCCCTGGACAACTTCCTTGCAGGCGGCCAATTCTCTCACACCAGAAGTGACTTGCAGTTTCTCAAGTCGCTCCTGACATGAAAAAAAACCCTCTGGTATTTTTGTTTTATTTAATTTATTGCCACTGTGCTTTAACTAAGGTTTTTGACTGTTGTTTAATCTGTCTATTTTATTGTTGTTTTGCTTTCTCCTTTATTGACTTGTCATTTATTATTTTGCATATATTATTTAATGTATTTATTTATGTTGTGAGCCGCTCCAAGTCCTTTCAGAGAGATGGGGAAGGACAGAAATAATAATAATAATAATAATAATAATAATAATAATAATAATAATAATTTTATTTATAACCCGCCACTATCTCCCCAAGGGGACTCAGGGCGGCTTACATGAGGCCAAGCCCAGCAATACAACAATGCCAATATACAATAAGGAAATAAAAAAGTATCAATAAACACATCAAACAATATAAAATCACAGAAAGTTGATCACAGTGGCTGGCTGCAGGGATTAAAAGTTTAAAAACACTGGGTGAGAGAGCAATGTAATGTATCTGGACAGTGGATCGGAGGGACGAAGTAGGGTTTAATTGCACTGACGAGTAAAATAAAGTGCTTCCGAGGGCATTTTATGCAGGGTTTGATCAGGTCAGGGGTTATTGTTCATTTATTCATTGAAGGCATACTGGAACAGCCAAGTTTTCAGGCTCTTCCTAAAGACTGCCAGGGTGGGGGCTTGCCTAATTTCTCTGGGGAGCAAGTTCCAGAGCCGAGGAGCTCCTCAATGGAGCTCCTCAAACAGGAGGTTAATAATGATCATTATTACAGGGTGCAGCAGAATAACTTCCTTTTTAAAATAATAATAATAATAGTAATACTTTATTTATACCCCGCTACCATTTCCCCAATGAACTCGGTGTGGCTTACATGAGGCCAAGCCCGCAATACAACAATAAACAAAGGCAGTAACAAAAACAATCAATACAATACAATGAATATAAATCACATAAACATGAAATAAATAATAAGCAATCAACAGTGACACACAAGCATTTAAAACCAATGGCCGGGCCAAATGTAATAAATTAAAATTTAAAAAATAATACTGGACATGTACAAGGTAGAATATAACTGGGATAGGATTTTCAAAGAGAAATGAGGGAACACAGTCAGTCCTAAATCAATGGTAAAGTGCATTTTGAGGGCATACTGCTGAGAGTTTTCCTTATTCTAGGAAGGCACACTGGAATAACCATGTTTCAGGCTCCTCCTAAAGACTGCCAGAGTTGGGGCCTGATGTCCTTGGGAAGTGAGTTCCAGAGTCGAGGGGCCGCCACCGAGAAGGCCCTTTCCCTCGTCGCAACCAATCGCACCTGCAAAGGAGGTGGGAGCGCGAGCAGGGCCTCACCAGATGATCGAAGAGATCGTGCGGGTTCGTACACAGAAATGTGGTCACGCAGGTAGGCGGGTCCCAAACTGTTCAGGGCTTTCTAGGTAAGAAAATGTGTGCCATTCAGTTGGTTGAAGACGCAGTGGAGTGCTAGTGGTCTCGTTCGGGAGGTGCGAGTATAAAGTTTTGTCCTGACACAGTTCAGTCGCCACCTTGCATTGGAACAGTGAGGAGTGTGCTTTTGCTGTTGAGGCCTACTTTGACTGAGCGGATTGGAGTGGCCGGCCCGCTCTCCAGATTTGGCCCCTTGTGATTTTTTTTCAGGTTTTTTTTTAAATCCCATGTTTATGTGAACCATCTAAGGACCCTACAAGATTTGAACACCAACATCCGGGAAGACAACGCCTGCTATGCTGGCAAGAGTCATGACAAACGACAGAAATCAGTTTACTCAGTGTATGGAGAATGGAGAATGGGGGATGTCACCTACCTAATTTGATCTTCAAAAAGATGTAAAAAAAAACTTTAGGTATGCGCCTACATTATAATTTTTTTTTCTGATTCATACAATGGGTATTATTATGTTTTGAAAAAAAGGAAGTTATGCTTCTGCACCCTGTATTATGGTGAAGGAGAGGGGGTGCACTCATATGTGCAGAGAGTACAAAGTAGAGGATTGGAGGCACAGCCCTGTGGTGTGCCAGTGTGGAGAAGAGCTGAGGCCTAAGAGGGATGGGGAGGGGCCCTGACCTTCAGGAGGTAGAAGTCCAGCCCGAAGGCGGCATCGATGAGGTCCAGTGTCCGCATTGTGACCGTGACGGTGAATTTCCGATCCAGGATCTCACTGTACAGCTCCCGGTAGAAGAGCTGCGGCTTCCAGATCTTCCTCACTCGGGCTGAGAGCTGCAAGAAGGGAGGAAGGTACAGGTTATCACCTACAAAACCCTAAACGGTTTGGGACCCGCCTATCTTCGTGGTCGTATCTCTCTCCACGTACTAACCTGGGCCCTTAGATCTTTGGGGGAGGCCCTCCTTTTGCCCTTGCCAGTCTCACAAGCTCATCTTGTGGGCACAAGGGTGAGAGCCTTTTCCTCTGTGGCTCCCTGACTTTGGGCCTCGTTACCTGGAGAGATCAGGAAAGCCCCTTCACTACAAACGTTCAAAAAGAACCTTAAAACCTGGCTCTTCCGCTGCGCCTTTGGCGAGTAGGTGCACAATACGATACCACTGCACCCCTCAACACTCTTCCCACTGGAATACACGCCCTCCAAATGGAAAGTTTAGCTTCATAATTCTGTGTGTTTTTACGAGTTCCCTGCAAATAACCTGCTCCTATTTTGATCTCATTAGAGTATTTTAATCGTTTTATTCTGTACCAAGCTCCAATTAGTCCAACGGGCGGCAGCCATGATACTAACAGGAGCGGGACGCAGGGAGCACACAACTCCTCTGCTGCACCAGCTCCACTGGCTGCCGATTTGCTACCGGGCCCAATTCAAAGTGCTGGCGTTGGCCTTTAAAGCCCTAAACGGTTCTGGCCCAACTTATCTATCCGAACGTATCTCGGCCTATCAGCCCACCAGGACCCTAAGATCTTCTGGGGAGTCCCTGCTCTCTATCCCGCCAGCTTCACAGGTGCGGCTGGCGGGGACGAGAGACAGGGCCTTTTCTGTGGTGGCCCCTCGGCTTTGGAACGCCCTCCCTATAGAGGTAAGATCAGCCCCCTCGCTGATGGTGTTTCGAAAAAGATTGAAGACATGGATGTTTGAACAAGCATTCGGTTAACCCGGTGCAATGAATTCTGATGATCAAAGGACTGGTAATCATGGACGATGAGATTGGATTGCGATTTCAGTTACGAGATGCAATTGGATTGTTATTGGTGGCCCAATAATTTTGTATTGTATATGTGTTTTTATGCTTTTAAACTGAATATTGTGATTTTTGTAGTGTTGTAAACCGCATTGAGTCGCCGATTCAGGCTGAGAAATAGCGGTATACAAGCGCAGTAATAAATAAATAATAAATAAATACATGTGGCCTGCCCATTGTTATGGAGACTGTGCTTATTGGAATGTCATTTTATGACTGTGTTTATAATTTTTTTCCTTTATTTAACTTTGATCATGTTGTTTGTTGTTTATGCTCTGGTTTTATTTTGCTGTAATATGTTGTCCGGGCTTGGCCCCATGTAAGGCGCTCCGAGTCCCCATCGGGGAGATGGTGGCGGGGTATAAATAAAGTTTATTATTTACTAGCTGTCCCCTGCCACGCGTTGCTGTGGCCCAGTCTGGTGATCTGGAAGATAAAGTAATGAGAAAGTGTTGGTTTCTAATATATGTAATTTCTTTATGCTTGTGGGTAAACAGTATTTCTTGTTGTTTCTTTGTCAGTGTTGATGTGGAGATTGTCTGGTTTGCCTACTCTGGAACATGCAACATATCATTGTCCTTCTTTAGGGGTCCCTTTCAAATCTATGATACTATATCTCTGTGTGTGTGTGAATCATATCTATCTATCTATATCTATGGCTGGATGGCTCTTTGTCAGGAGGGCTCTGATTATATTTTCTTGCCCTGGTGGAGAGAGTTGGACTGGATGGCCTTAAGTATTTTCTGTTGGTCATGGGGGCTCTGTGTGGGAAGTTTGCCCCATTTCTGTCGTTTGTGGGTTTCAGAATGCTCTTTAATTGTAGTGAACTATAAATCCCAGTAACTACAAATCCCAAATGTCAAGGTCTATTTCCTCCAAACTCCATCTGTGTTCATATTTAGGCATATGGAATTTTGTGTCAAGTTTGGTCCAGATCCATCATTGTTTGAGTCCACAGTGCTCTCTGGATGTAGGTGAACTACAACTCCCAAACTCAAGGTCAATGCCCACCAAACCATTCCAGTGTGTTCTGTTGGTCATGGAAGTCCTGTATGCCATGTTTGGTTCAATTCCATCATTGGTGGAGTTCAGAATGCTCTTTAATTGTAGTGAACTATAAATCCCAGCAACTACAACTACCAAATGTCAAGGTCTATTTCCCTTAAACTCCATCCGTGTTCAAATTTGGGCATATGGAATATTCGTGCCAAGTTTGGTCCAGATCCATCATTGTTTGAGTCCACAGTGCTCTCTGGATGTGGGTGAACTACAACTCCCAAACTCAAGGTCAATGTCCACCAAACCCTTCCAGTTTTTTCTGTTGGTCATGGGAGCCCTGTGTGCTAAGTTTGGCCCAATTCCATCATTGGTGGAGTTCAGAATGCTCTTTGATTGTAGGTGAACTCTAAATCCCAGTACGTACAAATCCAAATGTCAAGGTCTATTTCCTCCAAACTCCATCTGTGTTCATATTTGGGCATATGGAATATTCGTGCCAAGTTTGGTCCAGATCCATCATTGTTTGAGTCCACAGTGCTCTCTGGATGTGGGTGAACTACAATTCCCAAACTCAAGGTCAATGTCCACCAAACCCTTCCAGTTTTTTTCTGTTGGTCATGGGAGCCCTGTGTGCTAAGTTTGGCCCAATTCCATCATTGGTGGAGTTCAGTATGCTCTTTGATTGTAGGTGAACTATAAATCCCAGCAACTACAACTCCCAAATGTCAAGGTCTATTTCCTCCCTCCCTCCCTCCTTCCTTGGGGCCTACCTTGTCGTTGTTGGCATAGCGGAAGCCGGAGACCCACCCCTCTCCGCCCCACAGGCCCTCCTGGCTCTCGGGTGGGAGGTAGGGCTCCACGGGCACGTCCTGCACGCGCTGCCTCTTCCACAGGGGGGCGCCCTCGTAAGGCGGGACGAAGCGGGCCCCACGCGGGCGCCAGTGGACGGCGGGCGCCGTGGAAGTCGGGGAAGGGCAGGCCTCTTCCCGCAGAACGCGCCGGATGTGAGCCGGGAGCCGGGCGGCGAGGCCTCGCTCCAGCCGCAGCGCGTCCCACAGACGCGGAGGCACCTTGTGCATCGGCATGGCCGGCCTCCCTCCCTCCTCCGTCTCCGCCGCTGAACCGGAAGCTGCTCACTTCCGCGCTCCCATTGGCCCCAACGTCGCCATGACAACGCGGCCTATTTCCTGCAGCTGAGCCTAGCTAGAGTGGTTTCTCCATGGCAACAGGGATTCCCCAGAAATGACAATTTCAACAGAAAGGAGGAGACCATGAAAATGAACAACATCTGGCTACCAGTATTAAAAAAACTCTAAAATTACTACAGAGAGGAAACAACCAGGCACATCTTAACTCTACATAGGGAGCACCAAATGCAGCATTGCCCAAACACAATCAAGGAACATGAAAGGCACTGCAGACTACTTCAACCAGAGAAATCAGCCATAGCAGAGCACCTGATGAACCAACCTGGACACAGCATATTATCTGAGAACACAGAAATGCTGGACCACTCTAACAACCACCATGTCAGACTACACAGAGAAGCCACTTGAAATCCACAAGCATGTGGACAATTTCAACAGAAAGGAGGAAACCATGAAAATGAACAAATCTGGCTACCATATCTAAATTTATTGAAGAATGGTACTAACAGAGAGGAAACAACCAGGCACATCTTAACACCTCTCAACAAAAGGATTTTCCCAGGCTCAGGCAGGCCTTCAAATGCTAATGAAGGTGATCAGTTGAAACATTCACACCTAGCTCTAACAGAGAAGAGCTCTTTGCCCCACCCCAGCCATTCCACAGATATATAAACCCATTGTCCTAATTCCAACAGACCTCACTACCTCTGAGGATGCTTGCCATAGATGCAGGCGAAACGTCAGGAGAAATGCCTCTAGAACATGGCCCTATAGCCCGAAAAAACCTACAAGAACCTAGTGATTCCAGCCATGAAAGCCTTCGACAATACATTCCCCAGAAATGGCTTCCCTCCCTGAGGATGAGAGAATATAACCCAGGTATGGACCAACTTCGGCCTGCCCTCCAGGTGTTTTGTGTCCAATTCTGGGACACTAAACACAATATTCCTCCTGGAATATTGTGTCCAATTCTGGGCACCACAATTCAAGAGAGATATTGACAAGCTTTGTATTTCGTGACAGACTTTGTATTTCTAGGTGCAAAGATTACTGCAGATGCAGACTGTGGCCAGGAAATCAGAAGACGCTTACTTCTTGGGAGGAGAGCAATGTCCAGTCTCAATAAAATCTTAAAGAGTAGAGACATCACACTGGCAACAAAGATCCGCCTAGTCAAAGCCATGGTATTCCCTGTAGTCACCTACGGATGTGAGAGCTGGACCTTAGGGAAGGCTGAGTGAAGGAAGATCGATGCTTTTGAGCTGTGGTGTTGGAGGAAAGTGCTGAGAGTGCCTTGGACTGCGAGAAGATCCAACCAGTCCATCCTCAAGGAAATAAAGCCCGACTGCTCATTGGAGGGAAGGATACTAGAGACAAAGTTGAAGTACTTTGGCCACATCATGAGGAGACAGCAAAGCCTAGAGAAGACAATTATGCTGGGGAAAGTGGAAGGCAAAAGGAAGAGGGGCCGACCAAGGGCAAGATGGATGGATGGCATCCTTCAAGTGACCGACTTGACCTTGAAGGAGCTGGGGGTGGTGACGGCCGACAGGGAGCTCTGGCGTGGGCTGGTCCATGAGGTCACAAGTTGGAGACGACTGACAATTCAAGAGAGATATTGACAAGCTGGAATGTGTCCAGAGGACTAAATGATCAAGGGTATGGAGAACAAGCCCTATGAAGAGCGGCTTAGGAGCTGGGCATGTTTAGCCTGAAGAAGAGAAGGCTGAGAGGAGATATGATAGCCATGTATAAATTCGTGAGAGGAAACCTCAGGGAGGAGGGAGCAAGCTTGTTTTCTGCTTCCTTGGAGACTAGGACGCGAAACAATGGCTTCAAACTACAAGAAAGGAGATTCCATCTGAACATGAGGAAGAACTTCCTGACTGTGAGAGCTGTTCAGCAGTGGAACTCTCTGCCCCGGAGGTGGTGGAGGCTCCTTCTTTGGAAGCTTTTAAACAGAGGCTGGATGGCCATCTGTCAGGGTGATTTGAATGCAATATTCCTGCTTCTTGGCAGAAGGTTGGACTGGATGGCCCATGAGGTCTCTTCCAAATCTTTCATTCTATGATTCTATGTTTTGGACTTCAACTCCTACAATTCCTTACAGCCTCAGCCACTTAAGCGGCCCATTTCCGGCAGTCAAGCCTAGCTAGAGTTGTTTCTTTATGGTAACAGGGATTCCCCAGAAATTGCTTCCCTCCCTGAGGATGAGAGAATATAACCCAGGCATGGGCCAACTTTGGTCTGTCCCCTCTGGAAAGGAAAAATGTATTGAAACCAAAGCAATGTAAAGATAAATGTATTACAAATAGTTGCTAACAATACAATAAAGAAAAATAAAAATAAAAAAACTTCGGCCTGCCCTCCAGGTGTTTTGGACTTCAACTCCCAGCATTCCTAATAGCCTCAGGCCCTTTCTTTTCTTCCCTCAGCCACTTAAGCGGCCTGTTTCTGACAGCCGAGCCTTGCTAGAGTGGTTTCTCCATGGCAACAGAGATCCTCCAGAAATGGCTCCCCCCCCCCCCCCCCCCGAGGATGAGGGAATATACCCCAGGTATGAGCCAACTAGGGAAGGCTGAGTGAAGGAAGATAGATGTTTTTGAGCTGTGGTGTTGGAGGAAAGTGCTGAGAGTGTCTTGGACTGCGAGAAGATCCAACCAGTCCGTCCTCCAGGAAATAAAGCCCGACTGCTCACTGGAGGAAAGGATAGTAGAGGCCAAGATGAAGTACTTTGGCCACATCATGAGAAGACAGGAAAGCTTGAGAAGACAATAATGCTGGGGGAAAGGGAAGGAAAAAGGAAGAGGGGCTGACCAAGGGCAAGATGGATGGATGACAGGCTTGACCTTGAAGGAGCTGGGGGCGGTGACAACTGACAGGGAGCTCTGGCGTGGACTAGTCCATGAAGTCACGAAGAGTTGGAAACGACTGAACGAATGAACAACAACGAGCCAACTTTGGGCTGCCCTCCAGGTGTTTTGGACTTCAACTCCTACATTTCCTAACAGCCACAGGCCCTTTCTTTTCTTCTCTCAGCCACTTTAGCGGCCAATTTCCGACAGCCGAGCCTAGCTAGAGTGGTTTCTTCATGGCAACAGGGATCTCCCATGCCTGGGTTGGCTTCCCTCCCTGAGGCTGAGAAAGTACAATCCAGGCATGGGCCAATTTTGGCTAACCCTCCAGGTATTTTGGACTTCAATTCCTACCATTCCTAACATCCTCAGGCCCTTTCCTTTTCCCCTAAAAATAATGGCACCCCTACCACTGGGCCCTTCCTTCCCTTCTTCCCTGGTTGCAGGAACTGCAGACCACAACAAGGAGAGGAATCAAACATAGACACCTGACATTTTATGTTCTTCTTTTAGTACATCTTCTGAGGAACGTGGAAGGGTACTGCTAAAGGACAATACCAGACAAAATATGTGTATATATAGATATTATACAGATACTAGCCGTTCCCTGCCACACTTTGCTGTGGCCCAGTCTGGTGATCTGGACAATAAATAGGTACAATACACATACATTCTGTGTGTGTGTATATATTTATATCGATGTATATAGATATATACATACATGCATGCATACATACACACCAGGCATGGGCAAACTTCGACCCTCCTGGTATTTTGGACTTCAACTTCCACCATTCCTAACAGGCTCAGGCCCTTCCTTTTCCCCTCAGCCGCTGGAGGGTGAGCTGAAGTTAGCCCATACCTGGTATAACTGCTGTGAGTCAAAATGGGAAACATTTTAATTGCTTTTAACTGTAAACCCACTTTTAAAAACCTCAAAGAGGCACAACAAGTGCAAGCAGCAGTTTTAATTAAATAAAAGCACACATTAAAAAAATAAAGATCAAGGGCATTTCTGTGGCTTTTAAAAAAGAAACAAATCAACACAATGAACTAAAAGAGAAAGTGACGGATTGAACTGTGTGAGCTTCAGCAGCTGAGGCTCTTCCTGAGGTTTCTTTTCTCATTCGAGGTCAGAGGCCCCAAGCAAGGCTTAAGGCAGGGCTTCAGGAGCCAGTCCCTCCCAGGCAGCTCTTCAGGGGCCTTGGCCACTTTCCCAAAGAGAATAGCATCAAGGGCCAAAAGCTCTGAGAGCCCAGGTGCTGGACATCTGGGAGGAAGAGGAGCCCAAGGGCAGGCTGGTGCTTCCTTGGGTTTAAAGGGCTCCCAAGAAAAAGCAATCAAGCCTGGTTGACCAGCCCAGAGCTGAGTCTCTTGTCATCTCAGGAGAAGCTCCTGGACAAAGGTCCTGTGGTGGCCCTTCTGCCTGGATAAAGGGAAACTGAGGAGGCTGGGAGCTCCTAACAAGAAAGCCGGGAGTGTCACGTCGCAGTGTACATCTCATCCTGGTCATTCTGGCAGATCTGGTAGCGGCAGAACAGCTTGCGGTACCAGGACCAGGACTCTTGCTGTTTCTCTCCTGGCGGGAGAAGGAAGACCAGGCTGGTGGCCACCAACATGTGCCACAGACTGTGTGTGTAGTAGTAGTTCTCCGTGGTCTCCGTCAGGGCATACACTGACCCGCCCACAATGGCCAGGCTGACCCCAGGAATGAGGAAGAAGGCCCACCGCCTCCAGGAGGGTGGGTAGCAGTGGCGCCGGTTCACACAGCGAAATACCTGTCACAGGAAGAAGAGGAGATGGTAGTGGGGGCCATGGAGCCATGAGCAGATAAGCCAGTGCCAGAGAGGTTCTCCCTGCACCCCCTGCTCCCGGTACTCAGCAGACCTCTTCTTGCAGTTTTGTCTGGCGAAAGGGAGCACTTCAAGGAAACAAGAATTGGCTGCTAGTCAGGAAGCAGGTCTAGCATAGAGCCGAGATCTGGGCCACTTACCCATGCACTTGTCATGATGGTAAGGGCAACAAGGCTGGGCCCCATCATGTTCCAGACCCCTCTGCGGTCCAGGTTCAGAGACATGGCAATAAAGAGGGTCCCCAGCACACAGAGGACCTGAAATGGCAAGGCAACACAAGGAGGAGTCATTCCCACACAAAGGCTGAAGGCTCAGCCAAAAGTGAGGAGAGGCCAGCCCTTCTGCACCTGTTCCAAGATCCTGATCACAGCACGTGCCCCCCACCCACCGCCTTGATGCCATCCCTGCAGACGTACATATTTCAGTATTGTTTTGATCCGGGCCATGCAGAGAATGGTCACCCATAAGGAGACGACAGAGCCCAGGAAGTCACAGTACTGCAGTGTGTCGTAATCCATGATGCAGAAGACCACGACGCCAGGTTGGTCACAGGCATGGTAGAACTGCCCCCGCGGAAGTGAGAAGAAAAGGGAATGGTCAGAAGGCAAAGCCAGATGCTGGGACCCAAGCCAGCAGGCTCCCCACCCAGCCTGCTCCCACCCAAAGCCCTTCTCCCACCCAAAGGCGGAAGCCAGGACTTACTGTGGAGAAGAACATGGTGAAGGTGTAGACAGAGGCTTCCACCAAGTAGTAGCGACGCATGGCCACAACAATGGCTGGCAAGAAGAAGAGGTTGCTGAGCGTCAGCAGGAGGATGGCCAGCGTCTGGGCCCCAAGGCTCAGGGCTTTGGTGGCATCGGTGCAGCCCCAGCCGCCCCAACCTGCCAATACGAAGGGAAGGAGGGAGAGGAGGAGGGACAATGTCAGTCAGGAGTGCCAATGCGACAGCCACCTAGGTCAAGGCAGTGGAGTCAAAGGGGCAGGAAGAGTGCTCACCAGCTTTGCAATTGCAGCCGGCATAGAGGTAGCTATGGCGCCTCAAGAGGCTGCAATCACCATACATCCCACAGTCATCGAAGCAGGGACTGAGGTAGGCGAGGACAGCAAGCTGGGCCTTGGCCTGGAGGCATTCCCTGCAATGAGAGGGGATGAAGGGGGTGAGGGAGAGCTTATGGGTAGCCTGGCCTTGGCAGGGATGAAGAGCAGGAAGACCCCTGCCTCAGAAAGACAAAGGCAACGCCCTATGGCAGAGGTTGAGCCCAAGGCTTGGGGTGTCTGCCAGGAGAAGTCAGGACTCACCCTGGTGATTCAGGACAGATGAGCTGGAGGGAAATGAACCAGTTGTCAGACTCTGGGTAAGGGACTGCGAGGGAGGCCTCTAGAGAGGAGGCACTGACGTTCAGCCCATAGCCTTGGAAGAATGCTGTGGGGAGAGAGAGAGGGACGGGCAGCCATGGGCCTCTTGGTGCCTCCCTCCTAGCCCCCTGCCCCCCCCCCAGGGATGGTCCAGCACATAGGGACCCAGGCAGAAGGGTGCAGATCTGCCCCTCACTCACCTGTCACACAGTCTTCTGTTGTGTTTGGCGACAGGACCGGGGAGGCAGCACTCAGGCAGGCCCAGACAGTGGCGTTCCTGATGCCCAGGGAAGTCTGCAAGGAAAAAAAGCAGCCAGGCTTGGAATGCCCCCCCCCCCTCCCCAAATACGCACTCAGGCAGAGTGGCCCTCACAGGACATGTCAGATCAGGGTCCCTGCTCACCTTGTTCAGCAGCAGGTTCAGCACCAGGGTCCCCCCACTGTCTGTGGCAGAATCGAGATTCAGGAGGAGAAGGCTGGGCAGCTGGGCCTGGACGGGAATGTTGCCGTCACCCAGGACCCGGAAGCGCACCGAGACTACATCCAGGTCCTCCCGGATGACGGCGTGGTCCCGCAGGCAGGAGCCAAGTGGGTCGAGGGCCCCTGTATTGGCCGGCAATGTGGCATTGCTGGGGCTGCCTCCGGGCTGAGAGACCTCCTGGCTCCGGTTCAGGCTCTGGAAGAAGCTCAGGAAGGAGCTGGTCCCCCCTGGCTGGCAGACTGCAAGGGAAGGGTGACCACAACCCCAGGGGTTAGCACATGCCCAGAAAGAGGGCCGGCAAGAGCAAGACTCCGCTCCTTTGGCCAGCCCACTCACCTGTGAAGGAGGCAGTCACCTCAAGAGAGATGTTGGCCCCGGGGCCAATAAGGCTGTCCACCGTGACACGCAGCCACTTCTCCCAGGGGGGCGAGGCGAGGAGGAGGGTGCAGGCCCCTGTGCAGTTAAACTCCTTCCAGCTGATGGACCCAGACAGCACTACCGAGCCCAGCACCACCCGTACGGCACAAGGGGCAGAGGAACTGGTTACAGTGCAGGCCCCTAGCTTCAAGTGCAGCGTGGCACTGTATGCAGGGACAAAGACCCTGGGAAAGAGCACAAGGGGACAGCTCAAGACAGGCACCAGGCTCCTAGGTAGTGCTGGACTGACCCTTGTGCTGAGGGATGCTTAAGCACATGGTCCCATTGGCCGGACGGGGGGAGGGGGGCATCTTCCTGCCTGATTCCTTTTTATGATAGATATTGCTTCTGTGGTGCAATTCTAAATCTGAAGGCATTCTGTTTCGGAGTGATTCCAGACATAATGATAGAATTGATGGGAGCGTGCCACAAAAGGCACACTGGGCTGACCTCCTTCAGGGCCCAAGAAAGAGGCTTCATAACTTAATTAGTCAGGGTCTTAAATCTGATACTGCTCCCACCCCCATTCCTTTAAACCCACACAGTACTTTCGGGCCTTTCCTCTGACTTACTTGGCATGGAGAGGTCGGTTTGCCCAAATGGTTTGGCGCAGAGAGACATTGGGCTGCAGGACGGGCATGTCCACCTTACGCAGCACAAACATGTCAGGCTGGAAGATGTAGGAGCACGGAGTGGAGACACCCTGCGAAGGAGAGGGGTCGGGGAGGGAGAGTTAGAGCCACCTCAGGGGTCCAAACACAAGATCTGGGTTGAGGAACAAGATCCCCAGCCTTGCTCTCACCTGCACATGAATCTTCCCGGTGGGCTCCGGCAGGTGGGCAGCGAGGAACCAGTAGCCTGCAGCAGGATTGGTGAGGTTGAGGAAGGTGCTGTTCTGCCGGGAAGCAGAGAGGCTCAGGCTCAGGCGGTGGGCCAGACGCACGCTCACATTGGCGGGGAACTGGGTATCCAGCGGGTTGATGACTGGCGGGGCTCCAAAGCGGACGTAGCTGCAAGGGGAGAGCGGGCAAGTGAGGTCAAGGACTGTGGCGACTGCTGCTGGGAGGGCCAAGGACCCTCCCCTGGTGGCGCAGGACCCACAAAAAGGATGCATAGGGGAGGGGGTGTGTGCTACGTACATAGAGACCTCCAAATCGCTGCACGGGTGGCCCTTCCCGCGGGAGACCTGCAGCAACCACCGTAACAGCAGGGCATCCTCTGGGACATGGAAGCGGAAGAGCTTGGCGTTGCCGTACCAGCTGTAAGGCATGAGCGACTGGGAAGCCTGGGCGAAGTACTCTGAGACCAGGCCCTGGTCTGCAGCAGAAGAGGAAGAGAAAGCAGAGAAGGGGGAAAGGGGAGGAAGGCGTCATGGCGCTGCAGGGCTGGTCCCAATCCACTGGGCCCTTCATCTTTTTGTGCATTTTAACTGAATTGTTAAAGATACAATTGACATTTAATTCTGTTTCAATGTTTGTATATTGGTCAGTTTAACATTGTATCAAAATGCTTTTAACATCAAATGTTTTTCATTTCTTCTGCAGAGAGAGAAAAAGTGTGGCATAAAGTAAAGGTAAAGGTTTTCCCCTGACATGAAGTCCAGGCATATCCAACTCTGGGGTGTAGTGCTCATCTCCATTTCTAAGCTGAAGAGCCGGCTCCAAGGCGATGTGGCCAGCATGACTGCATGGAGCGCCATTACCTTCCCAGCTACTAGTCAAAGGACATTTAATCAACTACCAAACTTGCAAACTGTTTGTTTGTTAAAAAATGCAACTGTTTGGTTTACTTCTGACACGATAAATAAATAAATCACATTTACATGCTTTTGAACTGCTAGGTTGGCAGAAGCTGGGGCTAACAGTAGGAGCTCATCCCGCTCTCCAGATTCAAATCTCCAACCGTTCAGCAGCTTAGTGGTTTAACCTACTGCACCACCAGAGTTATATACATATCATAATAATCCAGCTTTATAACAATGGCATGAGATGAGCATCCAAGGCCACATTTTAATGGTAATGAAATGCCTGGTGGAGAGAAAAAACGGGGTATAAATAAACATTATTATTATTATTATTATTATTCCTTCCCTCCCCTTTCTCTTTCTCTGTCCCAGGCCTAGCCCCAAAGCCCCCCTTGAGCTCTCCTTATGGTCTTGGAGGGCAGGCCGAAGAGGCTCCACTCCCAGGCTGAGCTCAAGGCCCTGAGAGGCAGGAAGGAAAGGGAAGAAAGAGGAAGGAAAGAAAATAAAAGAAGGAAGGGGAATGAAGGACAATCCAGGGAAGTCATAGTAAAGTCTAGTCGTGTCCGACTCTGGTGGTGGTGCTCATCTTAATTTCTAAGGCGAAGAGCCTGTACTGTCCGTAGATGCCTCCAAGGTCACGTGGCTTGCATGACTGCATGGAGTGCTATTACCTTCCCACAGAAGAAGTACCCATTGATCTACTCACATTTGCATGTTTTCAAACTGCTAGGTTGGCAGAAGCTGGGGCTAACAGTAGGAGCTCACCCCACTCCCCGGATTCAAACCATAGACCTTTCAGTCAGCAAATTCAGCCGTTCAGTGGTTTAACCTGCAGCACCACCACAGGGGGCCTAGAGAAGTCATGCTCACCCTCTGCCTTGCTCAGACCACACCTGGAATCCCACTGTGTCCCATTCTGGGCACTGCAATTGAAGGGAGATGTTGACTCTAAGCTGGAATGTTTCCAGAGGAGGGCGACTAAAATGAGCAAGGGTCTGGAGAACAGGCCCTATGAGGAGCAGTTTAAAGAGCTGGGCATGTTTAGCCAGCAAAAGAGAAGGCTGAGAGGAGACACAATGAGGACCATGTATACATATGTGAGGGAAATTCATAGGGAGGGAGAAGCAGGCTTGTTTTCTGCTGCCATGGAGACTAGGACACAATGGAACAATGGCTTCAAATTACAGGAAAGGAAGGAGATTCCCCCTGAACCTAAGGGTGAACTTCCTAACTGTGACAGAGCTGTTCAGCAGTGGAAGTCTCTGCCCTGGACTGTAGTGTAGGCTGCATGGCCATCTGTCAGGGGTGCTTTGAATGTGATCTTCCTGCTTCTTGGCAGAAGGGGGTTGGACTGGATGGCCAACGAGGTCTCTTTCACCTCTAAGATTCTATGATTCTTAGGAAGGAAGAGAAGTGAAGGAAGGGGAAGGAAGAGGAGAAATGAAGGAAGGGCAAGAAAGGAAAAGAAGAAGGAAGAAAGAAAAGATGGAAGGGAAGGAAGAAGGAAGAGAAATGAAAGAAGAGGAAAGAAGAAAGGAAAGGAATGAAAGGGAAGAAAAGGAAGAAAAGGAAGAAAGGAACTGAAGGAAGAAGGCTAGAAGAGAAATTAAGGAAGGGGGGAAGTAAGAAAGGAAGAGAAGGAAGGGAAAAAAGGAAGGGGAAAGAAGGAAGAGAACTGAAGGGAAGGGAAGAAGTAAGAGAAAGAAAGGAAGGGAAGAATAGAAGGGAAAGAATAAAGGAAAGAAGGAAGGAAGGAAGAGAAAAAGGAAGGAAGGAAGGAAGAGAAGGAAGGAAGAGAAGGAAGGAAGGAAGGAAGGAAGGAAGAGGAAAGGAAGGAGGAAAGAAAGAAGGAAAGAAAGAAAGGAAAGAAGGAAGAGGGAAAAGAAAGAAAGAAGAGAAGGAAGGGAAGAAGGAAGGGGAAAGAAGGAAGGAGAAAGAAGGGAGAAAGAAGGGAAAGGAAAAAAAGGAAGGAAGAGAGAAAGGAAGGGGAAGGAAGAAGGAAAGAGGAAAGGGAAGGAAGGAGGAAGGAAGAAAGGAAGGAAGAGGAAAAAGGAAAGGGAAGAAAGAAAGGAAAGAAGGAAGGGAGAGGAAGAGAAAGAGAGGGAAAAAGAAGAAGAAAGAAGAAGGAAGGAAAAAAGAAAGGAAGAAGGGAAAAAAAAAAGGGAAGAGAAGAAAGGAAGAAAGGAAAGAAGGAAAGAAAGAAGCAAAGAAAGAAGGGAAGGGAGAAGGAAGAAAGGAAAGAAGGAAAGGGAAGGAAGGAGAAGAAGGAAGGGAGAAGAAGGAAGGAAAGAGAAGAAGGAAGAAGGAAGAGAGAAAAAGGGAGGGAAAGGAAGGAAGGAAGGGAAGGAAGAGAGGAAAGAAGGAAGGAAGGAAGAAGGAAAGAAGGAAGGAAGAGAAAGGAAGGGGAAGAATGGAAGGGAAGAAGGAAGAAAAGAAAGAAGTGAAGGAAGGAAGGAAGGAAAGAAGAAAAAGGAGGGAAAGAAGGGAAGGAGGCAGGAAACAAAGGAGGCAGGCAGGTAGGAGCCGCAGGGATCCCCCCCCCCGTCCAAAAATTAGCCCTGGCACCTGCCCGAAGAGGGAAAGAGGAAGGTGAGGTGGCCTTGTTGGAGGGGAAGTCAAGGAAGTTCCGGCAGAACCGGCCAGACAAGAGGGCAGCGAGGTGCCTCCCTCTGCCCCCCCTCACCCTCAGCTCCGTTGCTTCCGCCTCGGCTCCGCTTCTGCCCTTGCTCCTCGGTAGCCGGCGCTGTGGCGGAGAGGAGGAGGAGGAGGAGGAGGAGGAAGAGCGGGGGGGCGCGGGGCTCCATGCCGGGTCCTCCGCCGGCCGGCAGACAGACCTCAGTGCCTGCCCTGCTTCCTCCTCCTCTGGCCTCCCCCCTCCTCTCTCTCCCTGCCGGGCAGTGACGTCACGGGGTTGCCCCAAGGGCAGTTGGCGGTTTGCAGGGCGGGGCGGGGGCCTCCCTCCTCCTCCTCCTCCTCCTCCCCCCCCCTCCCTCCCCGTCCTGCCTCGCGGGGCTGTTGTTGGGCCCCAGTAGAGACCCTGCGGGACATGCCCTATTCCAGAAGGTTCCGTCCGCGGCGAGGAAAGGGCCATGGCGGGTGCGGGGAGCGGGGCCAAGCCCCGGTGAGTGCCCCCCACCCTAAACATATCAGACACACACACACACACACAGCGCCGCCCCCGAAGGCATGGCATTTAAAGGCGCCGGGCACGCAGCACAGCGCCTCTAGTGGCCAGGCCTCGCCAGCACAGCCGCGCCTCCAGCAGCAGCCAGCCAGGTCCAGGCATAGGCCAACTTCGGGCATCCGGGTACTTTGGACTTCCACTCCCAGGAGTAATAATAATAATAATAATAATAATAATAGTAATAATAGTAATAATAGTAATAATAGTAATATACAATAAAATACAGAATGCACATCAGAAAATAATTACAGTAATAATAATAATAATAATAATAATAATAATAATAATAATAATAATTGTAATCTTTATTTATACCCAGCCACCATCTCCCCAATGGGGACTCGGGGCGGCTAACATGAAGACAAGCCCCCCAAAAAATACAACACAATAAAATACAGAATGCACATCAGAAAATCATTACAGTAATAATAATAATAATTGTAATCTTTATTTATACCCAGCCACCATCTCCCCAATGGGGACTCGGGGCGGCTAACATGAAGACAAGCCCAAGAAAGTACAATACAACGCAATAAAATACAGAATGCACATCAGAAAATAATTACAGTAATAATAATAATAATAATTGTAATCTTTATTTATACCCAGCCACCCGGCTAACATGAGGCCAAGCCCCAAAATAGTACAATACAGGACAATAAAATACAGAATGCACATCAGAAAATAATGACAGTAATAATAATAATAATAATAATAATAATAATTGTAATCTTTATTTATACCTAGCCACCTGGCTAACATGAGACCAAGCCCCAAAATAGTACAATACAGCACAATAAAATACAGAATGCACATTAGAAAATAATGACAGTAATAATAATAATAATAATAATAATAATTGTAATCTTTATTTATACCCAGCCACTCAGCTAACATGAGGCCAAGCCCCAAAATAGAACAATACAGCACAATAAAATACAGAATGCACATCAGAAAATAATTACAGTAATAATAATAATAATAATAATAATAATAATTGTAACCTTTATATATACCCAGCCACCCGGCTAACATGAGACCAAGCCCCAAAACAGCACAATGCAGCACAATAAAATACAAAATGCACATCAGAAAATAATTACAGTAATAATAATAATAATAATAATTGTAATCTTTATTTATACCCAGCCACCCGGCTAACATGAGGCCAAGCCCCAAAATAGTACAATACAACACAATAAAATACAGAATGCACATCAGAAAATAATTACAGTAATAATAATAATAATAATATACAATAAAATACAGAATGCACATCAGAAAATAATTACAATAATAATAATAATAATAATAATAATTGTAACCTTTATTTATACCCAGCCACCCAGCTAACATGAGGCCAAGCCCCAAAATAGTACAATACAGCACAATAAAATACAGAATGCACATCAGAAAATAATTACAATAATAATAATAATAATAATAATTATTTATACCCTGGCTAATATATTTATTTATATATTTATTTATTTACTTTATTTGTAAACCGCAGTTTCTCAGCCCGTAGGCGACTCAACGCGGTTAACAACAAGAGCAAGAATTCAATACAACATACACTATTTAAAAACAATTAACACCGTAATATACTGAGTAATTACACATCAATAGACAACACGTTAACATCTCGTAACTAGAATCGTGATCCAACTCGTCATCCGTAATTCCGTTTTCCTATATTCATTATATTCATTGCACTGCTTCTCCGAACGCCTGTTCAAATAGCCAGGTTTTCAGTTTTCTTCGAAACACCATTAACGAGGGGGCTGATCTAATGTCCATGGGAAGGGCGTTCCACAGCCGGGGGGCTACCACTTTGGCCAAGCCCCAAAATAGTACAATACAGCACAATAAAATACAGAATGCACATCAGAAAATAATTACAGTAATAATAATAATAATAATAATAATACACAGAGAAGCCATTGAAATCCACAAACATGTGGACAATTTCAACAGAAAGGAAGAAACCATGAAAACGAACAAAATCTGGCTACCAGTATTAAAAAATTCTAAAATTGCAACAGCAAAAACAGCAGAGAGAAAAACAGGCAGGGACATCTAATCACCTTTCAAGAAGAGTTTGCTCCAGGCACAGTCAGCCCATTGTATGCTAATCAAGGTGGTCAGTTGAAAGATTCACACCTAGCCCAACTTACAAAAGCCCTTTGTCTCACCCTGGTCATTCCACAGATATATAAACCCCCTTTTTTCCCCCAGTTCCAGCAGACCTCACCTCTGAGGATGCTTGCCATAGATGCAGGCGAAACGTCAGGAGAAATGCCTCTAGAACATGGCCATATAGCCCGAAAAAACCCACAAGAACCTAGTGATTCCAGCCATGAAAGCCTTCGACAATACAATAATAATAATAATAATAATAATAATTGTAATCTTTATTTATACCCAGCCACCCGGCTAACATGAGGCCAAGCCCCAAAATAGTACAATACAGGACAATAAAATACAGAATGCACATCAGAAAATAATTACAATAATAATAATAATAATAATAATAATAATTGTAATCTTTATTTATACCCAGCCACCCGGCTAACATGAGGCCAAGCCCCAAAATAGTACAATACAGGACAATAAAATACAGAATGCACATCAGAAAATAATTACAACAATAATAATAATAATAATAATAATAATAATAATAATAATTGTAATCTTTATTTATCCCCAGCCACCATCTCCCCAATGGGGACTCAGGGCGGCTAACATGAAGACAAGCCCAAAAAAGTACAATACAACGCAATAAAATACAGAATGGAAGAGACAGAAAGGAAGAGACCATGAAAATGAACAAAATCTGGCTACCAGTATTAAAAAACTCTAAAATTACAACAGCAAAACAGCAGAGAGGAAACAACCAGGCACATCTTAACACCTCTCAACAGAGGATTTCCCAGGCTCAGCCAGGCCTTCAAATGCTAATGAAGGTGGTCAGTTGAAACATTCACACCTAGCTCCAGCAGAGAAGAGCTCTTTGCCCCACCCCAGTCATTCCACAGATATATAAACCCATTTTCCTAATTCCAACAGACCTCACTACCTCTGAGGATGCTTGCCATAGATGCAGGCGAAACGTCAGGAGAATGCCTCTAGAACATGGCCCTATAGCCCGAAAAAACCCACAAGAACCTAAAATACAGGATGCACATCAGAAAATAATTACAGTCATTTTTTAAAAAATAAAATAATTACAGTAGCAAAACAAAACAATAAAGCAAATTCACACAATATAAAATCCCAGCCATCTTACCGGCGGTGAGGAATGGTGGGAGATGAAGTCCAAAACGGGGACTCGGGGTGGCTAACATGAGGCCAAGCCCCCCCCCCAAAAATACAACACAATAAAATACAGAATGCACATCAGAAAATAATTACAGTCATTATTTTTTAAATAAAATAAAATAATTACAGTAGCAAAACAAAACAATAAAGCAAATTCACACAATATAAAATCCCAGCCATCTTACCAGCTGTGAGGAATGGTGGGAGATGAAGTCCAAAACACTCTGAGCAGGCATGGGCCGATTTGGACCCTCTAGGTGTTTTGGACTTCAATTCCCACGATTACTCACATTGTCAGGACCCATCTTTTCCCCCCTCCGCTACTTAATAACAACAACGACAACAATAATAAAGGTAAAGATTTCCCTTGACGTTAAGTCTAGGCATGTCTAACTCTGGGGTGGTGCTCATCTCTATTTCTAGGCCGAAGAGCCAGCGTTGTCCGTAGATCCCTCCACTGTCATGTGGCCAGCATTACTGTATGGGGCACCGTTACCTTCCTGTTGAAGCTGTACCTATTGATCTACTCACATTTGAATGTATTCAAACTGTTAGGTTGGCAGAAGCTGGGGCTAACAGCGGGAGCTCACCCTGCTCCTCAGATTCAAACCACCAACCTTTTGATTAGCAAGTTCAGCAGCTCAGTGGTTTAACCCCCTGTGTCACCCTTAGATGAGCTGGTCAAAAAAAGACTGGGAACTGCTGGTGTAGACTCATATAATACGGTTCAATGAAGTTAAGACTGTGCTACATGAGTCTAGGTAAAGGTAAAGGTTTCCCCTGACATTAAGTCTAGTCATGTCCGACTCTGGGGGGTGGTGCTCATCTCATTTCTAAGCCAAAGAGCTGGCGATGTCCATAGACGCCACCAAGGTCATGTGGCCAGCATGACTGCATGGAGCGCTGTTACCTTCCTACTGAAGCTCTACCTATTGATCTACTCACATTTGAATGTTTTCAAACTGCTAGGTAGGCAGAAGCTGAGGCTAACAGAGGGAGCTCATGCTGCTCCCCGGATTCGAACCTGCAACCATAATAATGATAATAATAATAACAACAACAACTTTATATATATTCTGTCCTATCACCCCCAAGGGACTCTGGGCGGATTCCAGTTACAAAAAGGTAAACATTCAATGCCTGAACATAACAACAAATTTGTTGTTATTGTTTATTCATTCAGTCACTTCCAAGTCTTCATAACCTTACGGACCAGCCCATGCCAGAGCTCCCTGTAGTCTAATAGACTCACAATAAAAAAATAAACTCCACAGCATATAAAAACAAATCATAACTTAGCAAATTGGAATAAAATTTAAACAACCTGTTTCATCAGACGTAACATAAACAGAAGTGTCAATTTCCCAGAGTCAACGGAGTTCCTTGGGCTTAAGCAGCTGAGGGGGAAAAGGAAGGGGACTGAGGCTGTTAGGAATGGTGGGAGTTGAAGTCCAAAACACCTGGAGGGCCCAAGTTGGCCCAGGCCTGCTCTGGGGCATCTTCCTCTCTGCTGTTGTGCAATTAGCAAACCATATGCAAATGCAATAGGTTAGAACACTATTGCACAGCGGCAGGAAGATGGATGTTGCTGAGGTGGTACAGTTATAAATGTGAAGGTGTTTTGTTTTGGAGCGATTCCAGGCACCAGGATAGAGTTGCAGGCAGTGTAGGCCTACCTGGCTGCTTTCCTTCAGGGCCCAGGTGAGGGGCCTCATGACTAGCACAGGGCCCTCAACCCAGCACTGCTTCTAGGTGAGGCTATGCTGCCTCCCAATGGCCAGGGCCACCTGCTTTTGCTCAGGTCCTTCTCCACAGGCCTGATGGGCAGTTTGTCCCCTCCCTAGGACTCCTCCATCGGACCCCAAGGCAGGGAAGATGACCGACTTGGACCGGCGGAACATCCGAGAGGTCTGGACTGCAGCCTATGAGAATCCGGAGGAGAACGGACGGCTGGTCATCATCAGGCAAGAAGGGTTCTCCGTTGCCAATGGTACTGACTAGGAAGATGCCTCCCCCCCCCCATTTAACGTCTGCCCCATCTGCCACAGGTTCTTCACCGACTACCCCGTCAGCAAACAGTACTTCAAGACGATCCCCACAGAGGGGGACCTGGCGGGACATCCCCAGGTAGCCAACCATGGCCGAAGGATCATGGTGGCCTTCAGCCAGTTGATCGAGAACATGGAGAACTGGCAACAGGCCTGCGTCTTGCTGCAACGGCTGGTGGACAACCACAAGAACATCCACCAAGTGCCTTCTGGGATGTTCCAGGTATCCCCATAGCGAGACGGAAGGGGGGAGGGAGACTGGGTGGGGGCAGACCCCTCCCCGGACGCTAAACGTCCCCTTCTTTCCCTCTCTCCCTCCCCTCAGTTCCTGTTCCAGGCCATACTCTGCACCTTCGATGACCTCTTGGGGAGAAGCTTCACCCCAGAGAAGAGGATCTCTTGGGAGAAGTTCTTCCAAGTCCTCCAGGAGGAAGTGGAGGCAGCCTATTCCCGATAGAGAGCCCCCCCCCCCAATTCCCTTGACGAAACAWGGAAAAAGGGGCTCTCCCAAAAGSTACCCTCCCCATTATGTTTATATTGAATACTATGGCATGGTTGGAATAAAGTCCTTTGTTTTCACTCGCTGCCTGGCCTTGTGACTCTCCTGTGCCCCCTTATTTATTGGGTTTTTAAGGCAAAAAGACTTCAGTGTTGGGGCTTCTTCTGCCTCCCCCCCTTGTCCCCCCTTTCTCTCCCCCCCCCAAGCCCTGCAGCTCCTTCCTGTCCATTGCCCCCTAAAGCAGTGGTTCTCAACCTGTGGGTCCCCAGATGTTAAAACATTTGGGGACCCACAGGTTGAGAACCACTGCCTTCAACACCCTGAAATCCTAACAGCTGATAAACTGAGTGGGATTTCTGGGAGTTGTAGGCCAAAACACCTGGGGACCCACAGGTTGAGAACCACTGCAAAGCAACCCTCCATTTCTCTAGCAAAGAATGCTGGTTTTGGAAGAAATCCATGTGTGAAATGGGGGTCCCCCCGCAAAACAGAGGACCCCACTGTCCTTCAAAAAAGATAGGCTCAGACAGCTTTAGGCATGTGGCAGCAAATGCCTTCTTTTTATTGCGGATGCTGGGGAGGGGAAATGCTAGTTGAAGAGAAGAGGAGTCTCTGAAGAAGAGAGAGGGGGGTGTCTTCGTCCTCCTTGGGCTGCTCATCTGTACTTCTCACCCAGGATCTCGGCCATCAGGAAGAAGAACTTGTCACAAGCCCGATAGACCAAGCAGGTGTACTCTCCGCGCAGGTGAGTGGCCAGAACCACGTGGAAGCACTTGATCAGCAGCTACAGAAAGAGAGAAAGGGGGAGGCAGGGGTCAGTGGGAGAAGAGAACCTCTTCCTCAACCCGCCCTCCCCCCTTGGTCCTTCCCTCCCAGCGGGTCTTGCCTTGAAGTTGACAGGGTCCACACGCAGGTTGTAGGCGTGGAGGTCGCTGAGGTCGGACAGGGTGCCGCGGACGTTGTCCAGGTGGTGGAGTGCCATGTCCAGGGCTTTGGCCACCTTCTGGCCGTGCATTTGGATGTCCTTGGAGCCCGGGCTCAGGTCAAAGTGCGGGAAGTAGGTCTTGGTTGATGGGTAACACATGAACATCCTGCACCAAAGGCAGAAGGGAGCCAGAAAGGAAAGGAAGAAAGCAAGGAAGAAAGAGGGAGGCTTTAGAGAGGGTTGGAAGAAGTGGGGGTCCTGGGCTCTTCTTAARCCCCCCCCCCCATGCTTCCTTCTCTCCCCATCCATTCACCTGTTGAGGGCTTCCCCGCCAATTTCGTCCAGGTGCCCGGACACCTTGCCCCAGGTGGCGGTCAGCACTTTGCGGTCTTCYGCAGTCAGCACCATCTTCTCTGGCTTCTCCTCTCAAGGATAACTGTCTTTCGGGATCGGTGGCAGCAGGGCTCGAAGCTGGGTCTCAAAGGGGCGGCTGCTTTTATAGTCCTCCTCTCCGGGGCGCACCCCTCTTATCTCACTCTGGGTCCGGAGCAGGGCAGGGGCACAGAGCCAAAGGGGGGAGGTCTGCTCCCTCCCTCCTTGGCCCCTCCCTTCCTGCTATCTCCCCAAAGGCAAGGCACCAAAGGAGAGCCTTATCTGCACCCAGCTGGACAGGGAGGGGCTGCCTTCCCTCCCTCCAGGGCCTTGCTGGCCAGAGGTGGCAAAAGATGGGGATGCACTGGAGGGAATGTGATACAAGCAGGCATCCAAACTTCGGCCCTCCAGGTATTTTGGACTTCCAACTCCCACAATTCCTGCACAAGCCAGTATAGGTGGTCCCAGTGGTGATCGGCACACTGGGTACAGTGCCTAAAGACCGTGGCCTGCACTTAAAAACAATCGGTGCTGACAAAATTACCATCGATCAGCTGCAAAAGGCCACCCTACTGGGATCTGCACGCATCATTCACCAATACATCACACAGTCCTAGACACTTGGGAAGTGTCCAACGTGTGATTGACTACAAAAGCCAGCATAGCTATCTTGTTTGCTGTGCACTAATATTGTTGTGCATCAAATAATAATTATAATAGTAGTAGTAGTAATTATATAGAATTCAGGTTTGTTAGGAATTATGGGTGTTGAAGTCCAAAACACCTGGAGGGCTGAAGGTTAGTCATGCCTGGGCCAGAGGGAGAGCCAGCACTGCATTTGACCTTATGTTTTAATTCTGTGTGTCTCCTTGTATGTGTTTTTATAGTGTTTTGTTTCTTGTATTAATAATGTTGTTGAAGAAGAGTCTGAAGGGACTGAATAAATAAACAACATGAATAATGTATCCTGCCTCAAGCTGCAGAGAGAGGTGGGCAATACATTCATGTTGCTGATATAATATTATGATGACTAAAGGTCACTGGAGAGGCAGGGGCCTTTAATGCAGGTGCTCCCTGACTTTCCCTGAAGACTTTAGCGCAGGCCTAGGCCAATTTAGACCTTTCAGGTGTTTTGGACTCCAACTACCACCATTCCTAACAGCCTCAGGCCCTTTCCTTGAGAAGGGGGGGAGCATAAATAGAACAAATAAATAAATAAATAAATATGCTGTGTCCAAAGCTCGCATATATATATGTGTGTGTGTGTGTGTGTGTGTGTGTGTGTATGACTGGAGTCACACTTAAAAATGTCTGTGTTCTGACTTACACACAAACTCAACTTATGAACAAACCCACAGAACGCCTTCTGTCTGTAACTCCAGGATGAGCTGTATTCTCTTGCACTCCCTTGATGTTTAGTTAGGCATTGAGGCCGTGCCAGTCAGCTTTCAATTATGAGTTGTGACTGACATTCTGTTACTACCTGTCCACTCCACTTCTGTGTTTGGTGCAAGCTTTTGATATGATGTGATATTTTATCTATGTAATTGATTGTTTGTATTTGGTGTTCACCTGCAAGCAGCCCCAATTCACCTTAAGAATGGGGACTGTCTGTCTGTATTTATTTATTTATGATATTTATATGCCACCTTTTTCACCCCGAAGGGAATTCAGAGAGGCTTACAAGATATATATACATACAATATATTATATTATTAGCATAGTACAATATCAGTATTAAATACTACTATATTGTACTACATCGTTATACTGTAATATTATTAGTAATATTACGCGTAATATAAATATATAATTGGATTGTTGTAGGTTTTTTCGGGCTAAATGGCCATGGTCTAGAGGCATTCTCTCCTGACCTTTCGCCTGCATCTATGGCAAGCATCCTCAGAGGTAGTGAGGTCTGTTGGAACTAGGAAAAAGGGTTTATATATCTGTGGAATGACCAGGGTGGGACAAAGGACTCTTGTCTGCTGGAGCTAGGGTGAATGTTTCAACTGACCACCTTGATTAGCATTTGATGGCCTGGCAGTGCCTGGGGCAATCTTTTGTTGAGAGGTGATTAGATGTCCTGGTTAGTTCCCCCTCTGTTGTTTTGTTGTTGTAATTTTAGAGTTTTTTAATACTGGTAGCCAGATTTTGTTCATTTTCATGGTTTCCTCCTTTCTGTTGAAATTGTCCACATGCTTGTGGATTTCAATGGCTTCTCTGTGTAGTCTGACATGGTGGTTGTTGGTGTGGTCCAGCATTTCTGTGTTCTCAAATAACATGCTGCGTCCAGGTTGGTTCATCAGGTGCTCTGCTATGGCTGACTTCTCTGGTTGAAGTAGTCTGCAATGCCTTTCATGCTCCTTGATGCGTGTCTGGGCGCTGCATTCGGTGGTCCCTATGTAGACTTGTCCACAGCTGCATGGTATACGGTAGACTCTTGCAGAGGTGAGAGGATCCCTCTTGTCCTTTGCTGAACGTAGCATTTGTTGGATTTTCTTGGTGGGTCTGTAGATAGTTTGTATGTAACCGCCTTGAGTCGCCGATAGGCTGAGAAAGGCGGTATACAAATACAGTAAACAAACAAACAAACAAACAAATATGTCGTGTTTCCTCATTATTATTATTATTATTATTATTATTATTATTATTATTACTAGTTGTCCCCTGCCACGCGTTGCTGTGGCCCACATGGGGGGTCTTTGTGGGAGGTTTGGCCCAATTCTATCATTGGTAGGGTTCAGAATGCTCTGTGATTGTAGGTGAACTATAAATCCCAGCAACTACAACTCCCAAATGTCAAGATCCTATTTCCCCCAAACTCCACCAGTGTTCACATTTGGGCATACTGAGTATTTGTGCCAAGTTTGGTCCAGATCCATCATTGTTTGAGTCCACAGTGATCTCTGGATGTAGGTAAACTACAACTCCAAAAGCAAAGGACACTGCCCACCAACCCTTCCAGTATTTTCTGTTGGTCATGGGAGAACTGTGTGCTAAGTTTGGTTCAATTCCATCATTTGTCGGGTTCAGAATACTGTTTGATTATAGGTGAACTATAAATCCCAGCAACTACAACTCCCAAATGTCAAGATTATATTTTCCTCAATCTCCACCAGTGTTTACATTTGGGCATATGGAGTATTATTTTAGAGTTTGGTCTAGATCCATCATTGTTTGAGTCCACAGTGATCTCTGGATGTAGGTGAACTACAACTCCAAAACCAAAGGTCAATGCCCACCAAACCCTTCCAGTATGTTCTGTTGGTCATGGGAAAACTGTGTGCCAAGATTGGTTCAATTCCATCGTTTGTGGGGTTCAGAATACTGTTTGATTATAGGTGAACTATAAATCCCAGCAACTACAACTCCCAAACGACAAAATCATAATTTTTGAGTGATGGTCACTCCTTGTGCTGTGTGATGTTTTGTTGCCAAATTTGGTGTGATTTCTTTCACTGATTCTTTTGTTTTTTAGGTACTCATTATGACCAGAGCATTTATATATATATATATATATATACATAGATTAACTTTATTTGTATATATACATAGATTAACTTTATTTGTACCCCGCTAGCATCTCCCGAAGGACTCGATGCGGCTTACAAAGGCCAAGGCCTCAAACAACATAGCATAACAAATACACAACTCAAAGCAAATCAAAACAATTAAAGCAATATCAAAAACAAAGAGCAATAAAACAATACACCAAACACAATAAATCTGGGCCGGGCCAAATGTAATGGGCACGGATTAAAAGTGCTGATGTGACAGGTGGTAGGTCGGATTTTAGGGTAAAATCATAGAATCAAAGAGTTGGAAGAGACCTCATGGGCCATCCAGTCCAACCCCCTGCCAAGAAGCAGGAATATTGCATTCAAATCACCCCTGACAGATGGCCATCCAGCCTCTGTTTAAAAGCTTCCAAAGAAGGAGCCTCCACAACACTCTGGGGCAGAGAGTTCCACTGCTGAACGGCTCTCACAGTCAGGAAGTTCTTCCTCATGTTCAGATGGAATCTCCTCTCTTGTAGTTTGAAGCCATTGTTCCGCGTCCTAGTCTCCAAGGAAGCAGAAAACAAGCTTGCTGCCTCCTCCCTGTGGCTTCCTCTCACATATTTATACATGGCTATCATATCTCCTCTCAGCCTTCTCTTCTTCAGGCTAAACATGCCCAGCTCCCTAAGCCGCTCCTCATAGGGCTTGTTCTCCAGACCTTTTATCATTTTAGTCGCTCTCCTCTGGACACATACCAGCTTGTCAATGTGTAAGTGCAGCGTGTGCTTCCCTATGCAGTCAGTGGTTCCCTTGATATATGGCAAGAACACTTTTCCTCTAAAATTAAAACAGCAAAACAGCGGAGGGAAAACAATCAGGGACATGTAATCACCTCTCAAGAAAAGATTGCCCCAGGCACTTCCAGGCTATCAAATGCTAATCAAGGTGGTCAGTTGAAACATTCACACCTAGCTCCAGCAGACAAGAGTCCTTTGTCCCACCCTGGTCTTTCCACAGATATATAAACCCATTTTCCTAGTTCCAACAGACCTCACTAACCTCTGAGGATGCTTGCCATAGACGCAGGCGAAACGTCAGGAGAGAATGCCTCTAGAACATGGCCATGCAGCCCGAAAAAACCTACAACAACCCTACAACAATTATTATTATTATTAGTATTATATTGCATTACATTATAATATTATAAATATTATATGTATATACAATATATTGTATTATTAGCAACTTGGGCCTTGCAGGTGTTTTGGACTCCAACTCTCACCATTCCTAACAGCCTCAGGCCCCTTCCTTTTCCCCCTCAGCTAATCGCTTAAGCGGTTGAGGGGGAAAAGGAAGGGGCCTGAGGCTGTTAGGAATGGTGGGAGTTGGAGTCCAAAACACCTGCATGAGAAGTGGGTCGTGTTTACTCCCCCCCTTCCTGGATCAACTGCGCACGCGCGACTGCGGCTGAGGCCTTCAAAGGGGGCTCCGAGCGCATGCGCCGCGCAACCCCTCTAGTCTAGCCACCGCTGGCGCTCTTGTGCTCTATGGTGGCGGCCGCGCGTGAGGAGTTGGAGGATGGGGGACGGCTCGAGCCCCATCAGCGTCATCCTGGTCAGCTCCGGCAGCCGCGGAAACAAGCTGCTCTTCCGCTTCCCGTTCCAGCGCGGGGCCGCCAACCCGGCCGCCCAGACCGGTGAGGGAGCAGCGAGCGCGCGGCGGAGGGAGCGGCCCGAGCGGGACGGGCGGAACTAGGGCACGCCCCGGAAGGAAGGCTACGGCGGCGTTGCCATGGCGACCGGGCGGGGAGGTGGGAGGGGGCGCTCTCCCTCTTCGCCTCAGGGAGGGGACGCTTTCGCCTTTGGTTTAACAGTTGAACAAGCCCTATGAGGAGCGGCTTAAGGAGCTGGGCATGTTTAGCATGAAGAAGAGAAGGCTGAGAGGGGATATGATAGCCATGAATAAATATCTGAGGGGAAGCCACAGGGAGGAGGGAGCAATCTTGTTTTCTGCTTCCCTGGAGACTAGGACGCGGAACAATGGCTTCAAACTACAAGAGAGGAGATTCCATCTGAACACGAGGAAGAACTTCCTGATTGTGAGAGCCGTTCAGCAGTGGAACTCTCTGCCCCGGAGTGTGGTGGAGGCTCCTTCTTTGGAGGCTTTTAAACAGAGGCTGGATGGCCATCTGTCAGGGGTGCTTTGAATGCAATATTCCTGCTTCTTGGCAGGGGGTTGGACTGGATGGCCCATGAGGTCTCTTCCAACTCTTTGATTCTATGATTCTATGATTCTAGGAGTTAAACTTGTGGCCCTGCACCTGTTTGGGCCTCAGACTCCCAGAAGCTCCTGGGAGCCAGTCTGAACCCCCCCTCCCCAAGGCAGCAACCAGCCAGGCTTTGAAGCTGCAAGGCCGCTCAATGCTAATCAAGGTGGCCAATTGTAACGTCCACACTTGCCTCAAGCAGACAAGAGTTCTTTCTCCCACCCTGGACATCCTTCCACAGATATATAAGCCTCACTTGCCTAGTTTCCCAACAGACTCCTCAACTTCAGAGGGTGCCTGCCATAGATGTGGTTGAAACGTCAGGAGAGAATGCTTCTGGAACAAGGCCAGGCAGCCCAGAAAACTCACAGCAACCCAGGGATTCCAGCCATGAAAGCCTTCCACAGAAAACGCACACCAGAAGCCCCCCCCCCAGGCAGCAATCAGCCAGGCTTTGAAGCTGTAAGGCCGCTCAATGCTAATCAAGGTGGCCAATTGCAACATTCACACTTGCCTCAAGCAGACAAGAGTTCTTTCTCCCACCCTGGACATCCTTCCACAAATATATAAGCCTCACTTGCCTAGTTTCCCAACAGACCCCTCAACGTCAGAGGGTGCCTGCCATAGATGTGGTTGAAACGTCAGGAGAGAATGCTACTGGAACAAGGCCAGGCAGCCTGGAAAACTCACAACAACCCAGGGATTCCAGCCATGAAAGCCTTCCACAGAAAACTCACACCAGAAGCCCCCCCCCCAGGCAGCAACCAGCCAGGCTTTGAAGCTGCAAGGCCGCTCAATGCTAATCAAGGTGGCCAATTGTAACGTCCACACTTGCCTCAAAGAGACAAGATCTCCCCCCCCGGCAGCAACCAGCCAGGCTTTGAAGCTACAAGGCCACTCAATGCTAATCAAGGTGGCCAATTGCAACAGTCACACTTGCCTCCAACAGACAAGAAGTTCTCCCTCCCCCCCAGGCAGCAACCAGCCAGGCTTTGAAGCTGCAAGGCCGCTCAATGCTAATCAAGGTGGCCAATCGCAACATTCACACTTGCCTCCAACAGACAAGAAGTTCTCCCTCCCCCCAGGCAGCAACCAGCCAGGCTTTGAAACTGCAAGGTCGTTCAATGCTAATCAAGGTGGCCAATTGCAACATCCACACTTGCCTCCAACAGACAAGAAGTTATTTCTCCCATCCTGGACATTTTACAGATTTATTTATTTTTTGTCGTGTCAGGAGCGACTTGAGAAACTGCAAGTCGCTTCTGGTGTGAGAGAATTGGCCATCTGCAAGGATGTTGCCCAGGGGACGCCCGGATAATTTGATGTTTTATCATCCACATGGGAGGCTTCTCTCATGTCCCCGCATGAGGAGCTGGAGCTGGTAGAGGGAGCTCATCCGCCTCTCCCCGGATTCGGACCTGCAACCTGTCGGTCTTCAGTCCTGCCAGCACAGGGGTTTAACCCCTTTTACAGATATATAAACATCACTTGCCTAGTTTCCAACAGACCTCACAAACTTTGAGGATGCCTGCCATAGATGTGGGCAAAACGTCAGGAGAGAATGCTTCTGAAGCATGCCCATACAGTCCAGAAAATTCACAGCAACCCAATCCAGGCCTTTGTTTTAGGACAGGCATGGGCAAAGTTTGGCCCTCTCTCCAGCTGTTTTGGACTTCAACTCTTCCTAACAGCTTCAGGCCCTTTCCTTAAGCGGCTGAGAAGGAAAAGGAGGGGACCTGAGGCTGTTAGGAATTGTGGGAGTTGAAGTCCAAAACATCTGGAGGGCCCAAGTTTGTCCATGCATGGTTTAGGACAGGCAGTAATAAACATAAAATATTATTATGAGTGCATAGTTTGTTATTATTATTATTATTATTATTACTTGAAACACAAGATTAGTACACAGCAAACAAGATCACTATGCTGGCTTTTGTACTGGATCACATGTCTGACACTTCCCAAGTGTCTAGGACTGTGTGATATATCAGTGAATAATGCATGCAAATCCCAGTAGGGTGGTCTTTTGCAGCTGACAGATGGTAATTTTGTTAGCGCCAATTGTGTTTAAGTGCAGGCCAAGGTCTTTAGGCACTGCACCCAGTGTGCTGATTACTACTGGGACCACCTTTACTGGCTTGTGCCAGAGTCTTTGCAGTTTGATCTTTAAATCCTCATATCATGTCAGCTTTTCCAGTTGCTTCTCATCAATTCTACTGTAGCCTGGGATTACAACATCAACAATCCATACTTGGGTTGTTGTAGGTTTTTTCGGTCTATATGGCCATGGTCCAGAGGCATTCTCTCCTGACATTTTGCCTGCATCCATGGCAAGCATCCTCAGATTGCCATAGATGCAGGCGAAACACCAGGAGAGAATGCCTCTAGACCATGGCCATATAGCCCGAAAAAACCTACAACAACCCAGTGATTCTGGCCATGAAAGCCTTCGACAATACATTAAATCCATACTTGGTTTTTTAACACAATCGTGAGGTCAGGAGTATTGTGCTCCAAAACTCTTGTCCGTCTGAATTCGAAAGTCCCTGAGTAATAATAATAATAATAATTATTATTATTATAAAAGAGAAGTTGTTTGTTAGATTGATATTTGATTTTTAGTTTGTTATAATGTTTTATTTTGTTTATGCTGTTGTTTATGTATTTTAATATGTTATATTTTTAATTATGTTGTTTGGGCTTGTCCCCATGTAAGCCACCCTGAGTCCCTTCTGGGAGATGGAGGCGGGGTACAAAGATAAAGTTGTTGTTATTTATTATTATTATTATTACTATTATTAAGTCAGGGAGTGGCAGTCAAGCAGACAAGCCACTGGCCTTCCCCAATGTTCTTGACCCTTCTCCATTGTTTGTTTGTTTCTCTGAAAGGGAAGCCCCGGAGCCGGTACGCTGTGAGCAGCATCGGGGAGAGTGTGGAAGACCCCGAGGGGGACGCCAGGTACGCCACCAGTTGAAAAGGGCTTGCTCCATAGGAGGCAGAGTCCACTGGAACTGGGCTCTTCCTCTTCTGCTGCCCAAGCCAGCCCTTTTCCCAAACGTTGGGCTGTGTCTCCCATCATTCTTAGAGGCAGCGGCCATTGTGGTTGGGCCTGATGGGAGTTGAGGCCAGAAGCAACTGGAAGGCTAAGCAACTGGACGGTATTGTATTAATGCCGTCAGTGCTAGGTCTTCAACCCGATGTGTTTAGGCTACACTTATACACTGCTATGTACAAAGGGAGCAGTGAACTTGAGCACGGATCCTCTCAGCAACAAGGTAAACATCCTCCCAGGATTGTCAGAGGCAGACTTCCCAATGAATAATGTTTTGAAGAGAAGGGTTATTCCAGTTTCACGAGGCTAACTTGAAACTCCATGCAGTCATGCTGGCCACATGACCTTGGAGATGTCTACGGACAATGCCGGCTCTTCGGCTTAGAAATGGAGATGAGCACTACCCCCCAGAGTCGGACACGACTGGACTTAATGTCAGGGGAAAACCTTTACCTTACGAGGCTAACATGAGTTGTATATATTTGCCCAGGCAAGTTTGTACTGATAAAAAAAAATCCCATTCAGCAAATGCCGCACATCTGCTAATAGTTCCTTTAGAACAGTGGTTCTCAACCTGTGGGTCCCCAGGTGTTTTGGCCTACAACTCCCAGAAATCCCAGCCAGTTTACCAGCTGTTAGGATTTCTGGGAGTTGAAGGCCAAAACATCTGGGGGACCCACAGGTTGAGAACCACTGCCCTGGAACAAGTTTGGGCAAACTTTGGCCCTCCAGGTATTTTGGATTCAAACTCTCACAATTTCTAACAGCCAGTAGGAATTGTGGGAGCTGAAGTCCAAAATACCTGGAGGGCTAATACCCTACCTGCTTTAGAAGCATTTATGGTGGACAACGGATGAGCTTGCTGACCCACTGGCTCCTTGAAAGATCTCTCTTTCCCACTACAGCCAGTCCTGCCCAAACGGCCCAGCCCCCCCCAAGTTCTCTATCCCAGGAATAAAGCCTGGGTTGGCTCCAGTCCCGCGCTCGTCTCCCCTTCGGGCCCCTTTCAGTGCCTGCCTTCCTCATGGGGACCGCTTTCAATGGCCAGGGCTGGGTTGTCCCATTTGGCAGTGTTTTGGTGGTGCCTTTGCCTCCTTCCCTCTTTCCGGAGTGGTGCTGACGCCCCCCTGTTCCTGTTTCCAGAGAGCCATGTCCTCTCACTGAGGAGCAGGTAGTGGATGGGTAAGAGCGAACCTCTGAGCCACCTGGCTCCCCTTCTGCACTATCTGCTCTGCGCACCCCTTTCCTTCTTCTTCACTTCTGTTTCTCACCAAGCGGCGAATGGAACGGACGGCACACGGGGAGAAGCGGAAGGGGTCCTACAGGCTCCACAGAGCAGGGATGTCACAATGGGGAACAGGTCCCTTTCCTCCTTTTCTGGTGTTCTTTTCAAGGTGCTGTTAGAGATGTTCTGACAGAAGCCGTTTCCACTGTCTAGCCATTCTGTTGTGGGAAGTAATAACAAATCTATGTGATGAGACCTCCCCTCCCCTTTGGGAATAGGAGCAAACCACTCATCAATATTTACTGGTTCCTTGTTGCATGATGAGTGGCCCAAGAAAAGTAACTTCCTAAACTCTGTCCAGAAAAGATGGGGGAGATAGTGGCACAGCATGGGGTGTGAAGGGGGCTTGAGGCCTTTCTCTGCACAGACAAACAACTATGTTTCCTCTCTGATGGGATTGAAGGGCTGGATTTGGAAGAGTCCAGCTGTGTTCCACTTTTGTTGTTGCTCTTGTTGTTGTGTACCTTTAGTTTGATCCCAACCAGGGGTGGTTTTCTTGACAAGATTTTCTCAGAGGAGGAGAGACTGCGACTTCGTCTAGTGTGCTTCCTTATCTGAGCAAAAGGGGTCCAAACCTAGGTCTCCAGAGTCCTGGCCCAAGGCTCAAGACAGTATTCTGTCACTCTGGCTCTCCTTGCTCCACTTTCCTTGAGTCCTAGGATTGTATGTTTGCATTTTCACCCTCCAGCTTTAAGTAGAGGTGCCCTGCTCACCTGCCGCTCTTTCCTGGATGGTTCTCTTCTCCAAAGCAGTCTAGATCCCTTCTCTGGAGGGGGCTGCACAGGGGAGGGTTATAGGACCACAGCCCCTCCCCCCAAGCTCTGCCTGTCCCTGGCCATCCTGCATCCTCTGTCTACTGTCCCTCTACCTTCCTGAGCGTCTGTCCTTTGCGGGAGATGCATGAGCCGCTCTGGCCTCTTTGCCTGGACGCTTCGCCTTCCAGTGATTCCCGCAATTGGAAAGGCCTGGCTCTGAAGCCGCCTCTTAATTGCCCCACAGATGTGTGTCCCCCTCCCCGGGGAGGATGGGAAGGGGGCCCCATGGGACCTGTGTGCATTTTTCAATCGTCATGTGGAAAATTAATATCCAAATGCCAGGTTGTTGCTGGGAGGTTGATGGGGTTGTTGTTGGGGGGAGGGGGGGGCAGCTGGGGGCCTCAGTGACCCCTGTGTCTCCCCTGAAGGTTTTCAGATGTCATCCTGGCAACGATTCTAGCCACTAAGTCGGACATGTGTGGCAAGAAGTTTGAGTTGAAGATCGACAACGTCCGCTTTGTGGGCCACCCTACGCTGCTGCAGCATGCCTTTGGGCAGGTAGGGGCCAGGAAAGGGAGGGGGCTCCAGGATCCTGTTTGGAGACTCCCCAAACAGAGGCAGAGCCCCCTCCTAGATCCCTCCCTCCTGGGAAAGTGGGTGCCTTGGGGCTGATCGGGTCTGCCTTCCGTTCCCCATCAATGTCTCAAAAACCCTGGAGGCTCCTGCTGCGGCCCTCCCTGTTTCCAAGACCTTTCTTTCTATCCTCCTCCTCTCCCCATTTTTCCCTTCGATAGCCACCCTTTTTTGCTTTGCAGATCTCCAAGACAGACCCCTCCCCAAAGAGAGAAATGCCCACCATGATCCTGTTCAACGTTGTCTTTGCCTTGAGGGTATGTCACCCAGGGATTGGGTCCAGTGAGCGAGTGGGCCTGGGTCAGTTGGGGGCTTCATCTTTCCTGGGGGAAAGAGGCCCCCTCCAGAGGTGCTCTGGGCAGATGTGTGGGGGGTGGGAGGGGGCACTGTGCCTGGGGACTTCTCCCTGGGAGGTTTTGTGTCTCCTGAGTCCAGATTCAGAGCTATGGATGTCTAAAAGGCTGGGGCTGGGAGAGGGGTAAAGGGAGCCTTTGAAGAGCAGGCATTTGCCGTGCCCAGAGGGAGAGTCGTGACTTAGCAAAAAAAATAAACTCCATCTTCCYTTGTGCTGAGTCATAGCTTGTGAATCATGGCTGGAGCGATATGGGCTGCCTTCTCCTCCGGCTCCTTAACAGGCRCCTAGCAGCTGCTTCCCCCCCCCCCCCCATACCCATGGCCCCCTGTTGCTTGCCTTTGCAYCCCAACCCTTTGCTCAGCTGCAGGAAGCTGATAGCAGTCCTTGCCTCCCCTGGGGGAATGGGGCTTTTGTTGGCTCCTTTTGGCTTCAGGTGGGAGCCTTTGGGCCTTGAGTTAATGGGGAATCATTCTGTTTGGGATTCGTATCGGGAACCCCCACTGCATCCATTATTCCCCAGCCTGACCTTTTGCCTCTCTCTCAGGCCACGGCTGACCCTTCAGTCATCAGCTGCCTGCATAACCTCTCCCGTCGCATCGCCATCGTTCTGCAGCACGAGGAGCGCCGCTGCCAGTACCTCACCCGAGAGGCCAAACTCATCCTGGCCATCCAGGATGAGGTCTCGGCCATGTCCGAAGGTGGGCCTCCCCTCCTTGGCTGGTTGGGTTTGGCCTTCATGCCCATACCTAAAACCTAAGCCTTCCCTCTGAACTGCAGGCCCTTGGTGCCATTTCTTTGGCCCAGCTCCTAACCCTCTGGCTGCTGGGCCCAAGAGACCAGGGCATTTCCTTAAAAGAGTGACTTCTGGGTGGTTAGGTGGGCTGCAGGATGACTATGGAGGGGCTGTTTTCCTGCATAAGAGCAGCCTTGGGGTCTGCACACTTCTTCCTCTCTCCCTGCAGCCCCAGAGGGCCCCCAGTCGCCCTTCCTCCACATCCTGCCCAAGTGCAAGCTGGCCAGGGACCTCAAGGAAGCTTTTGACAGGTAAAGAGCCAAAGGCTGAGGGGAACACAGGGACGTGGCATGAGGCTGGGAAGCGTGCAGGGCTTGGCTTAATGGCAGACAGAAGGCTTTTTTTTGTGTCTTAGTTGATCTGTTTGGCATCTTTAAAGAAATACAAAAGTTTTAAGGTTTATCCAAGACAGATGTTCAAGTTCCTCCATTCCACACTGTCTGAGCCCTTCCTCGTGGATTCCCTCTTGAGAGACGACAACATATGGCAAAGGCTCTTGAATGTAATAAAGTGCTCCATCTGTTTGGGCTTCCACCCTCCATCCCTTAAGGTGGAGGTTGGCCTGTAGATCCTCTGTGCACTTCCCTCTCTGGCCACTTGGGGGCACTCGCTGGCCACAGTCCCAGAGCAGCCTCAGCCACAGAGGGAGGGAGGGAGGGAGGGAGGGAGGGAGGGAGGAGGGGTTATCTGCCTGTTTGCTCCCTCCCTCTCAGGTCGCCTGCTTTGCCAGGCAGACTGCTACTGTGGGAGCCCTGGCCCAATAATAATAATAATAATAATAATAATAATAATAATGACAATAGAAACAATAGATCACATCCTGAGCTGCTGCAAGAATATCGCGCAGACAGACTACAAGCAGAGGCATAACACCATTGCTCAGATGATTCATTGGAACTTGTACCACAAATACCATCTGCCTGTGACAAAGAACTGGTGGAATCACAAGCTGGAAAGAGTTACAGAGAATGAACACGCAAAACTCCTCTGGGACTTCTGGATTTAGACAGTTTTGGAGAAGAATACTCATGACCTCACAATTGTGTTAAAAAACAAAGTATGGATCATCGATGTTGCAATCCCAGTTGATAGCAGGATTGGAGAGAAACAATTGGAAAAGCTGAGTGTCTGCTGTGGACTCATCCTGTTGTGTTAATAATAATAATAATAACAATAATTTGTACCCTGCCATGACAAAATCATGATCTGTCAATTGCAAAAGACCAACTTACTTGGATCTGCGTGCATCATTCGAAAATACATCACACAGTCCTAGATGCTTGGGAAGTGTTCGATTTGTGATTTTGTGATACGAAATCCAGCATATAGATCTCATTTGCTGTGACATACTGTGCTTTTGTGTCAGTAAAATTATTATTATTATTATTATTATTATTATTATTATTATTTGTACCCTGCCACCATCACCCCAAAAGGGATTCGGGGCGGCTAACATGAGACCAAGCCCAAAATTATAGTACAGCAAAATAAAAAGCAAAGAAGCAAAAATACCATCAAAATAAATACATGAAATAATAAAATAAACAGTTTCTAAATAACATGATAGAGAAATGCCTCATGGAATTGAGGGCCCTGGAGGGGTGGGTCTCTGTTTGGGGGCAGTTACGGTTATCTGATGTTTCTGCTCCTGCAGCCTCTGCACGACGGGGGTGGTCCGGCTGCACATCAACAACTGGCTGGAAGTGAGCTTCTGCCTCCCTCACAAGGCCTATTTCATCCCACCTGAGGCCATCGAGAGGAGCCTGAAAGCTATCCGGTGAGACTTCTTTTTGTTGAGAGGGGGCTTTTTTGGACTGGGCTTCCTGTGCACAGACTTTGCTTGGAGGACAAGAGGCCATTGGAGGTGGTCTGGGACCTGGGCACCAACCCCTCTCCTCCTTTGTGAGCCCCCCCCCCACTCCTATGTGTTGGGGAGTCCTGTGGTGATGTGCTGCTTGCTCCTCTTCCCCTGCCTTATGCGGCCCAATGCCCCTGCCCCGCCTCCCCGCCAGGCCGTACCATGCCCTGCTGCTGCTGAAGGACGAGAAGTCCCTCCTGGGCGACCTCCCGCTAGACTGCTCCCCAGCCCTGGTGCGTGTCATCCGTACTGCCTCTGCTGTGAAGAACCTGCAGCAGCTGGCCCAGGATGCCGACCTTGCCCTGCTCCAGGTCAGGAAGCCCCCTGCCTCCCTTCTCCCCACCCCCAGTAGGAAGACCTGGACTACAGGCCCAGAATAGGAGGGGACAGGGTCTTCCAAGCCAAAACACAGCTCCCAGCATTTGGCTCAGTAAGTCCTTTGGGTTGGGACTCCACAGCCAGACACAGTGGGTGCCAACTATGTCTCCCAAGGAGGAGGAGGAGAGGCATCTTTCTGCCAGAACTCAGTCTCTGGAGCCACCGTGTGCTCCGCTACTTAATGAGTGCATGCCATTGGTCCTCTCTGGCAGGTGTTCCAGCTGGCGGCACACCTGGTCTACTGGGGGAAAGCCATCATCATCTACCCACTGTGCGAAAACAACGTCTACATGCTCTCCCCCAACGCCAGCCTTTGCCTGTAAGAGCCTAGCAGGGCTTCGCTGGGGATGCAGTGCGGCCAGGCAAGCCAGAGGGGCCCAGAGCCGGCCGCTGTCTCTGGCAGGGCCCTGTTGAGAAAGGGCAGCCTGGGGCAGAGAGATGTGGGCAGAAGGGAAGGGCCCAGCGGTTCCAGACAAATCCCCCCTCTTCCTCCCCCAGTTACTCTCCTCTGGCGGAGGACTTTGCCTGCCAGTTCCCTGGCCATGACCTGCCCTCCGTCCTCTCCAAGTTCTCCTTGCCGGTCTTCCTGTCAGACTTCAAGGACCCCCTGGCTCCCCCGGTGCAGGAGGTGAGTCCCCCCCCCCCACTGTCACTTTCCTGCCAGCCTTGAGGCCCCCTCTGCACCGTGTTCAGTGCCTGTTCTCTCTCTATTCTCTTTCCCTTCCCACCAGACACAGCTCATCCCGATGGTGGTCTGGATGCTTCAGCACCGGCTCCTGATCCAGTTGCACACTTACGCCTGCCTGATGGTGCCCCCGAAGGAGGAGGACCACCGGCCCAGAGTGGAGGAGCCCCCCTTTGCCGCCCGGGTTGGGGGACGGAGCCTCAGTACCCCCAACGCCCTCAGCTTTGGCTCCCCGAGTACGGGACCTTCCCCTCCTCTCCCAAGGAAGGGACGAAGGGCTGGGGCCCCAGAGGGTGGCTGAGTGGCTCTGCTCTGCAGATCTTCCCCCGGGTCTCACGGAGGCCCTGTCCCCCTCTACAGCTAGCAGTGATGACATGACGCTCACCAGTCCCAGCATGGACAACTCCAGCGCAGAACTGCTGCCCGGAGGAGATTCCCCTGTGAACAAGCGCATGACAGAGAACCTGCTGACCAGTCTTTCCGAGCATGAGCGCGAGGCTATCCTCAGTGTCCCTGCCGCCCACAACCCCGAGGACCTGCGCACCTTTGCCAGGTAGCAAAGGGGAAACGCAAAGCACATCCAGCTCAGTGGAGGAGGGAGGGTCGTTCACTGGTCTTGGTCCAGCTCTGTGTTCAAAGACCAGGCTCAAAGGGCTGCTTAGAACAGCAGTCACTACTCCTGACCTGACATGACGTTACCAGAGGCCTCAGGTAGGTGCAGGACCAGGCAGAATGCCCCCTGCTTCTCCATTGACCCCTTTGCCTCCCTTGACAGGCTTCTGCACTACTTCCGGGGGCGACACCACCTGGAGGAGATCATGTACAACGAGAACATGCGCCGTTCCCATCTCCTGATGCTCTTTGACAAGTTCCGCAGCGTCCTGGTGGTAACCAACCACGAGGACCCTGTCATCTCCGTCTTCCAGTCCTTCCAAAAGTGAGAAGTGAACCCTGCCCTCCGGGGCCTTGTGGGTGACACCGGAGCACCCCTCTTTCCCTGAGTGGACAAAGGGATTGGGGCAAAGACATGCCGGTGACGAGGACACCGGAGCCTGGCCCACCGGGTGGTGATGGCTGTTCCTGTTTGTGCCGGTGTCCTTTCTGGCTGTGTTGCTGCTCCATGGCGGACACCAGCCCAGCAGTGCGGCCAGTCCCCAGAGGACTGAGAAAGACATGTTGCTGTGCCTGCTCAAGGCCCAAAGCCATTCATTCACCTTTGGAGGAAATGCCTCCCTTGGAAGCCCAGTTGCAACAATACACTCACAATGCTTTCTGCCAAGCCATGTCTCTGTGCATGTTGGGGATCCGGGTCTAAAGGGGCACCACAGCAGCATGTGCAGAGACCTCTTGCTATGATAAGTGATTTGTTTTGAGGACCACCACTGTGTATGAGGGTGGGCCCCCTGCCCTTCCCTTGCCATCACCATACTATTGGGCATTGTGAGGTGGGCTACAGCACAACTGAGGCTCCCCCCCCCCCCAAAAGACAGGACAGGCTTGCTCTTTAGCCAAAATAGGAAAGCTTGCTTTATTGTCCAATGTGGGAAAGCACCCCAGAAACCAGGCAGGTCCTGCTTATCCTTTCAGGCTCTGAGTTCATCTGGGAGCCTGGGTCCAGTGGCCCGCTCAGCCTCCTTGTCGGTGACGCTGACATACTTGTTGCCCCGGAGGTAGAAGCGCAGGGGCTTGTGGGCCCACTCCCCGCTGATACCAATGCGCTTGGCGCACACTACTGTCTGCTCTTCCTTTCCCTCCTCCTCCTCCTCCTCCTGGCTTTCCTCCAGCCAGAGGTCCGGGTGGCAGCTGAGGTCCTCCTGGTCCAGGGTCTTGTCCAGGGCCAGTGCCTGGCAGAGCTTGGAGGGGCCGTTGCACAGCTGCCACGCCTTGAGAGGGGCGGAGCGGCCCTTCCGGCGGCGTGAGAGGAGCAGGCGTTGCTCCCGCATGGCCTCCAGGCCTTGGAGGGGCTCCAGCGAGCGCAGCAGCACTGCTGCCCCCTCCCCTGCAGAGAGAGAAGGCAATTGTCAGTTGCGAGTTACACTGAGAGAGGGCAGAAAGTCTCAAGGTAGCCCCCCCCCCCCAACTCACCCTGACTGGAGATGTTCACGCAGAAGTAGAGGCCATAGATCTGGTAGACATACAGGGTACCGGGGGCCATGAACATGGCTGCATTGCGAGGGGTGCGGCGCCCGCCCCGGGAGTGGGAGGCCATGTCCGGTCCCCCCAGGTAGGCCTCTGTCTCCACCACCCGCCCCCGGAGRATGGAGCCTCCAGGCAGGCGGCGCACCAGCACCTGCAGGGAAGAAGAGGCAGCCAGTGAGGGGCAAGAGGGGGTGTGTGTGTGAAGAGTGGGAGGGATTCTCATAACAATAATAATGTTTCCCTTTGACATTAACTCTAGTTGTGTCCTACTCTGGGGGTTGGTGCTCATCTCAATTTCTAAGCCGAAGAGCTGGCGTTGTCCATAGACATCTCCAAGGTCATGTGGCCAGCATGACTGCATGGAGCGCTGTTACCTTCCCACAGGAACGGTACCAATTGATCTACTCATATTTGCATGTTTTCAAATTGCTAGGTTGGCAGAAGCTCGAGCTAACAGCAGGAGCTCACCCCGCTCCCCGGATTCGATCCACCAACCTTTCAGTCAGCAAGTTCAGCAACTCAGTTTAATCCACTGTGCTACCAGGGGCTCTCCTTTAAAAAACTTACTCATGCTCACTAACAAATGGAGAGGAAGAGGACTAGATAATTTATAGACAACCAATACACCTTTGATCAGAAATTACTATTGTATTCTGGCCCTGTTGACTTGGGTGGCGTGGTGGACATTACTGCACTATAATTAATTTTAATTATCTTTTGATTGAACCTTTAGTGGCGCTGTAAATTGAGGTTCATTGGAATACTGTGTCCCATTCCGGGCACCACAGCTTAAGGGAGATATTGCCAAGCTTACATGTGTCCAGAGGGAGGTGACTAAAATGGGTCTGGGGAACAAGCCCTATGAGGAGTGGCTTAAAGAGCTGGGCATGTTGAGCTTGCAGAAGAGAAGGCTGAGAGGAGGCATAATGAGGGCCATGGATCAAGACGTGAGGGGAAGTCATAGGGAGGAGGAAGGAGGAAGGAGGCTTGTTTTCTGCTGCCCTGGAGACCAGGACGTGAAACAATGGCTTCAAACTACAGGAAAGGCGATTCCACCTGAACATTAGGAACAACCTCCTGACTGAGAGAGCTGTTCAGCAGTGGAACTCTCTGCCCCAGAGTGTGGTGGAGGCTCCTTCTTTGGGGGGCTTTTAAACAGGCTGGATAGCCATCTGTCAGGGGTGCTTTGAATGCAAGTTTCCTGCTTCTTGGCAGAAAGGGGTTGGACAGGATGGCCCATGAGGTCGCTTCCAACTCTAGGATTCTATGTGTTTATGTTACACTAGCTGTTCCCTGCCAAGCGTTGCTGTGGCCCAGTCTGTGTATATGTGTTTTGCATGTGTATATATTTGTGTATATGTGCGTTTGCATATATGTGTGCATGTGTGGTTTTGTGCATGTGTTGCACTATATATATATATATATATATATATATATATATATATATATATATAAATATAAAGGTAGTGTTCGTTTGTGGGATTAACAGAACTCAAAAACCACTGGACGAACTGACACCAAATTTGGACACAAGACACCTAACAACCCAGTGTATGTCCTTCACTCAAAAAAAATGATTTTGTCATTTGGGAGTTGTAGTTGCTGGGATTTATAGTTCACCTACAATCAAAGAGCATTCTGAACCCCACCAACGATGGAATTGAACCAAACTTGGCACACAGAACTCATGACCAACAGAAAATACTGGAAGGATTTGGTAGGCATTGACCTTGAGTTTTGGAGTTTATATATCTGCCCCACCCCAGTCATTCCACAGATATATAAACCCATTGTCCTATTCCAACAGACCTCACTACCTCTGAGGATGCTTGCCATAGATGCAGGCGAAACGTCAGGAGAAATGCCTCTAGAACATGGCCCTATAGCCCGAAAAACCCCACAAGAACCTAGTAATTCCTGGGTTGCTGTGAGTTTTCCGGGCTGAATAAAATCTGGTGCTAAAAAAAAAAACCAGTGCTGAAAAAAAACTCTAAAATCAGAACTGGGAAGGCCTGGTCCTTGAGTACTCTAACTGGAGGTCAGCTGTGACCAGCAGTGCTGCATAGTTTAAAGAGACACGAATAGAGGGATCACCTAAGTAAGTAAGTAAGGGCTTTCTGTTATGGTCTTGGGCCCGAACAATAAACTATTTTGCTATTTTAATTGATTAGCATTGAATAGCCTTGCAGCTTCAACGCCTGGCTGATTGCTGCCTGGGGGAATCCTTTGTTTGGAGGTGTTAACTGGCCCTATTATTATTATTATCATTCTGACTCTTACTACAGAGCTCTAATTGATGGAGGAATAGTGCGGAGGGGGTTGGCCCTGAAGGGTTCTGCGGAGGCCTCCTTTGAGGCTGAGAGAGTGTGCCTGCCCAAGGCCACCCCCAGTGGGTCCCACCCCGGCTACCTTCCCCAGCAGGGCCCGGGCCAGGTGGACGCAGGGCTGGCTGAAGAAGGCGGGGCCCAGACGGGGTGGCCCCGCAGGGAGGGGAGCCAGGGCCCTCGCCTGGCCCGCCTCTTCTCCTTCCTTCTCCGGAGAGAGGCGCTTCTTGGAGCCGGGCATCTATCTGCTGGGGCCTTTTTTCCGCCCGGAAGTGGTAAAAGAGGAGGGCACAAGGACCCCGCAGGAGGGCGCTCGCCTGTCAGGCAAAGGCGAGTGGAGCGATAGGGGCGGGGCAAGCAGGTATCTAGCCCCGCCCCCTTTTAAGCTCAGAAGGAGGAAGAGGAGGAGCAAAGGCTGGGCCAGGAAGACCTCCCCAACCGGAAGTACGTGTGTATGCGCGTGCAGGTATGTCTATTTATGTCTGTGTCTGTGTATATCGGGTCTCTGGGTGTTTTGGACTTCAACTCCCACAATTCCTACCAGCCTCAGGCCCCTTCAGGCCCCTAGCAGCCTCAGGCCCCATACAGCTTAATGGTGTAACATTAGAAAATGTTGATCATTTCTGCTCCCTTGGCAGCCACCTCTCCACAAAAGTCAACACTGACACTGAAATACAACACCGCCTGAGCTCTGCGAGCGCAGCATTTTTCTGAATGAAGCAGAGAGTGTTTGAGGACCGGGACATCCGTAGGGATACTAAGGTGCTTGTCTATAAAGCTATTGTCCTCCCAACCCTGCTATATGCCTGTGAGACGTGGACTGTCTACAGACGTCACATGCAACTCCTGTAACGATTCCATCAGCGCTGCCTCCGGAAAATCCTGCAAATCTCTTGGGAAGACAGGCGGACAAACGTCAGCGTGCTGGAAGAAGCAAAGACCACCAGCATTGAAGTGATGCTCCTATGCCATCAACTCCGCTGGACCGGCCACGTTGTCTGGATGCCCAACACTGTCTCCCAAAGCAGTTGCTCTCCTCTGAACTCAAGAACGTTGGTGGACAGGAAAAGGGATTGAAAGATGGGCTCAAAGCCAACCTTAAAAACTCTGGCATAGACACTGAGAACTGGGAAGCCCTGGCCCTTGAGCGCTCCAGCTGGAGGTCAGCTGTGACCAGCAGTGCTGCAGAATTTGAGGAGGCACGAGTGGAGGGTGAAAAAGAGAAATGTGCCAAGAGGTAGGCGCGTCAAGCCAACCCTGACCGGGACCGCCTTCCACCTGGAAACCAATGCCCTCACTGCGGAAGAAGATGCAGAGCAAGAATAGGGCTCCACAGCCACATATGGACCCACAAGAATATTGGAAGACAATCATCCTCGGAAAGCGAGGGATCGCCTAAGTAAGTAAGCAGGCCCCTTCTTTCCCCCCCTCAGCTGCTTAAGGAAAGGGCCTGAGGCTGTTTAGAATTGTGGAACTTGGAAGTCCAAAACACCCAAAGTTTGCCCATGCCTGTTCTAAACTAATACCTGGACTGGTTGCTGTGAGTTTTCTTGGCCATGTTCCAGAAGCATTATCTCCTGACGTTTCGCCTACATCTATGGCAGGCATCCTCAGAGGTTTATTTCATTTATTTATTTATTTGTTTACGACATTTATATGCTGCCAGAGCGGCTTAGAAGTAAAAAGTCAATACAATATATTATGATTATCATAGCACAATATTAATATTATATACTAGCCGTCCCCTGCCACGCCTGGTGGTCATGTGGGTTCTGTGTGGGAGGTTTGGCCCAATTCTCTCATTGGTGGGGTTCAGAATGGTCTGTGATTGTAGGTGAACTATAAATCCCAGGAACTACAACTCCCATATGTCAAGATTCTATTTTCCCCAAATTCCATCTGTGTGCGTATTTGGACATATGGAGTATTCGTAGCAAGTTTGGTCCAGATCCATCATTGCTTGAGTCCACAGTGCTCTCTGGATGTAGGTGAACTACAACTCCAAAACCAAAGGACACTGCCAACCAAACCCTTCCAGTATTTTCTGTTGGTTATAGGAGAACTGTGTGCCAAGTTTGGTTCAATTCCATCGTTGGTGGGGTTCAGAATGCTGTTTGATTGTAGGTGAACTATAAATCCCAGGAACTACAACTCCCAAATGACAAAATCATTTTTTTTTAGTGAAGGACATACATTGGGTTGTTAGGTGTCTTGTGTCCAAATTTGGTGTCAATTCGTCCAGTGGGTTTTGAGTTATGTTAATCCCACAAACGAACATTACATTTTATTTTTATATATTACATTGTACTATAACATTATACTGTAATATTATTAGTAATATTATATTTAATATAATATATATAATTATAATATCATTTTAATATTATCAGTATATTGTATTACATTATAATATTATTATTACATTATGTTATTATTATTAGTATATTGTATTACATTATAATATTATCAATATTATGTGTATATACAATACAAGGTTGTGAGGTCTGTTGGAAACTAGGCAAGTGGGGTTTATGTATCTGTGGAATAATATCCAGGGTGGGAGAAAGAACTCTTGTCTGTTGGAGGCAAGTGTGAATGTTGCAATTGGCCACCTTGATTAGCATTGAATGGCCTTGCAACTTCAAAGCCTTGCTGGTTGCTGCCTGGGGAGATCCAATGTCCAGGAATGCCTGGACGTTGGAAAGGCTGGCAACAGGAGCTTCTGGGAATTGGAGGCCCAAACAACTGCAAGGCCACAAGATTGATTCCTGATGAACTGAAGGCGGAAGCGGCCCCTCCCAATGCCTGGGCCCTTCCGGAGAAGAGGAAGCGCCACCTCCCAACCCCACTACCCTTGGGAGGCCTGAGGCTGTTAGGAATTGTGGGAGTTGAAGTCCAAAACACCTGGAGGGGCCAAGCTGGCCCATGCCTGGTATATATACACCCATATCTATATATCTGTATCTATATATATAGATGTTCAATGTATTGTCGAGAGCTTTCATGGCCGGAATCAATGGGTTGTTGTAGGTTTCTTCAGGCAATATGGCCATGTTCTTGAGCATTCTCTCCTGATAGATGCAGGCAAAACATCAGGAGAGAATGCCTCGAGAACATGGCCATATAGGCCGAAAAAACCTACAACAATCTATATAGATGTTCTTTGGAAGGTTTTAAACAGAGGCTGGATGGCCATCTGTCGGGGGTGCTTTGAATGCAATTTTCCTGCTTCTTGGCAGGGGGTTGGACTAGATGGCCCACAAGGTCTCTTCCAACACTATGATTCTATATCTCCACTTCTGCTCCAGGACCTACACCACAGTGCCTTTAAAACATACACATTTTAATGTATTGTCGAAGGCTTTCATGGCTGGAATCACTCAGTTCTTGTGGGTTTTTTCGGGCTATATGGCCATGTTCTAGAGGCATTTCTCCTGACGTTTCGCCTGCATCTATGGCAAGCATCCTCAGAGGTGAGGTCACATACACATTTTGTCTGATATTCCTCTATAGTGATGCCCTTCCACGTTCTGCAGGTGATGTAGCCAAAGAAGAACATAAAATGTCAAGTGTCTATGTTTGATTCCCCTCCTTGTTGTGGCCTGCAGTTACTGGAGGAAGGGAGGAAGGGCCCGGCAGCAGGGGCGCCATGATGCCCTGGGGCCCCCTGCCCAGCTGAGATGGAGGGCCGGGCCAAGCCCTTGACCTGGGAGGATCCCGTCCGGCTCTCCCTGGCAGCAGACGCCATCTCCTCCAGGTGAGTCAAGGGCGAGCCCTGGGCCTCTTTTTGCAGGGGCTGCGCTGGGACACCCAGAACCCGCCCCTGGAGCCTGCCTGTCTGGGAAATTGCCACCTGGCAAGGAAGGAAGGAAGGAAGGAAGATAAGTAAAAAGTTGTTTTTTTATATAACTTTTATGTGATACTGTTTTTGTACTCATGTATTGTTTGCATCATATACGACACTTGTAGTACCTTTTAAGCCTCCCTTAGTGCCTTTTGGGAGATGGTGGTGAGATATAAATAATGGTTTTATTTTATTAGGAAGGCAGCCCAATGAGACAGGAAGAGGGCAAGGCCTCCCCTCCCCTTCCCTCTTCTCCTTCCCCCTTTTTTTTCCCTCTTTCCCTTTCCTCTTCCTTTCCCTTCCTCTTCCCTTCGTCCTTCTCTTCCCATCCTCAAAATAGCCAGCTCTGAAAGCCTCTCTGCAGAGGGGTCCTCAGACCCTGCCCAAGGACAAAGGGCCTCTGGCTTCAGAGTTCAATAATGCCCTGTTTATGTCTTTATCCCAAAGAAAACTCTTCAAATGGTTGAAGACAAGTGCAGTAAAAAAGTATATGGAGGGGGGGCAGCCGGGCGGAAGGAATGAGTAGCCCTGGGCCTGTGCTCTTGGCCTGCCCGCTCTGCTGTCCTTCAGGCCATGATTTGGCCAGTGTTCCCTTGAACCCCCTCCTCCACGATCTGCAGCTGCTTCCACTGCCGGGCAAGCGCCTTCCTTCTCCATTAGGCTAAATATAACCAGGATGGAAACTGCCTCCGGCTCTGCCCAGGCCCTGAGCCCACATCTGGAGGGGGGTGGGGGTGGGGGTGGCTCCCAACCTACAGAAATGGAAGTGGTGTGTGTGTGTCTCCTGAGTCTGTGTGCCTTCCCTCCGGCAACATCCCCCCTCCCCATAATTGCAGGGAGGAGGATATGTGCCTCGCCCCTCCCCTACTCCTCTTGGGAGGAATGCCAGCCAGGAATCCCTCTCCACCCCAGACGGGGCGGATCCAGACGGTAGCTAAGAATGTCCTGGGATAAAAACAGCCAGCCCTCCGCCTCCGCCATGCTGCCGCCATCCGTCTCTGGCTGCATTTCATAGCACAGGATGCCAGCGGGGGTCTCCTCTTCCCAACAGCAGCAGCCAATGGGGATTTCCAGGGGAGAGAGTGGAGGAGGGAGGCCCAGGGGGCACTGGCGCTCCTTTGCCGGCCCTTCTGCTGCATTGGCCAAAGCCAAGCCTTTCCAAGGAGGCCTGACCTTCCCAGAAGGAAGAGGTCAGAACTGGAGGCTGCAGGACCTTTGTGGGACGGAGAGGGGTCCTGGCATCAGTCCCTCTCCAGTGGGCCCTCCTGGCTTGGCTGGCTGCTTTGGGAGTGGGACTCCCCTGCAAGGATGACTCCTAAACCCTGGCCCACCATCTCTCAAAGGGAGGGGCCAAAAGGGGGCACCCCTGCAGGACCTCTCTGCCCCTTAGGAACAAAGAGAAGGAAAGAGTGGCTCCTTCTTTCCTCTTGCAAGAAGCTCATAAAGGTCATCTGTCAGGTCTCTCAATGGGGCATTCTTCTGCCTTCCTTCCAGGGGTGGGGCAGGGCGGATTCTGTCCATGCCAGCCTCCTCCTCTGCACAAAGGGCCATTCAGGCTCTTGGGCCATTCATGACCCGGCTTCCTGTGGACAATGGGCCCTTGCAGCCTCAGGGGTGATTTGAGGGGTGGGGGAAGCATCCTTGCATCAGTGTCTTGCCAGGCGTAGACCCACAAATTGGGGAATGCAGTCCCACCACTGCCCTCCTGCTAGACGCCCTTGAACCTGGGAACTGGGCCCTTCCTGCAAGGCCCAACTTCCGTCCCAGGACAGCCCCCCAGCCCCCTCCTCTCCTGTCTTCCCTTCRCTTGGCTTCCCTTTCGGGGCTTCCGAGGGCGCATTCCTGAGGCCTGAGTCACGCCCGGCCCGCCTTCCTCCTCCTCCTGACTCCCTTCCTGCCTCCCTGCCTGCCTTCCCTCTGTGCTGCTGGGACACCCTGCTGCTCCTCCTCCTCCTCCGCTGCTCTGACCGAGGAGGAGGAGGAAGAGGCCTGCCCTCGCTGCATGGCTYCCRGGACAGACCCCACCGCAGTGCTGCCCCGCTGCCCCACACAAGCCTTGGTGCCTCCTGCCCAGGAGGCCAAGCGAGGAGGCAGAAGCAGGAGGAGCTGTGGAGGAGAGCAGAGCCGGGCCCTGGTGAGTGCCCCTCCCTTCCTGCCACAGAGAATGGGGAGGGGGCTGTGACCCCTGAGCCCTTTGAGGCCCAGCAGAGGGAAGGAAGTTGCGCCCGGTCCCTCTGCCCTCCGCCTGCCCTCCTCCTGCCCTGTCTCCCCCAGCCTAGGTCATGCTGCCCCTGACCCTTTCCCCAGGGCCTCCTGGGCCTTCTCTAGATGCCAGCAGGGGAGCCCCTTCTTGCACCCCCCCCCCCCTGCACTCCACTTCCTTTCCTCCCTCCTTCCTTCTTTCTGTGGCAGGAAGAAACCTGGGAATTGGGAACTGGCTTTTCTGGTTCCAAGGCAAGAGCAGAGTCAGGGAAGGAGGAGGGGTGTGTGCAAAGACCCCCCCCCCCTTTCCCACACATACACAAACTGTTTCAGGCTCTTCCTCCCCTGCCCTCATGTCCAGGCTCTCTTTCTCTTTGCATAGTTTGAACTMCATAAGCCTCTCTCCAACATATTTTTCTAAGGAGGGGTTAGATTGAGGCTCCCTCCAGATGCGCCTTCCTCCTGGGGCCGATGGGAGCCCCCTTCCCGCCACCTCTGGTCTTCAAAGCAGCTGTGCTTTACGAGGCAACTTGGGGCTCCTTCCTTTTGAGGGCTTGCCCAGCGAAGGGGAGCAGGGGGTCCCCTGGGTTTGGGGCGTGGGCTTCCTGGCTTCCTATTTGTGTCTGGTGTTACGATGACAGATCCAGGCTATTGGGGCCAAGTGGCGTCTTGCCCGGAAGTGCAGCTGCGCCCTTTTCCCCAAAACATTCTGGGGGGAGGGAAGGGGCCTCTCTTGGCCAGTGCTTCGCTCCCCATTTTGCAGGGGAGGGCACTTGGGAGCCAGGGAGGGGCCGGATCATCTCCCCCTCTGCTCCCTCCCTGCCTGGCCTTGGCTGACTCCTGCCCTGATGGCCTCTGGGTTCAAGATGGGCAGCCCCATGATGGGGCCGGAAAGGTGCTCTGGCCTCCCTCAGGACCCTCTACCCCCGTCTCCATAGGTTGAGAAACAGCAAGTCACTTCTGGTGTGAGAGAATTGACTGTCTGCAAGGATGTTGCCTAGGGGATGTCTAGATGTTTTACCATACTGAGGGAGGCTTATCTCATGTCCATGCATGGGAAGCTGAAGCTGACAGACGGCACTCACCCCGCTATCTGGATTTGAACCGACAACCTTTTGGTCAGCAGTACTGCTGGCACAAGGGTTTAACCCATTGTGCCACCTCCTTTTCCATAGGTGAAGCAGCAGCAGCTGCTGAGACGGGAGGATGTCTGGTCCGCGGAGGGACAGCGCCAGCAGTCTCCAGCAGAAGAAGCCTCCTGGTCTTCGGCTGGACATCCCCCTCCCGGCCTCCGTGGGGTCTATGCAGGAGGCGGCCATGGCCCAGGTAGCGCAAGGAACATGCCTTGGGGAACCTCCACACACCCTGTGCCCCAGTCTGAGGACAAGTCCAGGCAGCATTGGGGAGCAAGGCCTTGTGAGGAGGAGCCACCACTTCCCCTTGCCCTGTGTTTCACCTCGGGGGGGGGGGCTCCGAGCCCAAAATGGAGGTGCCCCTGACCCACTCCTGTCCTCTGCCCTCAGGGGCCGGACCCCTCCTCCTGCTCTTCCTCTTTGGGGCTCCCCTGGCAGCAGCAGCCCTCCCGGCGTCCGCCCTTCCTGCGCAGCGTCAGCATGCCCTCCGACAACAACCACCGCCTCCCGTCTCCCTGCAGTGAGGGCCGGCGGAGGATGGAGCTCCAGCGCCACGCCTCCATCACACAGACCATCCGCAGGTAGGGCAGCGGCGGGAGAGGGACCCAAGAGGGGGAGGCTTTTCTCTCACTGTCCAGGTGGGGACCACAGGGGATGGCTAGGAGCAGCACACTATTGGTCCTCCATTCACTCCACCTGTGCAGGTGTAGGTGCCCCAAGGGAGGGATGGCATCTGGAGGAGGTAATCTGTCCATGGGGACCTGGGAGAGAGAGACGTGTCAGTCATTATAATATTATAATGTAATGCAATATAATACAAATAATAATAATATTGCATTATAAATATACATTTATGTTACATATAATATTAATAATAATATTACAATATAATGGTATAGTACAATATAGTAATATTTAATACTGATATTGTACTATGCTAATAATATAATATATTGTATGTATATATATCTTGTAAGCCGCTCTGAGTCCCCTTTGGGGTTAGAAGGGCGGCATATAAATGTCGTAAATAAATAAATAATGCTCCAGCCCCTGAATATGATGCCTCCAGAAGAAGAACGGCACCTCATTGCCTCTCAAAAGCAGAGCTAACAGGGAATGTGGGACATATAAAAGGATTGCACTGGGGCAGGAATACATGGAGCAAGCTGCAAGGGGTCCACTCCAGAGGAGCCTACCCACCCCAAAGGCCTCTCTCTGCCCAGAAGCCCTCACCTGCCTCTGCCCCCCTTCGTTTGCTCAGCGCTCTCTCGTTTTTGCGGCAGGCAGGTGCACTTTGAGATGACCCAGACCCTGCCCTCTGGGGGGCGCCAGGTGGGGGGCAGGCAGCCCCTGAGGAAGCGCCACTCCCTGCCCAGAACCCTCCTCAGGTACCGGCTGGCTGCAGTGATGCTGTGCACCCCAATCACCCCGGTGCATGTGTGTGTCCAGTGCATGGGGGCCCTTGGCAGCCTTGCTCCACTGCCATGCCCTTCACCTGCAGCACCTCGCCCTTCCCCCCTTGCCTTCTGTTTTGGACCACCATTGCCCCCTGTACTGTGAACCTCCTTCCCAAAAAAGCACTGCTAACGAGGAATCTTCCAGGATGCTGCCCTGATGCAGGTGCCACTAACCATGAGACCAAACAAACATGACTGGCAGCCATCTTGGGGCCTGATGCCAGGGGTCCACCAGAGTCTCCCCGAATGCCTGTCCTTCTCCTCTTAGGGGTACGGCGGACTGGTTTGGGATCAGCAAGGAGAGCGACACCACGCAGAAATGGCAGCGGAAGAGCCTGCGCCACTGCAGCCTGCGCTACGGGAGGCTGAAGCCCCAAGTCATCCGGGAAATGGACCTCCCCAGCCAGGACAACCTCTCCCTGGCCAGCACCGAGACACCACCCCCACTCTACGTGGGCCCCTGCCATCTGGGCATGCAGCGGGTAAGGGGATAGCTATGGAGTTAGGTGCTGGGGGCAGGAGGTAGGAAACATGGCTTGGTGTGCGCTCCCCCCCACCCTTCTATGGAGGCCTTGGAGAGAGATGCAGGCCACTCAGTCCAAGCCAGCCTCCGAAAAGGAGGTCTGGCAGGCGGAGATCTACACTGGGACCCCCTTCCTCTGCTCCTGACCTCAACCCTCTCTTTGTGGGCAGATCGTTGACCCTCTGGCGCGGGGGCGGGCCTTCCGGATGGCAGAGGAGAGCGATGGCTACAGCGCCCCCCATACGCCCATCACACCTGGGGGTGCCTCCCTCTGCTCCTTCAGCAGCTCCCGCTCAGGGTTCAGCCGCTGGCCGCGCAGACGTAAGCGGGAGTCTGTGGCCAAGATGAGCTTCCGGGCCGCAACTGCTCTCATGAAGGTAAGTGCACTGGGGGATGGGTTGGTGAGTGAGTGGGTGATGGCAGGGCTCCTAGTCTGAGTCTGGGAGGGAGGGAGCATTGCAAAGGGACTGTATTTTAATTACATTTTGTATTTTAATTACAAAAATGTGAGTCAAGCACTGAAAGGGTTAAATGGACGCAATGACTCAGCAAAAACTGTAGTTGACTATTAGCAGGTGTGCCTGTAGCTTCGTACACCTCAGTGTTTGTTGCCTTCAATCTGAGAGAAGCCTTGGAATGAGGAGGCCTTAGTATGAGAAAGCTCCAGTGTTAGTTGCTCTCAGTATGAAGAGGCTTCAGACTGAGAGAGGCCTCAGTGTGAGGTAGTCCTCAGTGTTCGTAGGCCTCAATGTGAGATAGACCTCAGTGTGAGAGAGGCATGGTGTGAGAAGGCTTCAGTGAGAGAAGTCCCAAGTTGAAGGCCTCACGTGTAAAACTCCAGTGTGAAGGCTGCTGTGTGTAAAAGGCTACTGTGCTAAGCTCCTGTGTAAGTTTAGTGTGAGAAGAGGCTCTGTGAGAGCAAAGCTTTTTATCTGCATGAGAAAGCAGCCCAGCGTGGAAGCAAAGAAGGAAGTATAAAGAACTTTATTTTATGAAAACCTTGTTCTTGTAAATAGTGCAACCATATTATTTTGCTATAAAGAAAAGCCTCCTAAGGAAGATATAACATAAGTTACTCTGCTATACATTTATAAGAAGGGTCTGTTGTTAATAAGCCCATTTGCCCCAAAACTGTGTCCAACCCTTCACTCACCACCTTTCCCTTCCTTCCTACTTGCTGTCTTGTTCTCCCTCCACCCCCCTACTTTCTGTCCTTACTTCCCCTCACCCCCTTCTCTTTCCTTTCCTCTCCCCATTCCTTCACTTTCCCTTCCCTATCTCTTACTCCTTCATCTCCCTCTTCCTCTGTTCTTTCTGTTCCTCCTTCCCTCCCTCTCTTATTTCCTTCTTCCCTTTCTTCCAGGGCCGCTCCGTGAAGGAGGTCTCCCTCCGCCGCGCCCGGCACCGCAGCTTCACCCCGGCCAGCTTTTTGGAAGAGGACACAGTGGACTTTCCGGACGAACTGGACACCTCCTTCTTTGCTCGGGTAGGAATGGGTGGAAGGGAACGAGGAGGGGGGTGGAGAGGAAGTCCATTGAGCCTGCTGATCTCCTGGCCTTTCTCTGCCGCTGACCCTCCGCTCTCCTGCCCAGGAAGGAGTCCTCCAGGAAGAGCTCTCCACCTGCCCCGACGAGGTCTTTGAATCGCCTTCCGAAGCGGCCATCAAGGAGACGGAAGCGAAGCTCCCGCCGCCGGAGGAGCAGCCGGCCCTGACTGGGGGCGCCTTGGACCGGAGCGAACTGGAGAGGAGCCACCTCCTGCTGTAAGTCCCTGGGAGGGGGATCCATTTGGAAGAGGTAATTAGGGGGAGAGGCTCCACAAGCACAAAAGCTCCATCCCTTGATGGGAAGGAAGCCCCAGCCCACTGATCCCGTCCCCAGAGGTCCAGCTGTGTGTGTGGGTTGCAGGGGGGGGGGAGTCTCTGTGGGTGTTTCTTCTGCTCTATGTGGGTCCCCTCCCCCTCAATGGCTGCCCCTTGCTCTGTCTGCTTTAGCCCCTTGGAACGTGGCTGGCGGAAGCAGAAGGAGGGTGCTGCCGCCTTGGTGCCGCCGCAGCCCAAGGTGCGCCTGAGGCAGGAGGTAGTAGCGCTGGGGCTGCAGCGGCGTGGGCAGCGCATCACGGTCCCCGTCCGCAAACTCTTTGCCAAGGAGAAGCGTCCCTATGGCTTGGGCATGGTGGGCCGGCTGACCAACCGCACCTACCGCAAGCGCATTGACAGCTTTGTCAAGCAGCAGATTGAGGACATGGATGACCACCGGTAGGTCTTGGGGCAGGGCAGGGGGGGTGCTGGTATGTGTGTATGTATGTTGGGGGGGACTTGCCCCTCTGGCTCAGTCTGAGCCTCTGCTTCCTCTCACCCTGCAGGCCATTCTTCACCTACTGGGTCACCTTCGTCCACTCCCTCATCACCATCCTGGCCGTCTCCATCTACGGCATTGCGCCTGTGGGCTTCTCCCAGCATGAGACAGTGGACTCGGTGAGCGAGTTGGGGAGCAGCAGCAACAGGAAGGGTGCCATCAACCCTCCACTTCCCCCAAAGTGGTCATGGGAAGCCAGTTGGGGGTGAGGGAACCCCTTCTGTGGGAGTGGCAGTCTTTCAGGCCTCTTTCCACTTCCTACTCCTTCGATTATTTGCTCAAGGTGGGCTCTGACCTCTTTCTCCTTCCTGGTAGGTCTTGAGAAACCGCGGGGTTTATGAGAATGTGAAGTACGTCCAGCAGGAGAACTTCTGGATCGGGCCCAGTTCAGTGAGTGTCCTTGGCCCCATATGTCACCCTCCTGGAGCCCTAGGAGGAGGAGAATGGGGAGTGAGATGCCGGGAACACCTACCACTAAGCTCTGGGGTCTCTCTCCTTTCCTGCCAATAAGGCTGCTGCCCCTGACGCTTGTCTGACTGCTCACTCACCCGCCCTTCCCTCCCCAGGAGGCCCTCATCCACCTGGGCGCCAAGTTCGCTCCCTGCATGCGCCAGGACCAGCAGGTACACAGCTTCATCAGCGCCGCCCGCGAGAAGGAGAGGCACTCGGCCTGCTGCGTGCGCAACGACAAGTCTGGCTGCGTCCAAACAGCCGAGGAGGAGTGTTCTGTGAGTGACCCTTCCTCTGTGGATATTTGGATCAGGGTCCCTCTCTCTCCCTCCCGCGGGATGGGAGGCCCCTTTCTGGCCACTCAACCAACACCTGTTTCGTTTGCAGTCCACTCTGGCCGTCTGGGTGAAGTGGCCTGGCCACCCTAGTGCCCCTCCCCTGCTGGCAGGAGACAAGCGGCAGTTTGGGTCAGTCTGCCACCAAGATCCCAGGTAGGAGCCCTGCGGCCAAAGGGAGGGGAGCAGCTGGGAAGTACATCTACTTTCTGGCCTTTGTCCTTGGCCCCATGGACCTTGGTGCTCCATGAATGGACACCCTCTGTTCCATAGGGTCTGTGAGCAGCCGGCCTCCATGGATCCACACGAGTGGCCTGACGACATCACCAGGTGGCCGGTAAGGGAATCTGGGGTGGGCCCTTTGAGCAGAATCAGACCCTCCACCTCCACTGGGCTCTTGTTCATCAGAGCCTCCGAAAATCGGAACAACTGAAGAGTGAGGAGGGCCTTCCTGGCCTTCTGCTGGGAGGCCACTGGGATTGAGACGTGCCCCCACCCCCAGTGCAGCCTTCAGGGTGTCCACTCCACATATGCTCTCCTCTGTACTCAGAGGCAGGGAGGGGGATCCTGAGGGTCTTGGCTCTCCTCCTTCTTCAGATCTGCACCAAGAACAGCGCCGGGAACCGCACCAACCACCTGCACATGGATTGCGTGATCACAGGCCGACCCTGCTGCATCGGCACCAAGGGAAGGTAGGGGAGGGGCCTGGAGGGGAGGGGGCCACCACTGACCGGGAAGCACCTGTTGGGCAAGGGGGCTTATTAACAAAAGACCCTCTCCATAAATGCACAGCAGAGTAACTTAGCAGCAGCAGTGTGACCCAGCACCAATAGCCCAAGTGATAAAAACAAAAACATACAAACCAATGTTATATCTTCCTTAGAAGGAGTTTTTTTATAGCAAAATAATATTTTCAAAAACACTACTTATAAAAACAAAATTTCCATGACACAAAGTTCAACCTTCACATATGACAGTCTTCTCATACCGAGGCTTACCTCAGACAGTGAGGCCTTCTGTCACAGACTAAAGCCTACCTCACACTGTGGGGCCTTCTTACAGACTGAGACCTTTCTCCCACTTTGTTTTGTTGTGTCAGGAGCAACTTGAGAAACTGCAAGTTGCTTCTGGTGTGAGAGAATTGGCCGTCTGCAAGGACGTTGCCCAGGGGACGCCTGGATGATTTGATGTTTTTATCATCCTTGTGGGAGGCCTCTCTCATGTCCCCGCATGAGGAGCTGGAGCTGCCAGAGGGAGCCCATCTGCCTCTCCCCGGATTCGAACCTACAAAGCTACAGGCACACCTGCTTATATAGCACTATGGATATATTGTTTATTATTAATATTTCTGACAGCACCTTCTTCTGCTGGGTGAGAAAGGCCCCAAGGGCTTGGCACAGACTCTGCTTGCCTGGATGGGCCCCTCAATCTTTTTCAGTGCTGCTTGAAATGCAGTTATAATTAAATATTTTATATTACATGTAATGGGCCCCCCGGTGGCGCAGTGGGTTAAAGCGCTGAGCTGCTGAGCTTGTTGACCAAAAGGTCACAGGTTCAATTCCAGGGAGTGGCGTGAGCTTCCGCTTTCAGCCCTAGCTTCTGCCAGCCTAGCAGTTCGAAAACATGCAAATGTGAGTAGATCAATAGGTACCGCTCTGGTGGGAAGGTAACGGCGCTCCATGCAGTCATGCTGGCCACATGACCTTGGAGGTGTCTATGGACAACGCTGGCTCTTCAGCTTAGAAATGGAGATGAGCACCACACCCCAGAGTCAGGGGACAACCTTTACCTTTACCTTACATGTAATATTACCAATAATATTACAATCTAATGGTATAGTATAATATAGTAATATATAATACTGATATTGTACTATGGTAATAATATATTGTATGTATATATATGACTGATGAGACTGTTTCACTGTTTTAATGATGGCTTATGTATTGTTAATTATGCTTTTATGTCTAATTGTGGTTTTAATTTTGTAATTTGTTACGTAATGGCTTCGGAATGGGGCCCATTATAAGCCGTCCTGAGTCCCCCTCTTGGGGGTTGAGAAGGATGGGATAGAAATGTGAGAAATAATACATAATAATAAATATTACTAATAATATTACAGTCTAATGATATAGTACAATATAATATAAAATACTGATATTGTACTATGCTAATAATATAATATATATTGTGTGTATATATCTTGTAAGCTGCTCTGAGTCCCCTTCAGAGTGAGAAGGGTGGCATATAAATGTCATAAATACACAAATAAATAAATTTCCTCCAAGGGTTTCTTGGGTGGGAATCAGGCTCAAGCCTTGACTGACCGCTATCTGCTGACTGAAGCAGACCTTGCTGTGTGCGCCCCCCCCCCCCCCCCAACCAAGTGCCCTATTTGACTTTCCACCTCCCTCTTCCCAGGTGTGAGATCACTTCAAGGGAGTACTGCACCTTCATGCATGGCTACTTCCACGAAGAGGCCACTCTCTGCTCCCAGGTATGTGTCCTTCCCCTCCACTCTCCCCCGAGCCTTGAGCCCTACCTCAGTGTTTCTCAACCTTCCTAATGCTGTGATCCCTTAGTAGAGTTCCTCATGTTGTGGTGACCCCCAAACATAACATTATTTTTGTTGCTACTTCATAACTGTGATTTTGCTACTGTTATGAATCATAATGCAAACATCTGATATGCAGGATGTATTTTCAAATCCCAAATGCCTGATATGCCCAAATTTGAATACTGGTGGGGCTGGGGGTGATTGATTTTGTCATTTGGGAATGTTGGAGTTGCTGGGATTTATAGTTCACCTAAAATCAATGATGGAATTTAATCAAACTTGGCACACAGAATTCCCATGACCAAGAGAAAATACTGGGAGGTGGACATTGACCTTGAGTTTTTGGAGTTGTAGTTCACCTACACCCAGAGAACACTGTGGACTCAAACAATGGTGGATCTGGACCAAACTTGGCACGGATACTCAATATACCCAAATGTGAACACTGGTGGAGTTTGGGGAAAATAGACCTTGACATTTGGGAGTTGCTAGGATTTATAGTTCACCCACAATGAAATAGCATTCTGAACCCCACCAATGATAGAATTGGACCAAACTTCCCACACAGAACCCCCATGACCAACAGAAAATACTGTTTTCTGATGGTCTATGGCGACCCCTCTGACACCCCCTCATGACTCTCACAGGGGTCCCGACCCCCAGGTTGAGAAACACTGCCCTACTTAAAAGAATCCTACACCTTGTGTAACTGTGGAGCAGAACAGACAACTCTGCATCTGTATGCTTGTCCTCTATGCTTTGCCTCATGTACAGAGGAAGAATGGTTGGAGGCTACAGACAATGCTGTTGCTGTTGCCTGTTTTCGGTCAAAAGATATTTAGCCATCTGCACTCCTATTTTTATTGGTTTTATACTAATTTATGCAATGCTTTAGATATGAAATAAATAAATGAGCCCTGCGTGTTCTGAGCCTGCGCTCTGCCTCCTCTGCAGGTGCACTGCATGGACGATGTCTGTGGCCTCCTGCCCTTCCTCAACCCAGAAGTCCCGGACCAGGTTTACCGGCTGTGGCTCTCCCTCTTCCTTCATGCAGGGTAAGCCTGGCTCTTTCGCCCTTTTAATCCCTGGTGGTCTTGGGGAGGGGTTGTCTTGTGGGGCTCGGCACAGCCATTTCTGGTCACAGCCCCCTCTGCTCTCTCTCTCTCTCTCTAGGGTCCTGCACTGCCTGGTGTCCGTCTGCTTCCAGATGACCATCCTGCGGGACTTGGAGAAGCTGGCTGGCTGGCACCGCATCTCCATCATCTACCTGCTGAGCGGCATCACAGGAAACCTGGCCAGCGCCATCTTCTTGCCGTACCGGGCGGAGGTGGGTCTCGTGAAGGGGGGAGGACAAGTCTCATCTCAGGCCCAGCCCTTTAATCCCTGCTCCCTCCCCCTCCTCAGGTGGGTCCAGCCGGGTCCCAGTTCGGCATCCTGGCCTGCCTCTTTGTGGAGCTCTTCCAGAGCTGGCAGATCCTGGCGCGCCCCTGGAGGGCCTTCCTCAAGCTGCTGGCGGTGGTGCTCTCCCTCTTTGCCGTTGGGCTCCTGCCTTGGATCGACAACTTTGCCCATATCTGCGGCTTCGTCAGCGGCCTCTTCCTCTCCTTCGCCTTCCTGCCTTACATCAGCTTTGGGAGGTTCGACCTCTACCGCAAGCGCTGCCAGATCCTGGCCTGCCAGCTGGTCTTTGCAGGACTCCTGGCCGGCCTGGTGGTGCTCTTCTACGTCTTCCCCCTCCGCTGCCAGTGGTGTGAGCTCCTCACCTGCCTGCCTTTCACGGACAAGTTCTGCGAGAAGTACGAGCTGGACGCCCAGCTCCACTGAGGGACACAGACCCAAACGCCTCCCGAAAGGCCCTCCTCCGACTTGCACTTGCCTTATCTCACCGACCGGGCCCTCCCTCCCTCTTCCTCTGACCAGGGAGGGCCCCTGCCTTGTCCGGCTCAGCCGGACCCTCCTCTGCTGCCATCTTTTTATTACCACTAATTCCAAAGTGGCCTTTTTAATGAGATTTATTACGTGTTGCCCAGGTGGCGATTAAATACACACAAGGTAGCGTTTTAGCTACATTTACAAACTTCTGGAGTGTACTCTTGGATCTTACTATCAACAAAAGAGCCTCAAATTCAGGTGAAACCCCAAGCGCTTCACTCTCCCATCTTCCAGCTATTCAATGCACAAAAACTTAGGTCTTCACTTTTCATGTCAGGAGTGACTTGAGAAACTGCAAGTCGTTTCTGGTGTGAAACAATTGGCCGTCAGCAAGGACGTTGCCCAGGGAACGCCAGGATGTTTTGATGTTTTACCATCCTTGTGGGAGGCTTCTCTCATGTCACCGCATGGAGAGCTGGAGCCGACAGAGGGAGCTCATCCATGCTGTCCCCAGATTTGAACCTCTGACCTGTCAGTCTTCAGTCCTGCCAACACAAGGGTTTAACCCATTGTGCCACCGGGGGCTTCTTGCAGTACAATAATACTAATAATCCTCAAAACGGCTACCTTTGTGTCCAGGCTTCTCTCATGTACCTGCATGGGGAGCTGGAGTTGACAGAGGGAGCTCACCCACTCTCCCCAGATTTGAACTTGCGACCTGTCGGTCTTCAGTCCTGCCGACACAAGGGTTTAACCCACTGGTTCTCAACCTGTGGGTCCCCAGATGTTTTGCCCTTCAACTCCCAGAAATCCTTACAGCTGGTACACTTGCTGCGATTTCTGGGAATGCTAGGCCAAAACACCTGGGGACCCACAGGTTGAGAACTACTGGTTTAACCTATTGCGCCACCGGGGGCTCCTTGAAGTACAATAAAACTAATAATCCTCAAAATGACTATATTTGTGTCCAGGCTTCTCTCATGTCCCTGCATGGAGAGCTGGAGCTGACAGAGGGAGCTCATCCACGCTCTCCCCAGATTCAAACCTGCGACCTGTCAGTCTTCAGTCCTGCCAGCACAAGGCTTTAACCCATTGCACCACTGGGAGCTCCTTCACTATGAAAACACCTCACCAAGTGCTACTGGGTTAATGATTGAAAGAGCATGTGTTGAGGGGACTTCCTGGTGGGAGGGGCTTAGCATAGCCTTGGTCTTCTATGGGGGGAGTGCTGGCCAAAGCCCACAGAGCTACGCTTGACCCAAAGCAACGTTCTTATCAGTCACAGAATTGGGGCTTCCTTCTCAGCTGGGCTTTCTGAGACCACCCTAACCCTCAACAAAAACCTGGGATTCTGTATAAAAGTGTAAACAAACAGTTACTACTCAAGCTTTATTACAAATCCAACAGTTGATGCTCAAGGCCTTGCACCCACCCTCTGGCCAGCACTGGTCAGGAAGGCTCCCAGCTCCATTCAGGGAGAGGGACCTGGCCCTGCCCTCCAAAGGCAGGCAGGCAGGCAGGTGCCTCTGGTCCCCTGGTTAGTACCTGGGCTTCAGGGGCTCATGTGAAGCCTCCCCTCTGATGCTCCTATAGTTCCCATGAGGGCCTCTTTCCCTTCAAGGTCATGCAGAGGCTTGCCTGGGGACTCACTTCCGGATCTTTTTCACAAAGGTGACTTCATCCCGGTTGCGGATGCCATACCTGGGGAAAACGTTGTGCACATTAGGCCTCCTCCTCTCCCAGGGACTCAGGCCCTCAGAAAGGCCCACAAAGAGGGTGGCAAGGCAAAGGGGTGAAGGACTGCAGACAGAAGCCTGGGGCAGCTCCTTCCTCAGCACGTAGCACACCTGCCCCCCACCTGGCTGAGCCTGGTCCCACTGCAAGCAGGCCAAAGTATGGGCATGGGACTCACAAGGGGTACCAGGGCACCACAGACTCACTCTCTCAGCTTCTTCCGGTCATCCGTCAGCTTCTCTCCGCCGAAGGTCAGGCAGTAGGTGCGCCACAAGTATTTCCTGTCAGGTAGGGAGGAGAGGCTTAAGGACAAGGAGGAGGGGTGGAGCTGGCTCTGTCTGACCTTGCCCCCTCCCCCTGCCCCACGGAAGCAGGACCCACCAGCTGATGTGCTGAATGCCCCCCTCACGCTCCTGCCGCAGCTGCACGAACCGCCGGAGGGCCCTCTTCAGGTCCAGGACGCTGGCATTCTGCACCACCACCACCGCTGAAGGGAGGGAGGGAGTATTTATTATTTATTTATTTCAAACACTTGTACCCCGCCCTTCTCAACCCCGTAGGAGGACTCAGGGCGGCTTACAGCCGGCACAATTAGATGCCCCAACAAACAAGATAATACATATAGCAATTACATTTGAATGATACAGTGAGTAAAGTGAGTAAAACTGATAAGTGAGTAAAACGTTATCTCTATCCCACCCTATCTCCCCAAGGGGACTCAGGGCGGCTCACAACATAAACAGGGCAGTTCAGTGCCATAAAAAAATACAACAAATTCAAGTAGACAATACAACACATTCAACAATCATACATATCAAAAGAGAAGCAATAAAATATATTGTTTAAATATACTGTTTTATTGTTGTATTTGGGCTCGGCCTCTTGTAAGCTGCACCGAGTCCTTCGGGAGATGGTAGCGGGGTACAAATAAAGGTTTATTATTATTATTATTATTATTATTATTACATTCATGCCAGCAGTGACTTGAGGAACTGCAAGTCGCTTCTGGTGTGAGAGAATCAGCTGTCTACAAGGACATCGCCTGAATGTTTTATCTTGTGGGAAGCTTCTTTCATGTCCTTGCATGGGAAGCTGGAGCTGATAGACAGGAGCTCACCCCGCACCCTGGATTCGAACTGACCTTTCGGTCAGCAATCCTGCCAGCACAAGGGTTTAACCCAGAGGTCCTCAAACGTTTTTAATCGGAGGGCCAGGTCACAGTCTCTCTAACTGTTGGAGGGCCGGATTATAATTTGAAAAGAACATGAATGAATTCCTACGCACACTGAACATATCTTATTTTTAGTGCAAAAAACACTTAAAACAATACAGTAATTAAAATGAAGAACAATTTTAACAAATATAAACTTATTAGTATTAACATTTATTTTTATTTACAGTATTTATATACCGCCTTTCTCACTCCTAGGGGGACTTCAATGGGAAGTGTGGGCCTGCTTTTGGCTGATGAGATAGGATTGTTGTTGTTGTTGTGTGCTTTCAAGACGTTTCAGACTGAGGTTGATCCTGAGCAAGAGCCAGGTAAATAACCTTGGAGGGCCGTATCTGGCCCCTGGGCCTTCGTCTGAGGACCCCTGGTTTAACCCATTGCACTGCCGACAGCTCTAATAACAAGTTAAAACAGTATCAATAAAAAAAGGGCTCAGGGTCAGGAGAAAAAACTCTTTCCGTTTCAGGCAGTAAGCAGCCAGACCTTGAAACTGCACAGCCATTAAATGCTAATCAAGGTGGCCAATTGCAACCTTCCCACCTGCCTGAAACAGACAAGAGTTCTTTCTCCCACCCTGGGCATTATTCCACAGATATATAAACCCCATTTTCCTAGTTTCCAACAGACCTCACAACCTCTGAGGATGCCCACTATAGATGTGGGTGAAACGTCAGGAGAAATTGTATATATTGTAATAATATCTATCTATCTATCTATATCTATATCTATATCTATATCTATATATATAATAAAGAAGAGTGTTTGTATCGGACAGAGGAATTGTGGAGGGCGGTGTATGTGGCAGCGTTCTGATTGGCTGCCGCTGTGGTGCTATTTGCATATGGTCTCTGATTGGCCAGCTTAAATAGGAGCCCCTGGTGGAGAAGAGGGTTCATGGCAGAAACGGGGCATGACAGAAGGAAATTTGCATATGGTCTCTGATTGGCCAGCCTCAAATCCAACATTCCGAGATGAGAAAGAGAGGAAAGGAAAGGCCAGGGGCTGGGTCAGAACACTCCCAATACAGACGAAACTTGCCACACAAAGCCCCCATGACCAACTCGACATCCTACTGCAGTTTGGAGGAGGATGAACCATGGATGATGGGACTTGCAGTACCACCACTCACATTCTGAGACCGCTGTTAACCTCATCCAATGACTGATCAGGACCAAACTTCGCACAGAGACCTCTCATGACCCACTTTACGTCCTGATGTGGTTTGGCCGGGGATGGACCGTGGATTATGGGACTTGCAGTACCATTGCTTAATTCTTCATACCACTGCAACGCTCATCCAATTACTGATAAAGACCACACTTGGCACACAGAGTCCCCATGACCCACTCTACATCCTGGTGCACTTTTGAGGAGGACAGACCATGGATGATGGGACTTGAC